GACAGTGGGGTGGAGGCTTTCTGGGAGTCCTTCTCGTTCCTGCGTTCGTGTTTAGCCTTCAGCTTCGCCTCGGCCTTCTCCAGTTTCTTGGCATCCACCGTCTGAAGGAACAGAGACAGCAAGTGATTCGTTCACAGCACAATGACAGTGACAGAGTGTCAGAGGCAGAGTGAGGGAGTGAGAGTGACAGAGACAGAGTGACAGAGTAAGAGTGATAGCATGGGAGTGACAGAGTGAGACTGACAGACTGAGAGTGACAGAGTGAGCGTGAGATTGACAAAATGAGAGAGACAGGGTGACAGAGTGAGAGAGTAAGAGTGACGGAGTGAGTGTGACAGAGTGAGAGTGATAGAGTGAGAGTGACAGAATGAGAGAGTAAAAGAGTCAGAGTGAAAATGACACATTGAGAATGACAGTGACAGAGTGAGAGAATGACAGTGACAGAGTGAAAGTGACAGGGTGAGTGTGACAGTGAGTGTAACAGAGAGAAAGAGTAAGAGTGACGGAGTGAGAGTGACAGTAAGAGTGAGAGTGACAGAGTGAGTGTGACAGAGTGAGTGACAGAGTGAGTGTGATTGTGACAGAGTGAGAGTGACAGAGTGAGTGTGAGTTGACAGAGTGAGAGTGACAGAGTGAGTGTGATTGTGACAGAGTGAGAGTGACAGAGTGAGTGTGAGTGTGACAGAGTGAGAGTGACAGAGCGAGTGTGATTGTGACAGAGTGAGAGTGAGAGTGAGTGTGAGTGTGACAGAGTGACAGTGACAGAGCGAGTGTGATTGTGACAGAGTGAGAGTGACAAAGTGAGTGTGAGTGTGACAGAGTGAGTGACAGAGTGAGTGTGAGTGTGACAGAGTGAGAGTGACAGAGCGAGTGTGATTGTGACAGAGTGAGTGACAGAGTGAGTGTGAGTGTGACAGAGTGAGTGTGACAGAGTGAGTGTGACAGAGTAACAGAATGAGAGTGATATAGTGAAAGTGACAGAGAGAGAGTGACGGAATGAGAGTGATATAGTGAGTGTGACAGAGTGAGAGTGACAGAGTGAGTGTGACAGAGTAACAGAATGAGAGTGATATAGTGAAAGTGACAGAGAGAGAGTGACGGAATGAGAGTGATATAGTGAGTGTGACAGAGTGAGAGTGACAGAGTGAGTGTGAGGGTTACAGAGTAAGTGACAGAGTGAGTGTGACAGAGTGACAGAATGAGAGTGATATAGTGAAAGTGACAGAGTGAGAGTGACAGAGTGAAAGAGGCAGAGTGACGGTGTAAGAGTGACAGATCGAGAGGTTTAAGACTCACTGTGTTCTGAGGACGTTTCATCATCCAGATACCCTGAACATCTTTCGCTGCTGACCCTGAAGACAAACAAACACAGGTTCATCACAGGTTCAGACTGTAATTGGCAGTAGAAGAGCAGTTGTAAACACATATATATATACATACACAATACATATAGAAATACATGTGGTCTATTTGATCATTAGACTGAAGTATAATGTGTTTTCACCAGTGTCTGCAGAGATCTGAGAGAGTTGAACAGGAGCGTCCAACAACATCTGCTTCTGAGAGCCATGATGGTTGTTCCTAGCAAACATGAAGGACAGATGTTATTACAGATGTTGAAGTGATGATGATGAATAAAAACAGAAACATGTTCACCAACAGACACAAATATTACTGTGGGACACAAACAAAACTTCCTGTAATTGACCTGATAAACACAGAGGAGAAACATCACTGTCTCAACATGTATGATTATTGAGAGCATATTGATCAGACAGGTTAATATTCTCTTCAGTTACTTCATTGATCCTTTTGTCTTTAAGTCAGGAAGTGTCTTCTTTTTTTTTGATTACCAGTCTAAAAGTTCACAAGATTAAAGTCCCACACCTGAAAAGCTGAGACATCATCTTTGTATAAAATATGACTAAATCAATCCTATTCATATTCATAAGATAATCAGCTGATTTGTGCAGCTCAGGTGGACAAACTGTTCTCAGCCTCCTCCTTTACAGGATGTGAGATCTTGACACTGACAGACAGATTTTGGTTAAAACATCTTTTAAAGACTCTGCTCCCTCAGCTCTGTTTCTGTGGGAGTGAGTCTCTGCTGCCTCTCATTTGTCCTTTCTTACAGTTTGAGGGTGTTGAACATCTGGAGACAGATATCTCTGACGTCGTCCGCATTTTTACTGTCAGCAGACACTTCCTGCAGGACACCACCGATGGCATCAAAAACTTCCTCTCCATCCTCGAAGTCTGCGCCACCGCTCTCCAGGACACCTGAGACACACAGACACACTTCATGAGACACATTAACACACTGGCCTCGTGTCTCGCCTGTTTCACCTCCATCACCTGCCTCACTCACCTGACTCCATCCCCTGACTCCATCACCTGACTCCATCTGCTTCTACTCTATTATTTAGCAGTCTGCAAAGGAAACAGATGTGCAGGATGTTTCTGGACATGAACTCTGTGACTTATGATTATTCTCATTGTTATATCTATCAGCTAATTGATCAGTTGACTATTGGTTTCAGCTATCTAACTAGCTAGCTAACAAAAAAACGTGAAAGGTCCTCTCTAGAGGCAGAGTTTGGTTTGTCAGTTCTGGGCTACTGTAGAAACATGGCGGCTCAATGGAGGAAGACCTGCTCTCTGTGTAGATATGAAGAGCTCATTCTAAGTTAATGAAGACACAAAGATTCTTATGAGATTCTTCATTATGTGTTTCATTAGTGTATGATAGTACACTAACCAAACTATAATTAGTTTAGATTTAATTTCAGATCCTTAAAGTTCCTGTGTAAACATGGTTCTCTAACATAGTGGTTCTTGTTCTACCTCGGTACATCAAAGAGAGGACACCAGACTATAAATGACACTGATATTCATATCTGGAGATTTTAGAAATGCAGAATGATAAACTAATTTATAGACAGATACTGACACTGTGATCACTGTCAGAGTTGCTCCTCTCTACATGAAGCTGAGGCTCATTTAACACCTGAAAAACCTGAAACATTTCAACACAAGTCTGAAGTGGCTGAAGTCACTATAATAAATATATTACCTCAACCTCCATCTGTCATCTCAGTTCATCTCAGGTGAAGAGGAGATTCTGTTAAAACGGTTTTCCACCCCTGAGCATCACACAACCAACCACAGTAATGATCAGTGTGTTTAACTTATAAAAAGTGGCATGTGAGCTAATAAATGAGAGTCCCAACCTCTGGTCCTGCCAGGAGTGGTCTGTCAGGTTTATGAAGCAGCAGCACAATTCACTCTGTGATGAGACTGATGTCTGACTGTTCACTGTAAAACAGACTGAGAGAACAGGAAGTCTTCTTTTTCAGTGTCAGAAACTCTACTCATATCTGAGTGAAGCCACCTTCATGTCAACGTGTCCTCAGTGTGAGTCCATCACCAGACACAGCAGTGTTTCCTGTCCATGTCTGAGCAGTGACTGAGCAGAGCACAGCGACACTGACAGATGTTTATCCAGAGCTGAAACTAGATTCACAGGTGACAGAAGGAGGCTTACATGTGCACTGCACTCATGTTGAGTCTGGATCTTAAAGTTCGTTACGTGACGTGACATATTCTGATTAATTACATGACCCAAACTCAGTGAAACATGTGTTGGTGTGTAGTTCATCTCTGACACAGACTGACAGCTGCAGTGACACATACTACACTTTATATTTATCAATGAGAACAACTAAGTTTTATAGAAAATCAACAACATTAATTTTTTCTTCTCTAAACTTCACTATCTTTACTGGAATATTTCCCTCCCCAGTTCCTGCGGGTCAGTATTCGGGGTCTGGTCAAGTCAAACTGGGATATAAGTCTCAGACTGACCCGGGTTTAGGTGGAGCTAACCAGCCCATGCCGTGCTGCCAGGAGTCCCGGCTCCGGTTAGCCGGGATAGCTCATTAGCTCTGTGCTACAGAGAAGCGGCTCCCGGCTAACAGGCAGAGTAAAGGCCGGTCTGTACCGCTTCACCGGTGCGGGGACAGCGGCCACACGGCGGCTCTGTCCGCGGTGTCTCACCTGTGATATAATCGAAAAGCTCCGAGTCGATCTCAGGAAACTCGCTCTTCAGAATGTCCACGTACGTCGCCATGATACCCGGCCCTGGACTCAGCCGCGATGCGCATGCGTCAAAATGCGACAGCGCCGTGAATTCTTGGAGATGTAGTTTATATGTCCATTGGGGCGATGTCAGGTTATAAAAGCTAGGCCAAAATGTTATTATATATATAAATATTGATTTCCCATTACAAGTTATTTATTGATTTATTTATTATTATTTATTATTAACATTTACATTTCTAAGGTCACTGTAAAACTCCATCTTGCAAAAGAAGAGATTATTTTGTCAAGTAATTTGATCTTCTTCAGTGACTTTTTTAAAACCTGTATGATTTTTTTTTAATGTTAAGTTGTTGATTTATTAATGTATCTTGTATTTCTGTCGGATGTGTTGATGTGTTCAAGTTCACGTAACTTACAGGATAAGAAAACCTATTTCTTTTCTCTCTTGATCTTCGATTTTGTTGCTGCTTGTTTCGCAGCTTCGTTATTTTTTCATTGTTTTTCAGGTAAGTGAATGAACTGTCTTTGACTACATAACATTTTGAATATGGACTTTTCCTGTTGAAATTAAAACATAGTGGTTAGATGCTTTTTATGCTTTAATGTCATCAATTGACTTCATTGTAACCCCGCATTTTTCATATATATATATATATATATATACAGTGCTAATAGTAGTATATGTAGTATTAGTAGTACTTATAATACCATATAGTATAGTACATATACAGTATTAGCAGTTCTAGGCAGTACTAAAAGCACTATATGCAGTACTAACAGTAGACTGTTTTCTTAGTAAAAACTCGTCATCTGTTGTCCAGTCGCCTCCTCTGTGAGCGCCGCTCTGCGCATGCTCCACTATGTGTTTAGGGTGGGAGAGTTAGCCGTTAGCACGGAGAGCTAACAGCCGGAGTGTGTAATGGCGGCCTCGGTGTTGTTGGGGTCTGCGGACAACACCGGACTCAGCTTCACGGTGGGAGGCGGCGGCACTGGGAATGTTTTAGTCGGGAATAATAATGGACTGGGACCGGCGGGGCCGGCGCCCTGGAACCGTTCTCTTGACCGGGCGCTGGACGAAGCCTCGGCCACCGGGTGTCTGAACCTCAGCGGCAGGAAGCTGAAAGAGTTCCCCCGGAGCGCCGCCAACCACGACCTGACGGACACCACCAGGGCCGGTGAGTGAGCTGCGGAGCCTGGGGACCACACTCTGTTAGCTGGGCGGGACTCTGTCGGGGCGGTTAAAGTAACTTGCAGACAGTTTTTATGTATTCAACAGCGGAGGAAGTGAAAATCCAACCTGGAGGCTCCAGAGAAGACAGGACGGGGAAACCGTCAGGGCCGGTGTTATGACAAAATACTGTACCCCCTGAAAAAAGTTCCCCTGTCGTGATTCCACTGTGAGGAAACGCTGCTCAGAAATATTAGAACCGTAATATCGGCACACTATCTTATATCCTGGAGTGTCTCGTAGACTTTTTAACATTTGTGAAAGCAAAAATAATTTCTATAACCTGATCCATTCATTAGCAGGAATCCAAAATAACGTTAGCTAACTTCAGCTAGTTAGCGCGGTTAAATTAAACCTGTCTCTTTTTAAAGCATCAGACTTGTATAACACTGTGTTGTATCTGTGATTCATGTCGGTTCTTTGTGTTAAATAGAGGTGAAGATGCCTTAGTTGGGGCTGCCCCATGGCTTGTATTATTACACCTGTAAGGTTTGTTAATGGGAGGTTGTTGGTGTTAGCAGCTAGCACGCTAACACTGCTCCAGGTGTGTTTGTAGTCTGTAAAGACGGAGAGGACCTGCTGCTGCTACTGTTACCGGTGTCGGGGTCACTGAGCCATTAGAACCTCACCCCGAGTTTCTGACGTCAGCTGGAGTTTGGTTTTATTTAGCGTATTGATTCTGATTAGATAATGAGACAGGAGTGAATGAATGCCTGCTCCGCCCACCCGAGACTGACGGCCGCCGTTGACAGACAAAACAAACGAAGCTGAGGAGGTTACCCGTCAACTGTCTGTCTGTTTGTCTGTCTGTAGGACAGGGTGGAATTGACACAATCATCATGTCAATTCAGTCTCTGGACCTGTTCAGACCTGGTATTAACATCAGTCTCGGGTGATCCGATCAAATGGCCAGCTCTAAATACAGGTTTTAAGGCACCCAAGACGCATTGAGGAGGCATTTGAGATCCGATCACTTTGGCCCTGTTTAGACCTGGTATTAATATGCGTCTTCAATGATACATCATTCAGATGTGGTCTGGGACACGTGTCCACATTCCTTTAGCAGTGTGAACGCAAATGCGTCCTGGGCCATATTGAAGGACCAGCTACTCTACTGACACCCTCTGCTACAGTCTGATCAGTCCCAACTAAGTGAGATCCAATCACAAGTGGTCAATCAAGATGCTTGTGAGACGCATTTTAAAGCCAAGTGTGAACTGACATACTTATATCTATAATGTTTTTATTTATACTTGTGATTGGATCACTAATACCAGGTCCGAACAGGGCCTCTGGTTCTCAGTAAGTGTTCAGTGCTCATGACAGACAGAGGAGATGTTATGTGAGTGGAATGCAGCTTATTTCAAGCCCAACACTGCTGAACAGACTAAATATTTGGCTACATTTAATAATACAGTGTTTTTCAGTATTTTATCATCATCAGCAGGATCTCTGTGCTTGCATTAGGTTTGTGATGGTTGAATTTGGTATGAGTGAAATTACCAAAATGCTCTATTGTGATAAATGTCATTTTACATCACAGTAATAATATATGTGATAACCACAGAGTACTGTCCACACCTCAGCAGTCTCACCATCTTAGTATCAAGCTCTTCTCCTTCATCCTGTTGGTTGGGATGCTCCTGCTCTGTGTTTACAATTTCACTCTCCTCCATTTTTCTTGGCACCATTGCTTGGTGTTTACCATCATACTGGCCTACCTTGGTTTGGATGGATGTTTGAAAAGAGATGTACAGTATATGATCTGAAACAGGTTGTGAATGAAGGTGGATCCTGTCTCTCTCTGTCGCAGCATCGCCCTCTGTTTAGATCCATGTGGGGAGAGTTATTGCTCAGACAAATGGGTGATTTTAAAATTACATGGTCTAGTCAGGGATTTTAATGAAAGATGTGCTGCAGAGTTTAAAGATTAGTAGATCAATCAATAGAGAATTGATTGGTAAATAGTTTGTTTATCTATTTATTTATTCTGATCCCCATTAGTTATCACTTATCACTACTTGTTCTTAGAAAAAACTTCCGACAATAATTTCATGTGGTGATGTAAGTCAGAGTCTACAGTCAGTCAAAGTGAAGCTGGAGATGTGGATGAGACCAGCTCAAACACTGAGCCTCAAACTGAGCAGCTCACCTAAAACAATGAGAGTTTCGTTTGTCAAACATTGAAGAACTATTTCAGAGACCAAAGGTAACACCACCAATTATTTTAATCACAGTGCCATATATGAAGAGAGCATGTGGCCACATTCTTTTAGCAATGTGAATGTGCCCAGGGCCACACTGAAGCACCGCCCACTCCACTGATGTCATCTGCCACAGTCTAAATAGTCCTGACACAGTTTCTAATGAACCCAAAATAATTTACACTAGAGAGAAACCAGCTGCAGTTTACTTTAACAACTATAACTGACAGCTCCACAGACATTTTCCAATTCAATCATATGTTCATAAGAAAACATTGACTATTAACCTAACTTTTAAATAACCAGGTGAAGGTCTCTCTCCATCTCTCTCTCTCAATTCATTTCAAATAGATTTATTGGCATGAGAAAAAACAAGTTTGCAAATTATTAAAATATACGTAAAATACAATAAATGTGTCTATTGATACAGATTTTAAAAATAGAATATAATTCAACATATTATAACTAGGGATGGGCACTTGAAGAAACTTTTTTGATCGATCATCTGGATATTAACGATCAATTATCGATTAATTATTCATTTTTTTTATATAAAAAAATGCCTATGGCAGAAAATACTAAAGAAAGCGTCTTTTTCCTCAATGAAATCTTTATTCCAAGAAGAAATTATGGTCCAACAACAATCCTCTTAAACACGTCAGTTAAAGTTTAATTGTTTAACTATTAAACAGAACAAAAAGATATGCGGCGCTCCTAATGGCAGCGGAGCCCGAGGCTCTGAGCCAAACCTCTTCACAAATAACAAGCCAAAGCTACGGCGCTTATACACAGCATTGCAATGTTTACAATGAGCTTCATTATTTTTTAGCTTGAAATGCTCCGACATCAACCTTGCCTTGCTCTCTTCATGTTTACCTGTGATGCCGATGGCAGCCCCCGTGCACTGGCAGCTGAGTTTTCATTTTTCTCTGTTGAAAATTAAAATTGTGCCCCGGCTGGTTGCTGCAATGTAGTGAAATTAATTGCTTCAAGACACACTACACAACACAACCACGTTACATCGAACAGGTTCCATCTGATCGACAAAATTCTTAACGATCAATTATCGATCATCGATTAATCTCGCCCAGCCCTAATTATAACACAGTTTTATATGTTTATTTATATACAATCATTTAATATCATACAGATGTGTCTTTATGGGGATGTTATTGTGAGTCCCTCATGCTGTGGCAGGCAGAGACATATTAAGCTGCTGGTCCTTCACCCAGGAGAACTGACAGTTTCTCCTCACTTCCGTATAGAGCTGTTGGTAAAATTACATAATCAAGTGTTTTTGTCTAGGTTCTAGGATGGTCAGGTTATGTTGAAGACCATCACTGGTTGGGGATAATAGAATTAGGTCGTCTGCATAAAGCAGGTATCTAATCTCTGTGTCCAAGAGTGTGAGGCCTGAAGCTGCTGATCAGTCCAACTGCTCTGCAAGTTCATTAATATACAGGTTGAATAATGTAGGACTCAAACAGCATCCCTGTTTCACACCATGTCCCTGAGTAAAATAATCTGTTCTTTGATTATTGATTTCAACACCACACTGGTTGTGCTTGTACAGACATTTTATAAGATCATATACCTTACCATCTAGTAGAAAAGTCCTTCATGCCAAATGGAATCAAAGGCTTTTTTAAAATATTTTCCCTCCCTTCTTTGGTGGACATGTTTATTGATTGAAGTGTGTAAGGTGTATATACGATTGGAGGTTCTGTAATTTTAGAAGAAAGCCAATTTGACATTTACCAAGTATGATTTTGTCTTCTTGTCTTCTGTCAGTTCAGTATCCTGGAGTTCAGGATACTACAGATTAGTTTCCCATAGTTTCTCTCTCTCTCTCCGACTCTGTCTGTCTCTCTCTCTCCGTGTCTCTCTCATTGTCTCTTTCTCTCTGTGCATCTCTCTCTTCTGACTCCCTGTCTCTCTGTCTCTCTCTCTCTTCTGTCTCTCTCTCTTGCTCTCTCTCTGGTTAAAAACAACACACCTCATAGCACTGCAGCTGTATTCAGTACACAGGGAAACAAGCTTTGTAACAGCACATGAAGCACTTCCTGGTCTGTAGAACATCATCAAATGTGTCCAGTCAGAGGAACACAGAGCTCTAGCTGTGTGTGGATGTGTGAACACAGCTCTAGATCCTGTGACCTCTCATAGGTTTCTAGACATGTTAGATGAGGTCGGGTTGGGGGTGGGGGGTGGGGGGGGTCAGGGAGGCGTCTCACTGTTTAACTGTAGTTTCTGTCTTGATGTTGGTCAGAGTCACACTCAGTCTGAAACTGAAGTCTGTTCGATGTGGTGAGTGGCTCTGTAAAGACCTGCAGACATGAGCCTCCTCCAGGCGACACACGACTTCATACAGCACCACTGCAGACAGGCAGGCACACAGCCCCCCCCCTCACTAGGAGCTGAACACATGAACGCTAGTTGACATTCACAACACTGTGCTGGTGTTGCCAGCATAAAACTACATTAACATGGCAGGTGCTGCTGCTGAAGGACCTTCACAACTTGTTTTAGTTGAAAATGAAAAAAGTGCCGCTTGGAATTATTTTGCATTATTATTTTACCTGGCTGGCGGCACACAGTAACATTAGCTGATAGCCACATTAGCCGTCTGTTAAGTTATCATTAAGCTAGTGGCTATGGCTAATAATAATGTTGGAGCTAGGCAGCAAACATTATCAGTGCTGCCCGTCTGTATCGTTAATAGACAGTGTTAATTTAACAGGATAACACAATAATTTGTGTCTGAAAAGTGTATTTATTTATTTTTTATATATATATATATATATATATATATACCAGATTGAAGCTGAGAAAAGTTGACCAGCAACTAGACAGACACAGCAGTAGCCTACCCTACCAACTCTATTTGATCAGCAATGAAAATGTGGTGCCAAGTGACCAGAAGCACAGAAAATAAACAGGGCTGTAGCTGAATATATTTGCGTTTCATATATACATATTTTTGTTCTGCCTCAGACAACCAAAAAATAGTGTTGTCATTGATGTTATTGCTTGTATTGTGCTTGTAAAAAAAAAAAAAAAAAAAAAAAAAAAAAGGGTTAAGGTCTTTTTTTCTCCTTGTGGTATCAAACATGGTATCGAGTATTTTCCTGGGTATCGGTCTCTAGTTTGAAATTCTAGTATCGTGACAACCCTAGTTCAGTTCTAGTTAGGAAAGCCGACCGGCAGCACCCGGCAGAGTGGCAGAGCTATGTGTTGCTGTGCACAGGGCCTCCACAAAAAACGTGTTTTCGACACTTTTAAAAACGCAGAAGCAGTCCAGTATCCGTTTAAATGTACCCTTCATGTAGAATATTTTCAGTGGTTTATCTTCCTGTGAAAACAGCAATTTCCTTTGGCACTACTTTTTTCAACCGCTGAACTTACGTATTCCTACGCACAAGCCATCCTACAGAGTGCACACAACACCACGTCAAATAACCCCTATCCATTTAATAGTTTGACATCCGGAGAAAACAACAGTTTTCACAGAAATCAATTCTTCTTCACTGCTTAAAATCAGTAGTCTACCCAGGAAGTTGTAGCCACTGGCAACAAGGGTTTTAGAGTAGTGAAGAAGAACTGATTTCTGGTAAATAGTGCGGCATTAGCCATTAGCAAAACGTCAGTAATTTGTCAACATGTTACATGACAACGTGTCCAGTATGTATGGCTTTAATTTGGAGTGGCTCTAATGTCAGAGTGTAGGAAGAGATATTTTAATGACTGACAGTCAGAGTAGATCATACATTCATCATTCATGGTTGTGTTTGTGTTCTACTTTTTTATCCTGTGTCATACAATACTCTCAGCAATTACATCACACACAGGGTCAATAGTTTACTGCTGTTAGATATTTTATTCAGTATTAGCTGTTACACAAGTTCAGGAATCACAACATCTCTACAGTGTGAACATGGAGAAAACATGAAAATCCCACAGAACCCTTTGTGTGTGTGCGTGCGTGCGTGCGTGCGTTTGTGTGTGTGTGCGTGCGCGTGCATTTGTGTGTGTGTGTGTGTGTGTGTGTGGGTGGGTAAAGCTTATGTGTTTGAGGCTGTCAGGGTGTAACAGCAGCTCCTATGTTCAGTCTGTGTTGCAGTCTGTCTGTGATCCAGTCTGATCCATTCTGTGATCCAATCTGTTACCAAGTCTGTCTGTGATCCAGTCTATGATGATCTTGAGGATCCTGTGTAGAGCTGTGGTGGATTCAGTTGTGAGCAGCCACATTTATATTATACATATATACAGTAATACATATATACATATACATTTTGATGTATTGCATTTTATGTATTATGTATGACCAACTGTTGCACATAAAACACAATGATATAAACTGGTCTCTCTCTCTCTCTATCTCTATTCTGTCTTCTAACTCTCTCTGATCGTGTTACAGTAAATACAGCTGAAATCACAGCTCAGTCTTTGTCTTTAACTGACGTGTCTGGTAATGTGGTTATTAAATCAGGATTTCAGCAGCAGCTTGGAAGTGACTGCTGGTTAACATGTAGTCTTAATGGACCAAATTTCAGTCACTGTTTCAAACTTTTTCTGTTGTCGTGACAACAGAAACAGAAAAACATGAGAAGAGCTTTATTTTGAATTCAGCTGTATTAAAATACTGTATATATGAGCACAGAGAGGAGGAGAGAAGAGAACAGATAATATCAATGAAAGTGAGAGCTGGGAGTACGACTCCTGTGTAACACTGATGATCTATTAGAGGGCAGGATGTGACCTGTGTCATGCTGTAGACAAGAAGAGCTCAGGGTCCCAGAAACTTTATAGGGTTAAAGTGAGGTGCTCAGCTGATCAGTGTGAGTAATGGCATCCTCTGTGACCATGACAATTACAGAGAGTGATCTGATTGGGTAATGACTCCGAAGACAGAGGAAGACAGAGGACAGAGTGTTGTTAGAGGTTTGGTTTCTATTTTCAGAATCAGTCACAAGTTTGTCACAGTGATCTCTCTCTCTCTCTCTCTCTCTCTCTCTCTCTCTCTCTCTCTCTCTCTCTCTCAGTATTCTTTAATACCACATTTCTGTAGAGGCATGAAGGAGTTCTCAGATTAAATGAAAAAGATAAAAGACTCCGAGCTTCACATTGACTCTCAGCTCAGTGTTTATCTGTTCTGCTTCAGTCTCTCTGCTCTCATCCAGCTGTTCTCAGAGAAACATCTGTTTTCAGCCTCTGTCCTCTACCTGTTGAGCAGCAAACAGCAGACAGACTCAGTCAGAGAGCAGCTGGTGAACATAGTGGAGCATTTAGCAGCTAAAGAGGAGCTGGTGGAGACCAAACAGCTAAAAGAAAGAGAGGGAACACTGGACTGAGATTAATCAGGTCACACAGACACCACCACAGATAGATCGCCATGTTGATCTGTAACAGCTGGATGTGGAGATAAGCAGCTGTGGGTTTAAATTCAAATGTTTTCTCCATAAAAGCAGACTGTCTGTATGTGACTAGTACGACAGGTCTTGACCTCTCAGAGAACATGGGTCAGACTCTCGTAAATCACCTGTTTGTGTCATAGTGAATGTGTTGACTGGTTCTGAGTCAGGACAGTGTTGGAGCAGCTGAAATATTGATCGCATGATCAATACATTTCTGCTGTTAGAAGATCAGCTGCACTGTAGAGATAACATCATTATTGAAAAGGACTTAGCTATAGATTATCAAATAGTTCTTCTTTTGTTTTTGTCAGTTACCACACCACTTCAGGTTCATTACTGCCTCCTTCTGATTCACATGTAGACCAGCAAACATAGAAGGATCTGACTCAGAGCTGAGACCTGTTAAAATGCAGCTTTTGACAGGCTGATATGACTGTAACCTGATCTCTGTCTCTGTGTCCAGATCTGTCTCGTAACCGTCTGTCCGAGCTTCCTCTGGAGGTCTGTCTGTTCGTGTCTCTGGAGAGCCTGAACCTCTACCAGAACTGTCTGAGGTCTCTGCCAGATAGTCTGCTCAACCTGCAGGCCCTCACCTACCTGAACCTCAGGTAACACACACACACACACGCACACACACACACACACACACACACACACACACACACACACACACGTTTCTTACCATTATCAGATCCCATGCACAGACTCAAGCCTACACTGACTCCTGTGATAGAGCTGATTCCTCACACCGCCCTGCTGCTTTAAATGCTCACCACAGCACCAAGGGTGGATTCATCCACAGCTGAAAATAGTCCCCCAAGAAAGTCACAGTTTCCTCCTGTTTGATAGAAATTACAGTGACGACTGTTGGAGGATCAGCTGTTTGACTGAGCTCGGCATAAATGAAACAGTATATCTGTGTCAGTAGAACCAATGAGCCACAGACAGGAAGTGATGAGAGATGACACTTTGTTGGTTTGAGTCTGATCATAAGGTTTGTTGACATGTAGAATAACACCAGACAGATCCTTTAAACTAAAGGTTTAATGGTTTATTTCAATAGTTTGGTATATTTGAAGAAGAAACTCTCTCTCTGCCTGTCTCTCTCTGTCTCTCTCTGTCTGCCTGTCTGTCTCTCTCAGTCGGAACCAGCTGTCTGTCCTCCCTGTGGTGGTCTGCAGTCTTCCTCTGAAGGTTTTGATCGCCTGCAACAACAAACTGGTTTCTCTTCCAGAAGAACTGGGTCAGCTGAGACACCTGACTGAACTGGTCTGTGGACAGGAATACTGAGTCTGGGTTGGGGATGAGATGATGTCATGTCTGTACTGTCACAGGTTCTTCTTCATACTGTTCATACCACTGTTTCTAGCCTCAGTGAGGGCATGAGAGTCCACACTGAGACTCTTCTCTTATCTCATTTACAGACCTGAAGAAGAAAGTAACATTTCCATTAAGATGAATATGTCACAGAAATATATACAGTAGGGAGAACAAGTATTTGATACACTGCCGATTTGATGTCATGCAATAAAATGCAGATTAATTATTTAAAAATCATACAATTTGATTTTCTGGATTTTTGTTTTAGATTCCGTCTCTCACAGTTGAAGTGTACCTATGATAAAAATGACAGACCTCTACTTGCTTTGTAAGTGGGAAAACCTGCAAAATCGGCAGTGTATCAAATACTTGTTCTCCCCACTTTATAAATATATATATATATGTGTATATATATATATATATATATGTATGTATGTGTTGTCCTTTGGTCTCTAATAATGATGAGACACCTCACCCCTTAAGGAGGTCCTGACCCTCAGGTTGGTACCCAGTGGGAGACAGACACAGGGTTTTATCTCCTGTGAGAGACGCATAGTATCAGCTCATCAGCCTCTACACAGATACATACACCATGATAGAGGATCAGCCACTCTGTCAGGACCACAGCTGTGATCATCAGGTATTGATTGGTGATCAGGATTATCATACAACAGACAGCTGTTTCTGTTGTTTACTTTGTCCTCACTGATGTAAATGGATGTCAATGGATTTATAAAACATCAGAGCTTTACATCTCAGTATCAACACGAACATCTCTTAATAGATCAATGACCTGACAGATGTCAATAAGTCAGAGATCACATTGATGATAAATCATATAAAGATCAAAGATCACCATAAATTAGTTCTATAATAATTCATTTACAACACAGTGACTTTAACTGTAACAGTCACATCTGTTGGGTTACAAATGTCTGTCATCTCACTGTATCATCATGTTTGCTAATCCTTACGATCAGTTATTTGTTATCAGTGTTTGAAGGCTGTGTGGATCCCTTCTGCAGGATGTCAGCTGTAATGAGATCCAGACTTTACCATCTCAGGTGGGTCAGCTGGAGGCTCTACGAGACCTGAATATCAGGAGGAACCACCTGGTCAGACTGCCCCCAGGTAAACACACAGTACCACACACACAAAGGAAACCACCTTAAACTTGTTGAGGTGGACTGTCAGTGGACTCGGAGTGAAGTTAATGCGTCTGTGTTGGTGTTCAGAGCTGGCAGAGCTCCCTCTGGTGCGTCTGGATTTCTCCTGTAACAAGGTGACCTCCATCCCCGTCTGTTATCGACGACTCGCACAGCTACAGACCATCGTCCTCGACAACAATCCTCTGCAGACCCCACCTGCCCAGGTACACCAGCAGTGATGTCATTGCCCTGCTGTCTGTTTGGATTCAGCTGAAGACTCTGTCACTCAGTGTTCTCTCTCTGTGTCGCTGAATAGATCTGTATTAAAGGGAAGGTCCACATATTTAAATACCTGAACCTGGAGGCCAGTAAGACGACCCCTGACCTCCCAGACTATGACAGACGACCTCTGACCTTCAGCTCCTGGTCTGAACTCATCACACTCATTCACTCTCACACACACACACACACACACACACACACACACACACACACATACATACACACACACACACACACACACACACGTCACATTAGTATTCATCTGTCGTCATCAGTAACTGGTGAAGTCAGAAGTTGATTCATTGATCAGTCACATGACAGAAAATCAACAACAGTTTCGATTATCAGTTAATTACAGGACAATAATTATTTTCTATTTTTTATTGTGAATACCTGACAGGAAGTGATGACGGTGTCTTAGCTTAATGTAAATAACTCACTCTGTGTGTGTCAGTGTTGATGAGCTGTACCCTGGTCGTCCATATGGAGCACTGGATTCAGGCTTCAACAGCGTTGACAGCGGAGACAAGAGGTGGTCAGGGAACGAGGTCAGACACTCACACACACACATCCTGATCAAAGACATCAAGGACACCAGTCCTTTCTCTTCTTCCCGTGTGTACTAACCCTCACTTCCTGTCTGTATGCTCAGCCCACCGAGGAGCTGTCGGAGCTGCCACAGAGAGTGGCTGAGATCAGCAGAGACCAGAGACTGAGACCAGCAGGGGGAGGAGGACCACTACTGGCTAACGGAACACGTGAGTCTGTGTTTCTGTTCTCAGATCAGTTTGAACTGGGGATGGGTACCGAAACCTGGTATTGAATGGGCTAAATTTTTAAAGACAGATAAGTTCCGATGTTATGCGGTTCTGCTCTCATCAGATTGTGATACAGCGCCACTACATTGCCATAGTGGCGTATTGCAGCAATTGCAGCAATTTGACAGAGGCAGCCACCTCAAATTCTCTACGCAGGAAAAACCCTGCCATCAGCTGACTGAGGGGACTGTTTTCAGGGTTCAGCTCTTGGGTCTTCAGTGCTTTGAATGCCAGTGTGTCTTTTTTCCGACTTAAAGAGTCCAAAATGTTGTTGCCGGTTACTGTTTAGCAGTAAAGGGAAACGTCCCAGTTCTGCTCGGCAGCTACTGTTTGGCGTTTTCCTTTGAACACCTAGAGTTCTTCTGCAGAATTCAGTGTGGAGGGCTTCTATTAGGGGGTAAAATTACATAATCAAATATTTTTGTCCAGATTCTAATTTACACCATTGCGTCAGGTGTGGTTTGTATGCTGCAGCCTGGAGCTCACACACAAAGTTAACTAAATTATACCAACATGGGTCAATGATGAAAAGTAACCATCGGCTGATCGTTCTGGGTGTGTTCTTAATTTCATATATATTATATTCATATGCATAATAACTGTTGTTCAGAAATTCAGTTTCAGGTCACTGAAGGAGGGGGGGTTTGTTTCTGTTAATCAGTTACATATGAGAAAATAAGCAATGTTAATTCTGTTCTTAATTAGTTTTTTTTTTTCTCTTATAAAATAACAAAGTCTCGATAAGAGTGTCGTTAAAGTACCAGATCGATAAGTGGTATCGATAAAAGTAGTAGTACCGTTAAAATCTTAACGATACCCATCCATAGTTTGACCTGACTCTCTGTGCAGTGGTAGTGTTATCATCCACAATCATCCAGTTAGAGAAACAGAGGGTGCAAAACTTCATTGAGAATCCTCCTGTTTTTAAGTTCTCTTCAGTATCACAGTAATCCAGTGATAGTTGTCTGAACATCATGATCCACTGCAGACAGGAGCTGATCACAGCTGATTCAGCTGCTGGCAATCAGAGTGTTTGACTACAGGGAAACAGATACAGGCTCAAGTTGTAGCTCATAGCAACACATGGCTTAAAATTTAGCGCAGGATTATACCCAAACAGAAGTAAAGAAAAGATCCATTAATATTAATGTCTTTCTTCTCAGTGACACTCTGTTGTTCAGACTCTTGTAATAGTAGTAATAGTTACGCTCTAATATTTACTGTGACGAAAACAAGCCGACTTTCTGACTAAAGATCAAACAATTTCAAACAGTGTAAACATTTTTAATAAAAACCTCTCCAACATTTAAAATACTGACATAGAGCTGAGGTTCAGAACAGAGTCCTGGACTGAAGCAGGATCTTAGGTCAATGAGGTAACTTCAGGTTTAACTCTGGTAAGGGTAAATCACCATGGTAACTGATGCTGAACTCCTAACCTGCTCTGGAGCAGGTTTCTCTCCTAGTTTGTTCACATTTCACTTTATAATGTCACTATAACTGAATTCACCTGCACAGATCTGTTCCTTCTCTTATCATATTAATACTTTATTCATGGTTCTAATCAACTCTTCCTCTGTCACATGAACGAGCTCATACCTGGACAGGTAAACAGAGGTACCTGAACCAGGTGATAAGCAGCTTCACACTGCAGGGTAACAGGACAAGGTCAGGTTCAGTTCAACCAGATAACAGGAAGTTATCCTGGGTATGTTGAACCTTCTCTGTGGTTCAGGACTCAGAGCTGCTCAGGAGTTGTATTTATACCCCCAAATGTCTGTTTGACTGAAACCTGATCAGTTCACTGATCGATTTGATTAATGATCTTCTCTGCTCTCTTTCTCTGTGTTCATCAGATGTAGAGCTGGAGCAGATAGACTTCATAGACAGCTGTGTGGGGGAGGAGGAGGAGGAGGGGGGGGGGAGTCGAGGAGGTGGAGGAGGAGGAGGGGACAGCGCCAGCCTGAGCTCTCAGTTCATGGCCTACATCGAGAGACGCATCACCAGAGAGGTAGGAGCTCCGCCCACCAGGAATCACACCTGCACCTGTCTGACCAAAGACATGAAGTATACACGTGTCACCTGACACACGAATGACGTGTCCTGATCTGAGGTCATCTCAGCTCCTGGACCTGACTATGAATCAAAAGAGCAGGTGGATCTTACACATGTTCAGAGCGATCACCTGGTCCTGGTACTGGTTCCAGTCCCACCTGTACTGGCAAGAGCTAGAAACTGATCTCACTTTATTTTGTAAAACCCTGAGTGACTTCCTGTCTGTTTTCAGGGTTCTCCAGTCAAAACCAACTCACCGAGGACAGAGGACACAAGGAGACACATCCGGTACACACACACACACACACACACACACACACACACACATTAATCTCACTTCAGTTTTATTCATATTTATCTGAATTCATTTCTGAGCTGTTCTCTAACTTCCTGTCTGTCTACCTGTTTGTCTCTCAGGAGTGTGGTCGATGGTGTCACAGCACCCTCTACCTCCCAAAACCAGGTAACAACTCCTCTTCCTGCTGGCTGACATAAAACCTCAGTCAAACAAACTAATTCTGCTGCTGATACTCCCCCTCTGTCTCCTCCTCTGTCCTCTCCCTCTGTCTCCCCCCTCAGAGAGGAGGTGTCGGTCCAGGAGGGGTGGAGAGGGTGAGGAGGGAAGCTCAGCTCGCTGCTCTGAGGTACGACGAGGAGAGACAGAAGACCCGTTCTCTGCAGAGAGACAACGTCACCAGTTACACCAAGGTACCACCGGTTTCACCCGTCACACACCAGTACACTGTTGGCTGGGACTGTCAAAATAAAAGACAGTTCAGGTTTGGCTGCTTGTGTTTGGATTTAAATTTCCTTGGTCCCATAAAAATAAGATGTAGTAAAATAGTTTTGTGTTGTTCACAATGAGACTGACGTCTGATCAGAAAACTATTGATCTTCGCTGAAACTGTCATATCCACACATCAAATGACACCCAGTTAAATGAAACGCTACACTTCCTGTTTTTCTGTTCACTTTTCTGTTTCACAATAAAAGTCCTCCATGGAAGGGATAATATAGGAGTGTTTGGGACAGAAGTAACTCATAATTATCATAGTGATTTTAATCAATAGAATATGTATAATCAGACATGAGTGAGTCATTTCTCTTCACTCATCAGTTACTGTTTATTATTGATAATGAAAATAATAAAATGAATCTGACCTGTCATCACTCACAAGAAAAGCTCCACATTAACAATCAGATGTGAACCTGGTTCAGTACACTTCATGTGACACTCCCTGTTGTCAGGAGTGAAGAGGAGAGTCGTTCAAACATGACCTGACACTGACTCTGTTGCTTTTCAGCATAAAGCAGCTCAGAGTCCAACAAAGTCCAGTCCAGACAGTGAGGTGAGTCTGTTTTCCTGTGTGTGTATGTGTGTGTTGTTGCATTTTAAAAATATTTTCTCTTCTACACATCTCACATACCCCCCTCCTCCACTGTGCAACAAGAACATGATCAGATCTGATCCATCTGCTCAAACCAGTTCAACCAGTGACTGTAGATAAAGACGTCTCCTCTTGCTGTCTCCGTACAACATGAAGTCAAACTATCTTGAGCTGATGACATCATTTGCAGTCTGTTTAGTAGTGATCAGGGGGTGGACCCAATCATGAAATTAATCACAGCTGTCAATCATGGTGTTTCGCTCCTGTTTTATAGCATCATATAGCTAATTAAAACCAGACGTATCCTTAAAACACTTGAACATCAGTGTGATGAAAACAAGCTGAACTGACAGAAACATCTCTGAGAATGTTTATTTTCATGTTCTTTGATTAGTGGTTTTGGTCCATCCTCTAACTTGGAGGGGGCAGGGTTTATAGCCACCAGGGGGCGATACAGATATTTTGGCTTCACTTTGTGGATTTGTGATGTCATCCACCTTCATACAGTCTCTGGGTTGAACAGCTGTTTAGTTCCTCCTGCAACAAGGATGCTGGACTTCTCCCAGAATTCACCTCTCCACAGTCTGGACGGTGTTAAATTCAGATCTCCACCTGCTCACGAACACTGCTCAGAGTCTGTGATGTGTCTGACTCTGATCACATGACGTGATTCCAGCTCTGCACTCACTCACAGTGTTGGTTAGTCCTGATCCAGGACTGTGTACTGAGATTCTGGATCAGCCCCTCCCATACTGCAGCTGATGATATACAACAAGTAATGTTGATCAGAATCATCAAAGTTTAACCTCTGACCTTTGGTTGTTTCTCTCATTTTAAATTCAGTTCCATGGTTTCAGTTTTAGCTCCTCCTCCCTCTGTTTAGGCCATGCCCCTTCATCACAGCACCTGTTCATCTGCACATCACATCTGTCTGTGTTTGTTAATGTGTGTCTTTGATGTGTGTATTTGTGTGTATTTGTGTGTATTTGTGTGTGTGTGTGTGTGTGTGTGTGTGCGTGCGTGTTGTCGTGTGTGTGTTCGTTCAGACTGTCTACCCCTCCAGACGCTCCACCCACACTGATGACTCCGCCCTCTTCATGGTAAGAGTTTGGCCCTGCCCCCATAAATATACTAACTGACCTCCAAAGTAAAAGCTTCTTTATCAGTCCAGAACCAGCTGATCTGAATCATTCAGATTTATGTTTCATCACCACAGATGTCAACAAGTACTTTACTCTCCATTTCCTGTGGCTCTTACAATAAATGCCACTTTTTATAGTGTAACTCTTTCCCTGTTATATTCAAAATAATACATTTAACTGGAGAACTCTCCACCTCTGACCCCTGACCCCAGATGGACCGAACGACTTCACTGATTTCCAATACTTATTTTATGGTCTAAGACAGTGATTCTCAACTTGGGGGTACTACTACAGTTGTTTGGGGGTATGTGGAGATGTGAATAAAAATATATATGGTCATGTTGAGTCACCTGAACATTATGTTTTAAGAGCACATGAAAACTAGTTAGCAAGAGAAGTAGAAACAGTGCAGCTTGTCTAAAAGTAACAGGTTAATGGTTGAACAGCTGTTAAAATCAACAGTACAGAGTGGGTGTAACCTAAAATGTCATGTCAATGTCCTGACCTTTTAGTTTAACTGAGTTCAGACCATGTTGTGTAAAGCCAAGCCCAGCTGTTGATCATCAGACTCTCTTCAGTCTGTTTTTTCCTCTCATCTCTGCTTGAATATGACTCAGAGATTTGAAGGTTTAAATTTTTCTCTGATTGATCACTGAGCATAGCAATGATCAATCAATCAATATCAACTGGATCTGATCCTTCAGTTTGTAGAGTTTACGTGGTGACCTCTGGCCTCTTGTTCAGCTGTTTCATGGTATCTAAGCTCCCATCAGCCAACGAAGCAGCAACACTGTCAGCCACAACACACACTTGAACACACACACACACACACACACACACATGAACATACACAGGAGGAGGAGTGTTAGTAAAGTAACAGTATCTTGATAGAATAAATAAGTTCGTAGGTCAGGTCATGTTTTAAAAGCAGACACACTGAAACCTATTGAAAAGACCAGCAGCAAGTCTGGATTCATCAGTGACCCTGTGGACTAAGGCTCAGTGTTGATGTTACACACACATCTGAATGATTCTGGGTCTTCTGCTCTCATTTAATCAGTGACATCACAAGTTCCTCTAAATTTGACTCCACCTGGTTCATTTACGTTGAAGACTCAGCATGAACACACCTGTCCTCCTGTCAGTCCTTGATCACCCTTCATTCCCTGTCCTCTTGTCATCATAGTCCTGCCTGCCGCCACCCCCCCCACCCTCACTCAGTGCTGTTTAAACTAGAGTGTTCATTCACCTGTTGTAATGTTTTCCTCATTCATTGAATCCAAGTTGTGTTAAACACCTACGTTTACCTACTAATAAGTAGATTTTAGTGAAGTTCTGCATTAGGTTCCACATCAGTGAAGGGTATTATCTCAGAAAGCTCAGGACAGTGAAATACAGCTGTAACATGTTACAGGAAAGATGTTACAGTGAGATGTTACAGGTGATTACTGCTGAGATGTTACAGGTGAGATGTTACAGGTGATTACAGGTGAGATGTTAGCAGACATGTTACAGGTGTACTGTGACACTGTATTTGACGTCTCTGCATTTACTGAAAACTGTGATATGAAGTGTTGAGAGGTCATGGTTCAGATGGTTTAGGACTACAAACCTGAACCTGTCTGTCTCTTTGTGTGTCTCTTTGTGTGTCTGTCTGTCTCTCTGTCTGTCTGTGTGTTTAATGTGAAGGAAATGTATGAACAGTATCACTGACAGACAGTGTGTGCATGAAAGTGTGTTCATTGAACACTTTCATATTTTTTGTGAACGCCGAACTGAACGAATCAGTTTAAAAATGATGAATGTGAACAGCTCTCGCTAGAGTGAACGCCGCTCACGTTTTACGACAGTTTTACGGCACGCTGCATGACCCCTCCATAGACACGGCCCAGCATGGCTGGGGCTAGCGATATAGACAGTACAGTACAGATGCATCTACTACTGCTGAAGCCAGTTTTATGAACAGACAAGTGAAGACTCAGACGGATTATATTTATATATGGATTCTAAATGTATCTCATGTCTGTGATTCTTCAGTGGTGTACAATAATTGATTTAGTTTGGGAGATGCAATGATTTGGGGCTGGTGATGGATGGGTAGAAGGGGGTTATATTGAAAGAGAAAAACGGTTTATTTATTTAAAAAAAAAACAACAACAAATGAACGTGAACTAGTTAATTTTCATCTGTATGAACTGAACTTTGAACTAGTTCTTTTTAAGTGTGAACTGGCACAACACTGCTGACAGATGAGTTTTTGCTGTAGATGTTGAACCTGTTTAAGTGTAGTTGTAGATCAGATTTGATCCTGTGTGTTGTAACTGAACTAAACAGAAGTGGAAACAACAGAATCAGACCGACTCTGTTAAAACATGTTTATAATGAAACTCACTTTTTTTTATTTTAAAATTAACTGAATCTTCTTCTCTCTCCTTCATCTTCACTCCGTTGATTTTGTTTCTTCTGCATCATCTATGATTTTCATCTGTTGTGTTGTTGTTGTTGTTGTTGTTGTTGTGGTCCTCCTGGTCTTTACTTCCTCTTTAGTTTGTTTTTCCTCTTCCTCTCTCCCTCCATCCTGACTCTATATGTCTGTCTGACCATCTCAGTGTGTTCTGGTGTTTGAGATTGACTTTAACACAAACACTATCAAGAGACGACCTGGTTCCCACAAACAGGTGACCTCTGACCCCAACTGTCTGTGTGTGTCTGCTGCATCACTATCGTCTTGTGGTTAACACACTGATCTGATGTCAGTTCTAACTGTGTGAACCTCAGAGTATGAACTGATGATTCTCATGTAAGAAACTGTGAAAGACTGCAAGAGTCACTGATGTACAAACTGTTTAATGAGGATCACTCAACAGATCTGTTAAAAGAGCTTCAGATTGAACTCAACTATTTTAAGTTCAGTCAAAATCTAACAGCTGACAGCTGTGATATACACAGCTTACAGATTATTATATATTTTCTGTTTTTAATTTAGCAGCTGTGACAGTTAGCAGTTGTGCTTTATGCTAAGGTGTATTTTAAGTACAGAGAGGTGTCTACCTATAGATTTAAAGGTCCATATAGTATAAAGGAAGATGTCCATGTGTTGTTTGATTATAAAGCAGGTCTAGGTTCTATGTTAATACTGTGAAAGTATCAAAGCCTCAGTCCACAGAGAAATGCACACAGCCTGTATTCAGACACTGAGCCTTAAAACCAGCTGTCAGGACTTCTGGAATTTTGTGATGTCACAACAAAGAGATGTAAAATTACACTGAAATGGTTTTTGATTCTTAAAACCACAAATATATCTCTTCATGGATCAACACTTCAAATAAAACACAGGAGAAGAGGAAAATATGGACCTTAAATATTTCAGACGCCTGACCTCAGTTTATCAGCTCACACAGTTCATCACATTTTTATTGGCTTACCTGTACCTGCACAAAAGTGTCTTTAGATTAAGATTAAAGCAACAGATGCTGATAAAACCAGACAAAAAGACTTCGTAAAGAAAACCAAAAGTATTTAATGTGGTTTTCTGGGTTTCTCTATATAAATATATTTCTCCACCATATAAACTTATTCAGGGCTTAGTGAAGTTTAAATGAGCTCTGACTGGAGCATTAGATCTGTTTCAGACCAAACAGATCCTCAGACCTGAACCCTCTGAGTTCTGGTTTTCATTTGTGTTGAAGTTTAAACCTTCATCTTTTTATTTCTGCCACTTTCCTCCTCCTCTCCCTGTTGTGTGTCTGTCAGTCTGTTACTGGAGTGTCTATAGACGGCTGTCGCTCTCATGCTTCTGATATCACCTCCTGTCTGCTGCAGGTACTGCAACCTGCATGCTGCTTCTGCTCTGTCCATTTCAGTGTGTACTGGTCAAACGGGGACTGTTTCATTTCAGTTTGGTTTGAAGAATCAGTCTGGAGTTATTTCTCTGCTCCTCTTTGATAGTTTGACTGAAAACAGAGTATCTTTTAAATCTAACAGATAAACTTCACATTGAATTGTCATAACTGAAGGTGTGAATAGTCCAACACTCTCAACTCAATGTGTCTGATTTCATCCAGCTGAGGTCTGCCAGGCGTGTTCAGGTGTGTAACTGTCCTGTGTTCTGTCTCTGCAGGGAGAGGACAGAGCAGCTCTGTCTCCTACAGGTAATAAAGCAGATATATGAGCCTCATATTTAGATCCTGTTGTTTTACTTTGACTGATTGTGTTTTTTCTTCCAGCCAATCAGTCGCCTTCTTACCCCAGCTCAGGGGGTGGGTCCTCCTGTCGGACGGCCAGTCTGAGACCAGAAAGCTTCCTGTTTCGCCTTGGCCAGAAAGAAGAGAAGAGGAAAGGTCAGCAGTTCTCTTCCCTGCCATTGAGCAAGGCAGCAGATATGTTTTCTCGGTCAGTCAGTTACAGTCTTTACCTGCTGGGTCAGTAGAGTCTGACTCTGCTGTTCTATCTCTGTCCTCCAGGTGACGCTACTGCCGCTCCTCAGAACCAGGAGGAGGCTTGTGCTGCTCCTCCCCTGGTTGGAGAAGATGCTGAGCTGGTGGAGCAGCTCAGGAAGGTGAGGGTGGACTCAATGATGTAGAAGCACCATCATTGTCTCTGGCAGGTTGAACTTCTTCAGCTCCCACAGGAAACACATCCTCTGCTGGGCTCCTCCTCGAGTCTATAGTCAGCTCTGCTGTTTTTAGAGTGTTCAGCTCCAAGTTGTTCTGCACCAGGTCAGCAGACGGCCCACCTCATCCCCGTCAGAGATGAGTCCAGTTAGGGTGCTGTCAGCTGTGAACCTCAGGAGCTAGATGGAGGTGCAGGTGTTGGTGTACAGGGAGAAGACTAGAGGAGGAAGGACGCAGCTTTGGGGCGCTCCAGTGCTGATGGTCCAAATCGCATGTTTCCCCAGCTTCACGTCCTGCCTCCTGTTAGACAAGAAGTCAGTGATCCACCTACAGGTGCAGTCAGGCACGCTCAGCTGGGGACCTTTTGCTGCAGCAGGGCTGGGAGGATAGTGTGAAGTGGGGGTGTAGGTCTGTAGTTTGTGCTCTGTCTGAGTCTCTTCCTGACAAAAGCAGAGTCGTTGGCTGAGAACTGAGAACTCACCACCCCCCTAAACCTGTACTTGGACAGTCCCTGTCCCCACAGCTGCTGGAGCTGTGGACCAGGACTCATCCTTGTTCTGACTCAGCCTGCTGAACGGATCATGTATCTGTATTTTTACTTGAAAGTTGACTTGAAGAGAAAGAAGAATTACAATAGTTGCTGCTGCTACATACAACATATAACCTCTGATAACAAGTTCACGTATGCCTGTCACTCCAGAACATTGAAGCTCGGCTCAAAGTGTCGTTGCCGAGCGACCTGGGAGCAGCTCTGACAGATGGGGTGGTGCTGTGTCACCTGGCCAATCACGTGAGACCACGGTCCGTCCCCAGCATCCACGTCCCCTCTCCTGCTGTGGTGAGGACAGATCTGATTATACAGATTATTATCACTCTGCTGCTGTTAGTTATTATAATAATGATAATAATAATAATCAAAATAATGAAGATGTTAACAATAATAATAATGATAATAGTAATAATGCTGAAGACAAGATGAACATACTGACTGATCCTCCCTCTGCCCTGCAGCCTAAACTCACCATGGCCAAATGTCGACGAAATGTAGAGAACTTCCTGGAGGCGTGTCGCAGGATTGGAGTCCCACAGGTAACACAGGTGTATGAACTAACAGAAATGAATGAATGAGGCTGAATCCACATGTCCGCCCTCTGGACTTCATTCATATGTACCATGACGTGTTCACCACCATTGGAGGTAATGGAACTTCTTCCTCCTGTAACCCATCCTGAAATATTTTTAAAAATCTGATGTTGGTCTGGTGCTGTACATCAGATACATAGATATAGGGAATAAGTATAGAAGGGCATCATCAGGTATGTAATTACTACTTAGCTCCTGCAGTGTGAAGTCTGGACATTTGGATTCAGTCTGAATGAATGAATGAATGAATGAATGGTATTGACACTAGTGGACTTTCTTGTGTAACCACTTATTGGAAGAAAAAACAAGGATTAGACAGTGATGTCACCATTTGATCAAATAGATTAAAGCAGATACAGTTTTTTGTCTCAGTCTTTTATTTTTGAGTATTTTATGGCCAATCAGATAGAAACAGTAGTGAAAGATGAAGAGATATGAAGTAGAGAGAGATGGGGGACAACAAAGCCTCTCGATTCTCAGTCAGTCCAGGATCCAGTGTCTGTGAAGTGAAGTGTACTGGCTGTGACATCACTGTCATCTCCTCATCTTTCAGGAAACAAAAAGCTGTTTCTCCTCAACTAACAACTTTCTTTCTTCTCTTTCATCTTCCCACCTTTCATTAATCCTTTTTTATTCTGTCAATCTCACTCTTTTGTTTTCTCGTTTTTATTCCTCACCATGTCCATCTCACCCCACCACCAATACCCCCAGGACAGTCTTTGTTCAGTGGGGGAGGTCCTGGATGGGAAAGGAGGCGGGGTTTATGGGACAGTGGGTATGTTGCTTTCTATGGCTCCCCCCCCTACTAGCCCCTCCCCTCGGGTCCAGTTGGCCGGCTTCGCCCTCTTCTACCTGTCCGTCATGTCAGTTCTATGTGCCATCTACATACAACTGGCACCACATGTCTGAACCCAACCTGAGCACAAAATGTCCAGATACCACAAAGTTCCATATGTACAAAAATGTGTCCCAACAGATACCTGTTGTTTCACCTCTCATCCAAAAGCCTTCTTCAGTTGTTACTGATTGGTAAAAGGCATTTACTTCTTGTAGGGTCGTTCACACCTTGGGAATTCTTGAGTTGTTGAATACAGTTCAACAAACACCACATCCCTGTTCAAGCCCAGTAACACTCTGTCCAACCTGCGGACAAAACACCTAGACATAAGGAGAGCAGTGTAGTGTTTAGATGTAGGCCAAGATAAGTAGGATTCAGTGAGTCTGCAGTCTCAGTCTTTCTATCACTACACAGAGTTCATGACAATAGATGAGGGTTAGAACATGGAGCTCTGCCTTCATGCTGAGCTATCTTTACCTGTCAGTCTTAAAATCCATCTTAATCTTATTCCTGAATAAGATCGTGAGTTATTTGAACTTTTCACTTGGGCAGCAACTCGCAATCCAAGGGGAGTAATCCACTGTTGTCCAACAGACTTCCATGGCCTCACACTTGTGGAATCTCAACCCTGCTGCTTCACACTCCTCTACAAACCATCCTAGTGCTCACGGTTGGTCATGGTCTGAAGTCAGCAGAACCACATCATATGTAAAAAGCAGATGGTTTTTCGTGAATACTCCACCTACCAACACTTGACATGGTGTATTTTGTTTATTAACTACCGTAGTTCCAGACCTCTGTATCACCCTCTGAACTGCTCCTGACATTTCCAATTGGCTCACTGATTCCAGTTGGTTTGCAGTTGTGCTCATTTGATAGCTGTTTTCCTGGTTGGGCAAACACCAGAGCCAGACAGATATGGAGGTGGGGGTAAGAATAAGGGACATCATCTCCTTATGCCAAAACCACAAAGATGGCCACAATTGTTGATGAGATAGACACAGCTATGTGGACCATTACATTGCAAGGATAAGACTATAGGATAGTTTTGTCTTTCAAGGTGTTCCCTCTATCAGATTAGGTGATCATAGAGTCAAATCTTGCCATGACTTGACTGAGAAAAGAAGATCTCAGCTATTGACAGACAGGAAAGATAAGTAATTCACCAACGGGTTCAGCACCATCATGCATGTACAGAGACGAAAACTCAGGTGAAAGGTCTCTTAGTTGTGGTTTAAGTTTTTCCAGTGCAAATGCGCTAAGCAAACGCTTTGTGCGTCTTCTTCTGACATGTTGGATCAATGTTCGGGGCATGTTGCTATAATTAGGCCCTAAGGTTGGGGTCCAGTAACATTCAATCAAATCTCAGTCAAGTATCCCTTAGAATTAACTTTTAAAATCCTAATCCTTTCAGTTTCCTTTTTGAGTCTAATGATCAATAACAAATCAAATCACTTGAGCCTTTAAGTTCTAAAATCCCAGCTGTCTAAACTGAAGAGGCATGGACTCAAATCACATGGCCTGGATTCAGGTAATGAGTCTGATGGCTTCAGAAAAACAGACAGAAGACTCGCAACTCTAGGTTAACTTAAATACAATTGACTTATGACTTAATTTGGACCTAAACGACTCGCTGTCGTCCCCAAACTCAACTGGCAGGAATCTTGACTCACTCAGGACTGATGTAGAGAGACGCATGCAATGTAAGATAGAGGCCATCTTGGACAATACCAACCATCCTCTCCACAACATTCTGGCAGGACAGAGAAGCAGCTACAGCTGCAGCAAATGTCTCATCTCACTGCGCTGCAGAACAGAGAGGTTCAGAAGATCCTTTGTTCCCACTGCCATCAGGCTATACAACACCTCAGCCAAAGGAAGTGGACTAATCTAATTATCATTGTTTATTTATTATTAACTGATTTTATTATTATGAACAATATTGTCCGTCTGTCTGTCTGTCTGTCTGTCTGTCTGTCTGTCTGTCTGTCTGTCTGTCTGTCTGTCTGTCTGATTTTCCTGAAAACATATACTTTGAATCAGTCTGACAGCAGCAAATCAGGTTGCAGAGAAGGACATTAAGTTTATTTGTCAGTGCAGACAGATAAATAATAACTTCTTTTAGACTCAAAGCACAACATTTTAGACTTGGACTAAGACCTGGAACCTGTTAACCTTGACTCTTGACTTGGGATCTTCATAGCCAAGAACAAGCTAAAACAATTGCTTTGCCCAACCTCTGCTAAATTTGCGACATGTCTGGGTCTTAGATTCTTTTAAGCCATAGCGAATCACTTGGTCCCTCAGGTGAAGTTAAGACTTGACAATCCCCCAAAGTTGGAGGTCTACCTTGAAGCTTGTTACCTGTCTGTTGAAGCTCCGCCCCCTGTGCCTTATGTTTGGCTGCCTGTCTGAGAGTGTGAGAGTTTTTTATTTATTTTTACTGTTTTTAGTGTTTTGTAAAGTGCTTTAGAGCCTGTGCCCCCACCAGTACACCACCTCTGGAGACCCCCATTGTCAAAAACCTGCCGTACTGTATGTGAATGTATGCCGGAGAAGAAGCTTTGTGCACCAAAAATCAGTGTTTTCCACTCATGGTCTCCCTCCCTGTAATACCAACAGTGATTGAGCAATTGTTCCTTTATTATGGGAAGAAGTGCTGAAACCTAAGAGTAGGAACCTTTCAGTGTTGGCAGGTCAGGGATACTCTTAGCCCTTCATTCCACCACAGGAACTTAGTGAATCATAACACCATTATCGTCGGTTCCACTTTTGTGTCCACTGTTCTCTGCTCGCTTTAGAGACAAGTTCCTGGAATTAAATCTGGGCACCATATAGGAAGGGTTACTAAATAAGGTTCTGAAAAGAATCAGGTTACAGTTCCTGCAGTGAAAGACTCATGGTTTCCTCTGAGATGACCCAAACCCTTACCAGTAACCATGTGATCAGCTGTAATTCAGCCCTGAACTGGTTAAACTTCAATCTTGTTGAAAGAGAAAACAACATGGGTTTAGAAATGGAACAAAGATATTAAAAACTTGACTTTTGTCTTGGCACTTGTATTTTTATAAGAGATGAAGAGTGAGGATGATGATGGTGATGTGTTTTTTGACAGACTGACTGTCCTGATGATAGAGAATGCTTTTCCCTCTGAACTCTGTTAATAAAATGAACTAAAGCATTGTGAGTCATCTGTGTCTCTTTAACACTAAACCTTAAAGTTAACGTTTGGTTTTTATAGCTCAAATCTTATTTTTGTAGCTGTGTCCATCAGTAATAATAACATAGTAGTTAGATGATCAGACAGGGGGAGTTCTGATCATATTACCTCCCATCTCTGACTTCTTAGAGCTAACTTAAACCAACAAACTACAACCATTCAGCCAAACCTCTATGACTAGTTTTTAACTTCAAACTTCTTGGTCGGTCCCACTTTTTACAACTGGTCACATGATAAGAATTTTTTTTTATGTAGCCTGAACTGTCTGTTTCTCATCTTTTCTTTCCTCCTTCAGTTCTCATCATTTGGTTATTTTAAGTTGATGTTGCTGCTCCTTGTTTATCCTTTTTCTTATCATGGTTACTGTTATTTTATCCATTAATTTAATTTACCATCTGTTGACTCCTTTGTATTTTCTTTTTGCTCCCCTGCCCCTCTGTGCGTCTTCTTCTGTGGTGTCTGTCTCTGTAGAGTCAGTTGTGTCTTCCCCTTCACATCCTGGAAGAGCGAGGGCTCCCCCAAGTGGCTGGCACCGTCAGCGCTCTGCTCAACCTGGCCCCACCCCGACACCCCGCCACCACGACAACCACCACAACATCATCATCAACCACATCTGGACCCTCCGTCACCATGTAGACAACACTAACACCACCGCCACCATCATCATCGTTGTCATCATCACCACTGCACACGCTCAGTCAGCCTCAGGAAACCAGATGAGTTTTAGATAAAAACCTCCAGAGCAGCAGGTCGGCATCTAATGGAGACATGAACAGAGCTGAACGTCAATAACACAGTGACACTAGTTCCGATTATATCTCTGAATGATCAGTCTTTAGTTGAATTAAAGTCTTAGTGACATGACAGAGTGCTTAGATGTGGGCACAGTTGAGCCGATATCCACAATAAACAAGTCAGTGACACCACAAAGCACTCACGACAGCAGCTACAGCATGAAGAAAAGTGAGAACATTTAAATGTATTCTTTAATACACAGCAGCTGTTCTGGACGATGACACATTTCCTCCAGAAGCAGGAATAATCTGCATTTGTACACATATTTATTAAATATTCTCACTTTTCTGTATTAAACAACTTCCCTCCTTTCTCAACATGGTCATGCTATTTAATGTATACACCTCAGTTCAGGGTGAGTTATTACAAATATTTTAACTTTTTACAAGAAAAAAGATTTTTTTAACATACGAGATAATGTACATGATTAATTAATGCTAACTGTTGACTTTTGTGGGTCTAGCTGGTTTGAAAATTTATCACCTTCTTACTAGTGAAGTGAGACCTGATTTTGCCTTCTTTTCTTGTTTTTTTTTTTTGACTGCCAGTCAGTTTAAACACTGTTACAGACCAATGTGGAGGTTGATAGTTTCTTAGTTTTCTGCAATCTTTATCTGACATTATTGACCATTTAATTTTATTTAACTTATATATTTATGGTTGTTTCTAACACATTAAGACACAAAATAAAATAAAAATATTAAAATAAAACTACAACTTAACAACCTAAAGTAAAATATCACCCACACACAAAATCAAATCAACAAACATTTCACTAATAAACCATCTCCATAAATAAATAAAGTGAGTGAGCACATTAAGCTATTGTAGCTAATTGCTAACGTAGATATACAGTTGTTAGTTTAAAAATGACACTAATGTAGCTTGCTGCTAACAATTGCCAACACTGATTTAGTTGGTTTGGAACTGACAAAGAGCTAATTAACATTTATCTACTGTTGGAGTTTATTATGGCCATGAGAGCAAATGGAAGTGGTGTTAAGTTTAAGTAACTTTAGCTGAGAGCATTAGCAAACATCTGTATGCTCACTCATTCATTGCTAATATTAATCAACAACATAAAAATAGAGCACTGCTAAATGCTAATAATAGTCAATATTCAACAGTAGTTAGTTTGAAAATGCTTGCTGCTAACATTACTTAACATTGTGAGTCCAGTTGGTTTGGAGGTTAAGCTAAAACAGCTAGCTGTCAACATAGCTAATGTTCATTAACTTAATTTGAAGTTGAAGCTTTACTTGACAGCTAATGGTAGTTTACAATGATAATGCTGGTAGCTGGTAACTGCTAACGATATCCAACATAGATGTACGAGCTGGAAATATTAGTTGGTAGGAAGATGTTCACAGCTACTGTTAGCTAACATTATGAAGCTAGTTAGTTTGTAATTTAAGTTTCACTCTCACATCAAGCTGTAAACATTAGCTAATATTAATAACTACCTGTAATGTTAAACATTAGCTAATGTAGCTTCATGCTAGCATTAGTTAATATGTATAAATTTGATTTAGAGATTACACCAATGCTGCCAATTAAAGAAAAAGATAGTAGTAGTTGGTTGAAAATGCTAGTTTTAGCTAACACTAAAGTTAGCCATTAGCTAATATTAAACTACTTCAGAGAGGTTTGAATCTAATGTAGTTCAGTGCTAACATAAGCTAACATGTTGTTACCAGTTGAATCTTCAGCTCTGTTTTTAGTCTCCATGAGATCCATACTTCAACAGAATTTAACTGTTAACATTTAAAGAGGCAGAATCTGGTTCGAGGTTTATTTGATGGACGTTCAACCCTGAGCTCTGACTCGGAGGCTCCCACAACAGACAGACGTCTTTGACTGATGCTTTGCACCCTGACGTTAATATTTTACTGTTTTTATTTTTTAACCTTTCTGAGCTCTGATGGAGGTTCGTAGTTTCAGGTTGGACAGATGTAAGCAGCTGTTTGAGACTATCACCTCATGATTGACCTTTCACATGTGATCAGGACCTTCATCACATCTAACTGACCCAATAACACGCACATGTTCATTAACTGTATTAGACTATATTAACTATGTCATAAACAAGATAACGTTCACCTCATTGATCTGGTCCAACAGCTCACATAGTATACTATATGGCCAAAAGTATTGGACAGCCCTGTCCATATACACTTTAAAAATGAGAATATATTTTATTTATTTAGAAATTTCCAAACAGATGTTACGAAGTTCTTTGCAATCTAATAAATTAAAGATAAATGAAGCACAAGTAAGGTCAGTGGAATAAATATTGAAACTGAGTAGCGCAACAAAGATCAAAAACAAATTCAATAGTAAAATATTAAAAGATGACAAAAACAATATGTATGCACATACATGTGCATGGATAAATACATGTGCTGCTTGTTATTCTTATTTCATGCCTGATAAATGCAAAGACAAGAAGAAGTGGTGCAACATCCCAAATGCTCAAAGTAGTTAAACTACTCCTCTGAATTATCCTCATGTGCTTCAGTTTATTCATTATGACAGAAGCTGCAGCCTGTTGCAGGATTCAGCACCCACCTCTGTTCTTGTGCTGCAGACATCAAGGATCTACTCTGAACCAACCAACAGACTCTGCAGCTTTGAACTGACTTTTGAAGTTTGATAAATACATTTTATTCTGAGGTTTGTGAGTAAAAGTGAAGAATTTTTACTTTCATCTCCCTCTTAAATCCAACATTTGACCTTAAAGGAGCTATTTGCATGTTTTACTATTGCAACATAACCAACATTAGCAATAGCTGGTGTTTACTTACCAGTCTCACCAAGAGCTTCAACCTAATTGTGTTCACAATACAAGAGGTTATAATACATGGTCTGAGCAGCTACTTCTTCAGGACAGACTGGAGGCTACAGTGACTCTGTATCAGAAAGTGATGAGACAGGCTAACCAGAGCTAGCTGGTTAGCATGCTAACTTCAGCAGAAGAATGGAAGTGAAAGAAATAGAAACAAAACAAGTTAACATTGGGATTGCTTTGTAGCTATGTAGCAATATTAAAAACTTACAAATCGCTCCTTTTAAGATGTTTAATAAATATGGCCTGTGACTTTCAGAATAAAAGGAGGGGGTGTTATTAGTTATCTAAAAGGGTTAATACTAAACTATATGTTAAAGCTAACACGTCCTTTTGTGAGGACAAGGTTGAGGTGGGAGAGTTTCTTTTTTTAAAGATATTACTTGTGATTTAACAAAGACTGCAATGGCAGCACATGAGCTATTTCAGTATTACTATTATTTTTCTGGTAAATGGTTAATTTACCTGTTAACTTCACCTGTTAATGACTTCTTGCTTTAATTGTTGAAGCCAGACGAATTTCCCTGAACTGTGCGCTCAGTTTATAAATGGTCCTGATGTGATTGGACAAGGTCGATCAAGTGGTGACCACGTCTCCTCACCTTCTCCCCCTCATGTTTGTGTTGCATGCTGGGACATTTTTCATGTTGAACAGGTGACAAGGATTCTCCTGAGCTGACACTAAACACTGAGTGGACAGTCTGCAGTCACTCCGACTCTTATCTTTATCACATGTATGTGTACAAATATATCCTGTAAATAGATACATCTATATTTTTCTCAGACAGATGCAGTCAGTCAGAGGATGAGAAAAGTTTTTAAAAAAAAGTCACAGCACCATGGAGTACACCTGTGCATCAGTGCAGCCCGGTGAGAAATTAAACCAGTGGAGGTCAGCAACGACAGGGTTCACAGGAGCTGTTGAGTTGCTCTGCTGACAGGTCAGCGCTGGTGTTAAAGGACTCATCTACCACAAAACACTGGGAGTCTTTTTCTCCTCCTGTCACAGCCCTGGAGTTTATCGTGTAGCACCTGTTCACACCTGCAGCTGTCCATCATATGTCAAATGTTTTTATTTTGTTCTGCTGAAAACAACAGGTCAAAAGTCAGTGAACGCAGCTTAAAGAGTTTTCATATCAGAAAATGAATTCTGCTGTTAATCTGCTCTGGATCATGTTTGCACACATTCTCTGCTTTTAGCCTCCCAACTGGTTTTTTTAGTTCATATTGATTATTTTTGTCCATTTGTTGACTTCTCTCAGAAGTCGTGTTTACAGGTTTTCTCAGATGTGTGCTCCGATGAACGTGGCCTCTGCTTCTGACAGATAATTATTATCTGTCAGTGTCTGAACCACCTGTTCACTCCTGTGTCAGGCAGTTTGATTGAACTCCTCTGACAGGATGGAGGAGACAATGACATCACAGTTTCATTTCTTATTTCAATTTTTCACTTCCATGGTTTTCTGAGAGTGTGTGCTGCATTCAGGTGATGTGGGAAATGAGGTTGCTGTCTGTCAGTTCAGTGTTAAGCTGATTTTAAAGAATTGATACTAAAGTTTTCCCTCAGGAGACATTGACACAAAACTAAACTAGAAAATCTGGAAACAATGTTTGATTTCAGATCAGATCAGAGTCTCAATTTGTTCCAGTTTCACCTAAATGCAGCATCAGACCTTCAGTGTCGGCCTGAAACACTGGGACCTGTCATTGCACGTTCTGTACTGGGACCCCAGTTTGTTTTACATGTGCAGAACTATGCTAACAGGACCACATGACCACAGAGAAGATTCTGCCCTGAATTCAGACTCTGAAGCTTGGTCCCGCCCCAACAATGCTCCACCAATCAGATGCTGCAGTTTAGAGACTGTCAGAGACTTCGGGTATTCACAGACTCGCCTGAGATCTGAATCACCGTAAACTCAGAGGAAAGAAGATCAGGAGTGTTTGTGAACTTCCTGTGAGTCTGAACTCATGGCCACAGTCCCCTGAGCAGGTGCTGTGATCGACAGTTGTGTGTCAGTGTCCTGAGTGGACAGGTGAACCAGTTTAGAAGGTTCAGACATGGTCTCCAATTTTTACAGTGTAATATTTTTCTTGGTGTTTCTCCTGTGGCGGTGACGAGTCGTGCTGGGTCATGTGACGGCAGGGTCGTGAGGTTTAAAGGACATTCCACCGTTTTTAAAGGAGGACAAATAGAGACTGTTTCACAGGTTTAAGTTTTACATTTTTTCACTCTGTTTTATTTTTGCTGACAAACTGTATAAAAGATTTGAACACAGCTGTATGAAGAGTTGAGTTAAGTTTAAGTGCATTAAATAAATATTTTAATTTGTCTCTCTTCACTGGTATTGGTGCTACAGGTCCAGTTGGGGCTGGATCCAGTCCAGGACTTCACAAATCCTCAGGTCAGGAGCCCTGAACACAAACCCCAACCCCATCAGAAAACTATAATCAGACACTGAAAGGAAAGTCTGTGATTTGTCTTCATTATAGAAACATTATACATCATCTTGTACATATCCAGTATTTTACATGAACACGGACTCTCACAATTATCCTGTATAATCATTATATAAAGATGTAATCACTGGTTTCTATTAATGTATTTGTTATCGATTCTCACTCCTCTTATATCAGAGGAGGCTGCTATATAAACAGCTGGAATCATAAAATATGTAGAAACAAATACTGAAAATTAATAAACTCTTCAACATGTTTTTACATCTGCTCACAGCCTGTTATAAACCAGTTATTATATCTCTGTACTGAATATATGGGATAAACGGGTTAAACTGTTGCACACTGTGTGGACTGTTAGGAAAAGATGTGTCCTCAGAAACATTTTCAGAACACGAGGAAAAACAATGAAAGTAGTTCTGAGATTTTAAGACATAAAATAATGATTAAACATTTACTTGTCCTGCTTGGATGGACGGGTTAATTTTTTCTCAACAAAAATTAATTGCTTTTTTTTTCAGTCTTAACTTATGTTCAACATGTAATAACAGTAAGTATAACAGTGATACTACAGAAGAAATACATACACATACAGTTTTAAACTTTTTATATACTCCATATTACTGAATGATAACTTAATCTCGTTTTTCAAAATACTAAAATTAAGTCACATCTGAATGACAACTGACAAGAATATTTTAAAATAAACCTACAGATAAATAAATAAATTACAGAAATGTAATAAAAATAAAAAATACATAGTTTTAAAACTGCTTTATAAACATAAGTTTATTGTGCATTTAATTTTATCCAAAATAATGAGAAAATGTGTTGTGGATGTTTTTCTCTGTCGTTAACATAATATTAATAATTCAGGGCAGGGACTTTCATAAATAAAATGTGTTCTGTATAAAACTAAATTAAAAAGTAATTTACATGTAAGTAATTCATTTCTAAACCCCTCCTTCATCCCTGAGATTATATAAAAAGCAATGTAAATAAAATGGTTTTGATCAGGCAGCTCCGCGGACACCTTTGTGTACGATAATTACCCAGCATGCCTGTGGGCCGTCCTTTCCCTCCATCTACCCCAGTAGTGACGGTAAGACCTCAAACATGTCAGCCCAAACTTCTAATTTATTCTTTAATCTCCGTTTTATTTCGGACTCATCGTCACCGGCGACGAACAGTCACTGTGTCCTCCGGTCACCGGCAGCGTTCTGTCGTTATGTGGTGAGGGATGGCGGAGATGCGGTTTGGATAGAGCTAGCAGCGGCTAACAGGGCGGAATGCAGTCCGGGCCGAGGAGCTGTTGTCCGCGTAGCACTCAGCTTCATGTCCTGGTCATTGTGGTCGGGACCCGGCGCATTGGTTTATTTAACGGCAGCGTGTAAACCTGTTTCTCCTGTTATCGGTGTCCCAGGTGCTCATCCGGTTAGTGTTAGCAGTTAGCATATTAGCATCACACCGGTGAACGGGTGTAAGTCTACGCTGTGCGTCTGACCCAGGAGTGGCCGGATTCGGTGTCCAAATTTATGTGAGTGGAACCGCCGACTGTGAGGCCAGAGCCTGTGTTATATCCGAATCCAAGTCTATACGTGTTACCGGTGCTCTAGTAGTGTAACAGACGGAAATAACCCCTGTGAGTTCCAGAGCCGGTGTTGTGGTTAGAGCCTGTAGAACATAAAATCAGTAACATCCCAGAATGTCCCTCCATCTAACTCGACGTGATTAATGTGATCAGAACCAGCACTTATCAATGTAACAGACTGGCTGTTGTGACCTGTGAAGAGTTTAAACTGGAGCCAGTGAGGCCGCTCAGTATTAATATCTGCAGTAAACAGCCGTTAATTAAAGTTGAGTGCAGTGTGTGTAATGTTGAAGTGCAGCTACAAGGTTCAGGTGTGACCGGATAGACACAGTTGGTGTGAAGCATGAACAGTTCAAATGAGATATCCTCGTGGATGTTGTCTGGAGCCACATGAAGTCCACCAACAGGTGTTGTGCTCACCTATGCATCTGCAGGACTGATGACTGTTTTTCCAGTGGTCAGTAGTTTGGCTGTTGACAGGTTTTGATCTGATCCTCTAAGTTAACCTGCATTGGAGCAGGTTAGGAGTTTGGCATAAGTTACCATGGTGATTTACACTGGTAACAAGTGAACCACAGTCGTAGGACTGAAAACGATAACCTCAAATGCTGCTTCGTAGTACAGGCCTCAGGTGTTCTGAGGATTTGAACATGAACTCATGTAGGTTTCTGAGATCAGGATTTGATGTAAACAAATGACCACTAAGTTTTAATATTGGTGTCTTTTTGTTTTGGCAGGTAAACTTACCTGGAGAAGCGTGACGATGCCTGGACGGTAAGATGACTGATCAGATGTGTCACCTGTTTATCTGTCATCTGACTGTCTCCACACCTGTACCCTAACTCTTCTTCTTTGCCCTGTTATCGTCTCAGACTGTGGAGTAAGGCCATCTTCACTGGCTACAAGCGCGGTCTGAGGAACCAGCGTGAACACACGGCTCTCCTGAAGCTGGAGGGCTGTTACACCAGAGATGAGGTTGACTTCTACCTGGGAAAACGTTGTGCCTACGTGTACAAGGCCAAGAAGTAAGACTCTGCACTCACCTGTCTCATTCTACGCTAACCTCTGTCACAAGTCACCTGGTCAATGATGCATTTCAACAGGTTAAATGTAGTCGGTGTCAATGAGCTTGTTTTCTAGTCTTTGAGTGGATGTCTGTCGGTTGACGAGTCACATCAGTTTACAAGTACATTTAAGCTTTAAGTAAAGTGTGGAGGATTGCAAACAAGGGGGTGTGTGTGTGTGTGTGAGCTATATTACCTTCCTCCTTGGTTGGTTTTGTGGCTGATTTGATTGTTCACAAAATAAAACACCAGATTATAATCTGATGCGTTTGAATTTAATGTGTGGAGGTGTGACATTGTTTAGAACGGTGCAGCATCATGACTTCTCTGCATCAAATGACAAACCTGTTCCTCTTACTGAGCGTCCAGGATATAAAACAACACACACTAACACTGTCTTGTGTGTGTTTGTGAATGAGTGAGTGAGAGAGAGAGAGTGTGTGTGTGTGTGTGTGTGAGAGAGAGAGAGAGAGAGAGAGAGCTGGTGGTATGTTTGATCACTGCTCAGTGGGAGGCTCTGATTACATGTTTTATTGTGTATTATAACTTTAATGTGGTCAGTTGTCGGTGTGTAAATCTCTGGTCTCTTCACAAATCACACTAACATGTAGACTGGGCTGATGAGATGATCAACATTAGTGTGTAGATTCCATCGAGTCCACCCAGCTGGGACACCCAGCAGTATACATGAAACACACCAGTGTGTTGGAGGTGTGGAGTGACTGTATGTTCTCTCTGCAGGAACACAGTAACGCCCGGCGGTAAACCCAACAAGACCAGAGTGATCTGGGGAAAGGTGACCCGGGCTCACGGCAACAGTGGCATGGTCCGAGCCAAGTTCAGCAGCAACCTGCCAGCTAAAGCCATCGGACACAGAGTCAGAGTGGTGAGTCACAGAGGGAAGAACAGTGAGAGGCTGCATTCACACCAAGTTTTCATTTTTAAACCAAATCGATCTGTCCAGACTAACACCTGAAAACACACATTGCATGACAACGTACACTGAGCATGTGTGAGCTGGTGTAAACAGGAAGCAGATTTGTCTATTTTGCAGTTTGTCAGTTGCAGGAACAGCAAAGATGGATGTAGCATTAAAATAGAGAAACTTCTGCTATGCTAACTTGTTAACTTCAGAGGATCAGCTATTAACCTGACAACAGCCTGACTGCTGACCAATGAGATCACTGGAAACCTGAGCCATCAGTCCTACAGGATCCTGATGGGATAAAAGAGTTCACAGTGAAGTAGTTTACAGAATTTGTCAGTCACTGGTGTTAACAAAGAGTTTGATCCTGACTCAGAACAACATGAGCAGACTGAGACCTGGACATTAAACTAAACTCTAATGTCTTTATTAGAGAAATGATCCATGTTTATAAATCCTCTTTCCTCTCACTGACTTTGACCTTCATCGCAGTTTGTCCATCATCAGACACAGAAGCAGGAAACACTCTGGACTACAGACCAGTTTAACTCCTGTTCTCACTGACACTTTATTATCTCTAGTGTTTCTGCAGTTTCGTCTACTACTACTGATGTGATCATTCATACCCAGGATAACTTCCTGTTATCTGGTTTAACTGAACCTGACATTGTCCTGTTACCCTGCAGTGTGAAGCTGCTTATCACCTGGTTCAGGTACCTCTGTTTACCTGTCCAGGTATGAGCTCGTTCATGTGACAGAGGAAGAGTTGATTAGAACCATGAATAAAGTATTAATATGATAAGAGAAGGAACAGATCTGTGCAGGTGAATTCAGTTATAGTGACATTATAAAGTGAAATGTGAACAAACTGGAAGAGAAACGCAAGAAATAATTTCTCTGATTAAAGACAGACTAAAGAGAAACTGTAAATAAGAAGATGAATGATCAAGTTTCTTCTTTAGTCTGATGAACAAATTAATATGAACATGTGAAGCAGATAAAACACAATCTGTGTTCAGTTCAAATGAAGCTCTAATAGTTATTATGTAGTGACTCAGTGAGATAAGCTCTCCTGTTTGTTAGAAGCTGTTTTAAAACCAAAGAGCAAATCATCCACTGATCTATACAAACATCTACTGATCTTTATTATTGATCACTTCATTGTAACCTCTTTTGTCCCTGTCAGGATCCTGTAGGAATGTTTTTCCAGTGATATGATTGGTCAGTAGTTTGGCGGTTGACGGGTTTTGATTGAGTCCAGAGCAGGTTAGGAGTTCATCAGTTGCCATGGTGATTTACCCAACCGTACAACTGAAAACTCAGTTAAACCTGAAGTTACCTCAATGACCTCAGATCCTGCTTCAGTCCAGGACTCTGGAGTCTCTTAAGGACATTTAGCTGTAATCATGTATTAAACTGTCTTCTGCAGCTCTCGGATCAGATACTGGTGAACAACGTTTGAACAGACTAAACCTTTTGCTTTTTTTGTGACAGTTGATGATGTGACTTCCTGTGTTACAGATGCTGTATCCTTCTCGGGTGTGAAGAGGAGCTATCGTCTCATGTGATGTTGTTTGTACAGAAACAATAAAATGACCAGGTCTAAACCTGCTGCAGTGTCTCCTTATTTATATATGACATCGTTGGTGTGAGTCTGCGCCACCTGAGAGGACTCACACTCATGTTCCATTAGATGAGTGTTACTGCTGGTGATTTCCTCCATTGCCTGTTGCTGAGCCTCAAGTCAAACCTTCAGTGTTAAACCTTAGAATTATTAAACCCTGTTTAAATCAGTAAAATGAATTAAAGGAGAAACAGAAACTCTTAACCTGTGAGAAAGTGGAGCCATGAAATCTAAATGAGAAGTTATTAAAACAGTCTGAATATTGCTCACCTGATTTCATAATAAACCAGGTTCTAACAAAGCTTCATGTTGTTCAGGTGAATGTGCTGCAAAGTTCCCCTCAGATACATCAGGTGTGATGTTCATATCTAAACCTTCAAGGTTTTAACTTCATCACTTTTTTGCTGCTTCACTTTTTTTCATGATTAATTGATAACTAATTAAGTCCAGACAAACGGGTTCAAAGTTGACTGGTGAGGCTGCAGAGGAAACCGTTGGACTGTCCCTTTAAATCACTACAGCTGTGCAAGCTTGAACCCGCGTGTGAGTGAGAGAGAGAGAGAAGACTAACACATCAACAGCAGGGGGCAGCAAAGCATAGCATCCTGGGAAATTGATGACGTAGAGTTTACCCTGAGCTGAGACTTGCAGGCATATCTTCCTTTTTTTAGACGTGTCGTCTGGCAAGGATGTCATGCTTGTGTGTCGGCAGGATTACATAAACAGTCCTGTACCAGGACAGAACCGGAGCATTTACTGTGAATCTGGATGTTTTCCGCTTAAGTGTGGTGGAAGTTGTTTGGTCTGTTTCACTGACAGCTTCTAGTTGTTAAGTGGATCCAGATCAAGGCCCGTATACACAAAGCATTTTATCTTACCACTAAGAGTACTCAAGTCACACTGAAAGTTTTCTCCTAAATCCTCTACACAAAGCTGCTGAGACCAACTTCAGTAACGAAAAGTCTAAACTCCTAAACTAAGGGTGCGACTCCGTTGCCGTGGCTGACGTCAATTCTCATGGACGAGCTCGATTGCAGGAACCGCAGCAATTGGTTGATGAGAGACCGGCGTGTGCAGGTGAAAACGCATGCGCGACATCCGACTAATAATAAAAAAAACACGCTCTAAGAAATAAAAGAATACAAATGAAATAAGAACACATTGTGACTGTGCGCAGCTTACAGAGGTAGTTACTCCAAAATGCATCTGTATGAGAATTTTTTTTTTGTCAACCCGGAAGAATTTACTTTTACTATAAAAACTTAAATTCATTTCACTCAATGGAGAAAAAAAGAGTAACGCACCTGTCATAGATTATCTAACTAAACCTTACTGGCAGCCTGTTAGCCAACAAGTCTGGCAGCACTTGGTATTTAAGGAGCTTTATAGTAATGATGGTAGAGTCATTATGGATAGCGCCAAACGAAGACGAAAACTAAACTGGACACAAGACCAGCAGCTGCTCGTTGCGCAAATTGGTCTTCGAAAGGAGGCATATTATAAAAGAAAAATTTGGCACCGGCTTTACATCGAAAACAAAAGGCGAAGCGTGCCAACAAATCAGCTTCAACACAAACGCAGCACTCCCACCCGTCCAGCGGCAGCTGGTGACTGCGAGAAGAGCTGCTGCAGTTTCAGTCCGCAGCAGAGATTGCAGCATTCATAAGCAAGTACTGCAACAGGTAAGAGTAATAACAGCTTGATTTCACTTACACATGGCAAACTTTTTTTTTTGTTATTTTCACTTGTATATTTTCACATGTAGGCCTAAGTAGTATTATTCACTGTTGGTAGTTAATGAAATATTTATGCATTTGTTAAGGGGGAGGCTCGGCACCTAAGGCACTATCTCCAACTGCCTCCCTGGTATACAGTGTCCTACAGGCGAATCAAACACAAGCACAACAGGCCCGGAGGGCTGCATTGATCCTGCACTGCAATGAGCCGTGGAGATGCATAGGTATGTATGTAATGATTGCAATCCTGACGAAGCATTTTGTGGTGACTGTTGAAATGATGAAAGCCATCAAATGACAATATTGGCATAACAAGAAACCACCAATGAAATGTAAGTGCTATCTCTGTCCCTTAGGGAAAATCAAGACCCTGCTCCTGCTGCTCTCCCCTTCCTCCAGCAGCTCCTCTCACAGCACCTCTCTCAGCTCCTACCTCTCCTCTCCCCCCTGCTGCTGGTGCTGCCCGTCACCCCTGCTGGAGCAGAAGATGAGGTTGGAGATAGGAGTGTTAAAGAAGCAGAAGAAGGTTCTTGAGGCAAACGAGAAGCTCCTCAAGTTAAAGACGGAGTGTTACAGCCTCTAGATTGAAAAAAATGAAAAAAGAACTTAACTCAGAATAAACTTAGCCAACAATGTACGTCTTGACTGATTTCTGTGCAAATGTGATGGTTTACCCAGAGTGCATATTGACAAAGTGATCCCTGTCAGTTCACTTTGCGCCATGTCAACTTGGTTTTCATCGTCGTCGTCGTCACCATCATCCTCTGGCTGTGGTATTTGTCTTTGCTGGCACAGGTTGTGCAGAAGTGCACACACAGTAATAATTCTGCTTGCTCTGTCTGGTCTGAGTCGAGTTTCACCATGCAAGCAAGATGACCAAGAGCCAACTTGTATTGGTAATGGGTTTTATAATCACAAAACATTTTATTTTAGCACTATAGTTAAATAATTGAAGTGTGAGATAAATATGCCTAATATGGGAAACATTATGTGTACCCACCTGTTGTAATGTAGCTGTGGTCCCGGGTGTGGATGGAGGAAGGGTGTGAGAATCCATGTCTTATATGGATATCCACTGTCCCCAACCAGGTGACATCCAGCTGGAACATGATCCTTTCAAACAGCTGCTCAGGTCACTCTGCATTCAGATCCATGACTCGTGTGTAGATCCTGGACACTTGGCAACGATGTCTACAACTGTATGTGCAGCATCAATACAACCTGTGTGTTGACGGTGTGATTTTTCTTCCTATTCACAAATACCTCCTCGTCTTGTGATGGTGCAATAATCTTTACATGCGTTCCATCTATGGCTCCGATCACACCGGGTTCACCAGCAATTGCCATGAAGCTGTCTTTATTTCTCTGTAGTTTGCGCACAGGAAATCGTATAAACTGACTTATGATATGGGGTCTACAGAGCGCATTAAGGTTTGGTGAATTGAACGGCTTACAGACGGCTGGGAGATCTCCAAGTTGTCAGCATTGCAAAGTTGCATTTTCCCAGTTGCCAAGTAACGCAGCGTTGCCAAACGATTAATTTCCGCACTGATCGGGTTGTTTTAGTTGATGTTATTGTCATTGTATCTTTTACAAACTCCACAACGATCATTTTCCCCTCGCGATTGAGTCAGTATCTTTTCAGTGATTCTGCGCCGTGTAAGTTTTCCAAAACACCGCGACGTGGAATGACAGCAGCTCTTTAAGACTCTTTATGATTTGATCTTAGTGAGTTAGGAGTCCTCTCCACTACTTCTAACTTCTCCCAGACTTAGGCGATACTTTTAGTATCTAAGTGGCTTTGTGAATAGCTCTTAGTAAAAAAAAAAAAAAAAGAGTCCTAAAGTTAGGACTGAGCCATTATTTTTTAGGAGTTTCTCCTAAATCGGCAAGTTAGGAGCTCCTTTTAGTCTTTGTGAATACGGGCCCAGATGTTTAGATGGACCAGTTATTTTTTGGATTGACTTACTTATACATACTTACTTTGTACTGGGTGGACCAGATGTCGTTAGTAGATAAGAACAGCGGCAAAAAAAAGGCGCTACCGTCACATCTCATGCCAGCTGCCCGCTTAGGAGACCGGAACCGTGTCCCATTTCATACCATTGGCGCTGCCTGTAATGCGGCATCTTCTGTAGAGAGGATCTTTGCAGGAACCACAGTGATCAGGTGTGTTCGAGTTTGACTTCAGCTGACTGAGCCTGACTTCACGGTCAACGTGAGCTGCCGGTGACTTCAGGTTCGAGTCTGACTGTAGCGCGAGTTCCCCTGTGTCACAGCAGCAGGATGTTCACACAGCTCACTGCGGAAAACTGAAGCGCTGTTCAGTTTCTTAATTTAAAAATGAGTGTTACCCTCAATATGTGACTATGTGACAAACATGACTGTTTTGCAAAATCTATTCACACTGTTTACTCCCCCAGACACATGTTCTTAAACATGTTCGGACCAGACACAAGTTTACATTAGGCTACGTTCACACAGCGGGCCAAGTGCCCGAATCTGACCCCCCCCCCCCCCCCCATGTGACTCAGATCTGATTGTTTAATGACTATGTCTATTATGGAAAATGTGACAGACCATACACTGTGTCCATCACAGGAGAAAAACCAATCACAGCCAACTCCTCCACTGTCAGTCATGTTTGAACCTGTCAGGGTCCAAACGATGGTGACGTGAGATAAAGATGAGGCTGAAGATTCTTCAGCAGAGACCAAGGACTGATCTGAAGTCTGTGTTTGAAGCTTTAAAGATTCATTTAATTTGAATGTTTGCTGTGTTTACCACAACACTTCATCCCTGACTAAAAAAAATGAAAACAAAGGCTTCTTCTGTCCATGTCTAGTCTTTGTATCATATTCTACAAGCTTTTACTCTCCCGATTATACAGCCAGTCAGTCAGTCAGTCAGTCAGTCAGTCAGCAGGTTGTTTCAGTGTCATGAGGTTCTGTAAATGTGGAACAATACAAGTATTTTCTAGTACTCCAGTACATAAACTCAAATAAAAACTTAACTGAACAACTTTCACTTGTATTGGAGTCATATTTGACCAGGAGGATCTGTGCTCTGACTAAAGTGATGGAGCTTTGTCCACCTCTGTAAAAGAGGATCTGAAGTTCTTAGACTTCTTAGACTTGACTGGGAAAACTGAAGGCGCCTTGCTCACGCGCGGTTTTAATGTCAGTTGACATGGTGACGTTGAGCAGCGCCTGCGAAAGTCGGGCAAAATTTCAAACCAGCATGCAACGTGTTGAGTCCAGCATGCATCACGTCAAGTCGGTACTACGCAGCGCTACGTAAAGTCAAACCTAATGGTTGAGTCTGTGCCCGCGCAACATCCTGCAGTAATTATAAAAATAAACAACTGAGACATTAACAGATACAAATGAAATAATAACGGATTAGATGCTCTTTACAAAAGTCGTGCACTCTCCAAAATGCGTCTGTATGATAAGGTTTGTGTTCTCACCTGTCCTAGACAACCAGGACTAATGAATGTGCAGGTTGTCAGCCATCATTAAAATACAATCTATGAGCTTCGGTCCTGTTATTCTCTCCTCCTGCCACATTGGGGCAGTGATCACCAGTGTTCTTATAAAAACCTGCACTGGTTTATTGCGGACATATGGCAAATATAAAGATGTAACAGTTGGGTGAAATTATTATTTTATCCATAATGTGATATTATATAAAGATTCAATCCTGAACGAAGATTAAATAAAATATCAGTTAAATGATTTTATTGTTTGATGAAACTAAACATTTCACTGCTGGAAGCCATTTGTTAACAAAGGTCAAATCATTTCCAACAGGTGGTTTCAGTGTGTTTTAGTTGAACAAATAGTATTTATGAAGTGGTAGTGTACACTTCTTAGTCTGTCCCAGCAAATGAGCACGGTTTACTGTATAGTAAATTGGTGTGTGCAGTATATAGCTAGTACATGTTTTTTTTTGTTTTTTTTTTTGTTTTTTTTACAGTTGGCTGTATTGTAACCATCCATTCCCACAATGCATTGTAGTAAATGAGTGGCTACAGTAGACCTACAAATGTTTATATAACACAATACAATAATATGTATTTTACAGTAATGCTCAAGTGCCATTAGATATATGTGTTCATAACTGTTCTCATATCTGAGGGATGGACTCTCAGTCCAGCCTCCCTCATCGTTCACATTTCATTGTTGTGTCTGAGCATATTTCCTCTTCTACTAAAGTCAGTCAGGTTTTTATCAAAATATCAAAACATTTGGAGTCTAAGTCTTAAAGCTCTGGTGAAAAATTCACTGGTGACAATGTTGAAGTGATTGACTGACTTTGCATGTTTCAATATGTGAACAAGGTTTCGAGGTTGTTTTAGAGGCTTTTGCACAGGTGAGTCAGTGTTATGAGAAATGATTAACTGCATTAAGAGAGGTGAGAATGACTTTTCTGATGTGTGAATTGCATCAAAGAAAAACTGTAAATGTGGGAAGTATCTGTTGACAGGTCAAAGAAACACCACTCATCTTATTCTTATTCTTCAGGTTATCAGGACAATTTTAGGTTCAGTTAAATCTGATAACAGGAAGTTAACCTGCTCTATCTTTGGTTCAGGACTCAGAGCGGCTGCTGCCTGACAGGCTCTACTGAGGGCTGAGAAGACCAACGTACTTACTTCAGTACTGACGTCATGGGGGGGGGGGCATGGATGCGGTGGTCCTAACGTTACAGTAGGACTTCGTGTCCCAAGATGCCCCGCGCTGTTGCTGATGAGGAGCTGCAGTTGCACAGAAGAGGAGCTGTTTACAGAGAACAGCGGACCTGAAGGAGAACAGGAAGGACGGAGAGTCTGTTCACGCACCGCGGACGCACAGACAGGTGAGACGGACAGACAGGTGAGCAGGTCTCCGACCACGTTGTCTCTGTTTTAGTTCCTGTCTGATGTTCAGAACGCTAGGACAGTTCGTTTTGTAACATCATATGCTTTTATTCTGAAAGTGTCAGTCTCATTATGAGTTATTCTTTTATTCTGGAGGGTTGCAGGATGTTTTTAAATCCGAGCATTACTGTACTTCTCCCATAATGCACCTGTCGTTCTCTGTACTGCAGTATTCTTCACAGTATTTGTACTCACAGTACTTCTGTAATATCCCTACAGTATTAATGTGTACTATGTGCAGTATTAGTGTGGACTGTGTGACTGTTATACTGTTGAACAGCCTCAGTGTGTTACAGTGTATTTTACTGGTGTGTATTAGTGTATACCGTGTGTACTGTATGAAGTATTAGTGTGTACTGTGTGTACTGTATGAAGTATTAGTGTGTACCGTGTGTACTGTATGAAGTATAAGTGTGAACTGTGTGTACTGCATGTGTGTACCGTATGTGTCATCATGTGTTTCGCATCAATAAACAACATGTAAAGTTCATTCTGTTTGATTCCGACTCAAGGTCCTCTCACTGTTCCAGAGCTTTTTAATGACACGCATAGACCAGAGACCAGAAGCTCATGTTCCTGTTTCACGTGTCCTCTGTTCCTGGTTCTGTTCAGACTGCCAGACTTTGAATAAAGGGGGTCCAAGGTCACAGCTCCATGTGGTCTGATAGAAGATGAGAGAACATGACTTTGGATGGAGTGAGCCAGGGTCTCTACAACCCTCCTGCAGCACTCTGCTGGGGTCAGAGGTCAAACTGCAACAGGAAGTCCAGGTGAGAACAGAGTACACATCCAGAGAGAGAGAGAGAGAGAGAGATAGATACTGGAGAGGTTTCAGCTCGTTTCCACATTAAATGTGACAGCTGTTTGTGGACAATCTATCAATAAATCAGTCAATCAATCAATCAGTTAATCAATCAAACAATCAATCAATCAATCAATCAATCAATCAATCAATCAATCAATCAATCAGTCTATCTGTACAGAACCTTTCCTACAGGATATTATAGACTGATGAGAGTGAGAATTCAGATGGAAACAGACTCAGTAGACTGTGACCATCAAACATAAAAACATATTCATATCAAATAAAGATAAATCAAATAAAAACAAGTAAAGATAAATAAAGGTAACCAGAAGATGAATGGAAGACAGGACGAAGTGAAGCTGCAGCCTCCTCACATCACTTCATTGTTTACATAATGAAGCCCCACCTCCAGCTGATGCTGAGGGAAATCCAGTCATCTGATTGGCTGAGGCAGAGAGGCTGCGATGCATCTTGTTGGTCGATGTTGTGTGAATGTATGTCATGAGAGAGAGGGAGTGTGTGTGTGTGTGTCTGTGTGTGTGTGTGTGTGTGTTTGAGCATCACTAGGCGGTAAACGTGAGCTCTGCACGTGCTCAGTATCATTATCAGAGAGGACACACACACAAACAGACTTTCTCTGAAACTGCTCCATGAACACCCAAAGAGGAAAAGCTGAACCTGCAGCATCTTCAGTCTCTGATAGAAGCCCCTGTTGTTGCTCATGTCTCTGTGTGAGTCAAGACAGCAGCTTTTAAGGTGAAAACTACAAGTTGCATCGGAAAAGTTTCTTCACTACCAGCTTCCCAAGACTTCAATAAAGACAATGATAGGTTGAGGTTTTATCGTAGTGTCAAAACTCCCCTCAGCTCTGTTTTTGGCAAGAACTTCAGAGCTCAGTTTAAAATGAACAGCATAAAAGATTTCTGATGAGACAAACACTGGGTGATAGAGCACAAACTTCTCTGTTTTTATATATAAATTAACTATAATGGTTGGAAATTGTGGGATTTAAAGGAGTTTGATTTTTTTTCGGAGGAAAATTTTCAGGGATGTCAGTTAGAGTGCGCGTGATGTCATCCACTCTGTCTCTCAACATTCAGTGTAATACACACCCATCATAAAATCTGAAATTGTCTAAAAATGACACAAAACTTAAACTGTGATTTTGTGAAAACCGTAATAGTAAATACTGATTCAACCTAAAAAAGCCTCAAGTCTTGTGACCTGTTTAAAGTTTCAGCCATGTTTGCACATTAGAATATGACGAAGCAGTAGGACTCATTTTCATGACGTCTCTCCATTCGTTCTCTATGGGAAATTTTTCACAGTTATTTGGTATTGATGTCGCCATGGAGTTTTGATTTATAATTTGTCACACACACAGGACTGATGCTGAGTGTGGGACTTACCCAGTTTGACCAGTGTGTTACTGGTCAGATGGACAAGCACAGAGAGAAGAGCGACATTACCCATGTGCCTCGGCTGCTCAGCAGCAGGAAATTAAAACACTATTGTATCTGCTCTCTGACTGTTACAGCTACAACAATTAGTCCATTAATCAATTAGTCAATCAACTAAATATAATCATTTTTTGAACAAAAACATCAACATATTTTTTTATTTTCTCAGATGTGAAGATTTTCAGTCTCTTCAACTTTTCAACACAATCGTTAAACTAATAAATGAAATGTCTTATTTAAAAGTCTTTTATTATTCACCGGCAGGACTGGCGAAACGTACAAGCTGTCGACGCAGCACCAGGCACACACGCTTCTTCAGCACAAGGAATCTGTCCAACAACTGAAACACCTTTTTTCTTCTGTTACTTGACTATCTGTAATTTATGACAGACAGCTTCACTCTGCCCCCTGCTGTCAGGTGCGATTCTACACACAAAAACAGAAGAATTTATTCTTCTAAAAATGTACTATAACAAAACATTCCTTTCAGTTGCTACACCTCCAGCTGAAGCTAACTACCTTTATATTTTACATTACATTTCATCAAGTGCAGAGGGAGAGAGAGGAGGTGTTCTCCGAAGATAGAGATGGACGCCCTGCTCTGGTAGACTATAACTACAGCTACAGGAACACTACTATATCTACTGCGAGTTAGCGGTGAGCTAATTGTGAGCTAGCCTTTTATTGTAATGTTGTAAACAAAGAAAGTTATGTACAAACTGAGACTGTGTATGACGCAGGTGGTTTCTATGGAAATGTTTCAGGCTAGGTTTCAAGTCTATGTCACGAGCAGTTCACTACTCAGCTGTTCACCCCAGAAACCAGAAGCCGGTCAACAAGTGATTCTGCTGCTTTCATAATCACACATAGAACTGGGCTCGTATTCACAAAGCATCTTCAGGCTAAAAGTAGCTCCTAACTTCTTGATTTAGGAGAAACTCCTGGAGGTAATGGGCGTTACTTTGCAAAAGAGAGAAGTCGATCTATTCACCAAACAATAAATGTGCTCTGACCTGACATCATAGGACAATTCATACGATTTCTTTTAGATGTTCAACAACTACAGAGAAATAAAGCAGCTTCATGGTCGGTCCACCTGCTGTGATCACTGTCAGAGACGGAACACAAATTATTGCACCACCACAAGACATATCATCAGAACCATCATATGTCCGTTTTCCTTTTCTCTGAGCCACAACCACCTGTACTGGGCAGGTTTGTGTGAGCGAGGTAGTAGGCAGTGGACCACACCACTGTGAGGCAGAGGGTGCGGCAAAATCATTTGAAACTTAAAAACACATTGTTTTGCATTAGTAATTTTCACAAGCGCTTTAAGAACATATTATTGTATGACTTAAATTTACATAGTTAGATTTACAATGATATACTGAAGGGGACATATCACAATTTCAGCCTATTGATCCAGACTGACATCATGAATCAGGGCTGCGGTCAAAAAGTCTTTTTTGCTTAGGAAGGTCGAGGAGAAGTGGTTTGTTGGTACCTGTTATTGGTCTTTTTTTTTGGCTTTTTTTCCTTTATTCTGATAGGTGCAGTGAGAGAGAGACAGGAAAGTCAGGGAGAGAGAGAGGGAATGACATGACAAAGCAAAGGGCCGCGGGTCAGACTCGAACGCATGGCTGCTGCATTAGGACTAAACCCATGTCGTATGCGCTTTACCCAGTGACCCGGCGCCCACAGAATTACCTGCCCATACCAGTACCTTACAGGGTGCTTTTCTGAAAAATGGGTGCAAAAACGTTTCCCCTGTCTCTGTGTGTGGGTGTTTGGACTCCTCCTGCTATGTTGCTGATGAAAAACAAGAGTCTGTAGCATGTCTGTACCCCAACAATGATCTGTGTCTGTGTGTGTGTGTGTGTGTGTGTGTGTGTGTGTGCGTGGTCAGGGTGTGTTTAGTGTGTGTGAGGACAGATCAGCTGGTTGCCATGGTAAAGAGCTGAGGGAGGGTGGAGCTAAAAATGAAAACCCAAGCAAACCAGGTGGAGAGACCAACAGGTAACTCACACACACCCACACACACACACACTGAACATAAACACAGTAAGTACACACAGTTCAGGTGTGTGTGTCTCCTCAGGTTTGATCATCCTGTCGACAGAGCAGGTCTGTTCTCCTTCATGACGTTTCATTGGCTGACTCCTCTGGTCATACACGCCCACAGGAAAGGGCAGCTACTGTTGGACGACATTTGGGCCGTGTCACAGAGGGAGTGTAGCCATGACAACAGCCTGAGGTGGGTGGAGTTAATAAATTGGAAGTCTTGGATTTGAAGGCTTGAACCCTGAGTTACAGCCAAGCCAAGCGGTTACCACGGTGACAGTGATGCGATGAGTGTTTGAGGATGAGGTGAGTTTAGAGGTGGTGTGTGTGTCCGTAGTGTAGCAGTGATCAGTTTGTTTCACCTGGACAGCAGAGCTTCTGAACAACTGAACTGAAGCTAAATGACCTTCAGCTCTCAGCAGTGGTTCAGTCATAGTGGACATCATCATACCAGCACCATGGAGACAGTCTGACACACTGTGTGTGTGTGTATAGTGTGTTTTTGTGTGTGTGTGTATATATATGTGTGTGTGTGTGTAAAGTGTGTGTGTCTGGACCCTCAGGCTGGCGTCTCTGTGGGAGGAGGAGCAGAGGTCAAAGGGCAGCGAGGCGTCTCTCTGTTCAGTGATATGGTCTTTCTGTCGGACTCGTCTCCTCCTCTCCATTCTCTGTCTCACCGTCACTCAGCTGGCTGGATTCAGTGGGCCGGTGAGTCTGGACCAGTGACCAGTTAGACTGGTTTGACCAGTGTGACCAGTGTGACTTGTACAGTCAGTGTAACCAGCTCAGCCCAGTCAGTAAAACCAGTACAACCAATAAAACCAGTAAGACCAGTACATACAGTCCAGTGTTAAGACCAGCATGACCAGTAGGTCCAGTAGGACCAGTAAGACCAGTCGCAGCAGTCCCAACAGTACTAAAGCAGTGGTGTCGTCTCTCCTCCAGGCATTTGTGGTGAAGCGTCTGCTGGAGTACACCCAGCAGGAGAAGCCGGACCTGGGCTACGGTCTGCTGCTGGTTCTGGGTCTCCTCACCACCGAGCTGATCCGGTCCTGGTCTCTGGCTCTGACCTGGGCCCTGAACTACAGGACCGGATCCAGGCTGAGAGGAGCCATCCTAAGCATGGCCTTCAACAAAATCCTCCATCTGCGCAGCGTCAGGGACAAGACCATGGGACAGGTACTGGACTCATTTCCTTTCCTCTTTCCTTCCCTCCCTGCCTCCTCTCTTCTCCACTGTCCTCTGTCTGAGGGGATTTATTCTCTCTCTCCCTCTCTCCCTCTCCATCTCTTTATTTATTTAAATTTAAAAAGCTTTATTGACATAGCTATATTCAGACAAAGTGTGAGTACTGACATTCATTCAGTACTTTCACCCTCCAGCTGATGAACATGTGCTCCAGTGATGGTCAGAGGATGTTTGAGGCAGCAGCAGTGGGGAGTCTGTTAGCAGGAGGCCCCCTGGTGGCCATCCTCGGCGTGGCCTACAACCTGTTTATACTGGGTCCAACGTCTCTCCTGGGATCAGCTGTCTTCATCCTCTTCTACCCCGCCATGGTCAGTCACTGTCTGTCTTCCTCAGAGTCCTGACTGAGTCAGACCTGAACACAGACCTGAACCACATTTTGATTTGATTCAGTGTGACTTCCTGACAATGTTATTTCTCTGATGTCCCTCCAGAATAAAGGTTCATGCTGCAGAACTTAATTGAGAATCCTCCTGTTTTTAAGTTCTCTTCAGTATCACAGTAATGCAGTGATAGTTGTCTGAACATCATGATCCACTGCAGACAGGAGCTGATCACAGCTGATTCAGCTGCTGGCAATGAAACAGTTTGACCAGAGGGAAACAAATACAGGCTAAAAAAATCTGCCAGACTATACTGCTCATTGTCACGTCCTTACAACATAAACTAATATATATAAGTCTAATGTGTAAATCTATATATACTCGGTTAATGAAGCTGTGTTTGAACTGTGTCACCGTACAGCGATAATCTAACAAAAAACGTTTGGAGATTTTTATTGTGGCTCTCTTGAACTGTGATCTGTGTCTGACGGTAGAGACACATCATTTGCTCTGCAGCTCTGTGATGCACTAAAATGCACACTGTTCTCTTTCTACCAGAACATTTTCAGTCACTTTTACAATGCAGCGGATCAGTCAGAGACACACAAAAACCTTCCATCTATCGATCTCACGTCTCATCAGTGCTTCCTCTGTTGACACCTTTACAGCTCAACACCTGTTGCTTATTGTCTCTGCTCTGAGTTGTGGACATGATGTGATGTGATGTGATGTAAGTATTGTGTGGCTCATGGAGATGAATGAGATGTCTCTGTGAGCCTGCACTGGAACAAACAGAAACACTCAGATAAACATTAAGCTCCTAAATTAATTCTGATCTTCAGCCGTTGTGGTGAAGTTAATGTAACTACTGTTACTGGATAATAAAGTCAGTCAGTCACGTACTTCTACTATTTTACCTCATTATGTACTCTTTGGTTTTAATAGTGAATTCTTGCTGTTTATACTTCTAGTTGTTTGGACCTTCATCCTTTAATTTATATACTTGTTGTTGCCATGGTATCAGATGTACAATACAAACAGTCACATCATGCATTCTGTCCACAATAGAGAGGTCTGTCATCATTGTGCTCTTAAAACATAATGTTTTATATGGAGTCTGTTAAGGAACTGTCCCCCAAGCTTTGGGTTTAATATGTTTTCATTCTGTCTCGTCAACACATGAAACATCTGCGATGAGGTGATGTATCTATAGATCCTAATCCTCACACCTGATCAGGTAGATTGATCCTAATTTTCTGATCAGATGTTCAGCTCCAGACTGACGGCATACTTCAGGAGGAAGGGTGTGGCCGTGACTGACAGACGAGTCCAGAAGATGAATGAGATCCTCAGCTACATCAAGTTCATCAAGATGTATGCCTGGGTCAAAGCCTTCTCCCAGGACGTCCACCGTACGTATTCACATGACACACACTCACCTGGAGGGCCTGTCACCGTGGTAACACAGAAGCACGGTGCTGATGACCGCTGTGTTCTGCTTCAGGTATCCGTGAGGAGGAGCGCAGGATCCTCGAGCTCACAGGTTACTTTCAGAGCATCACGGTGGGTGTGGCTCCGATCGTCGTCGTCATCGCCAGTGTGGCAACGTTCTCTGCCCACATGTTGCTAGGATATGACCTGACAGCTGCTCAGGTACCGCACACAGAGAGCACACCTGTGTCATGTTGGTGCTGTAGTTACTGGTCATGTGTTTTTAATGTAGACTACACACTAACAGACGTTTCCTCTCCATGTTCAGGCCTTCACCGTGGTGACGGTGTTTAACGCCATGACCTTTGCCCTGAAAGTCACTCCATTTTCTGTCAAGTCTCTGTCTGAAGCTTCAGTGGCCGTGGAGAGATTCAAGGTGTCATACACCTTTTTTTCTTTTTACCTTTCTACCTACCTTTTTATCTACCTACCTGCATCCCTATCTGCCTAGCTGCATCCCTACCTACCTACATTCTTACATGACTTCCTGCTTTTCTCCACATGTACAAGTAATGACAGTGATTCAGTGATTGTTCCAGATTGTTGTGTTGAGGTTCGACGGTCCAGCTTTTCCCTGGTTGTTGGACAGATGTTGACAGTTTGATGAATGAACGGGGAACAATGGATGAATAGACTGATTTGGAGGGATGGAATGAGCTGAGTGGGCAGAGATAAAACTAAGCTGATGTGTCTGGGCAGTTTGATCTGAGGAAGCTTCATCCAAAAACTGATCACAGTGAAACTAAAGGGCTCTTCCACCAGTTTAATCTGGTTTGACCTGCCTGTCTCTGTCTCTTCAGAGTCTCTTCCTGTTGCCGGAGTTTGACAGTGTCCGAGCCTTACCTGCTGATCCTCAGGTTGCTGTGGAGATGTGTAGGGCCAGTCTGGCGTGGGAGGGGGGCGGCCAGAGCACCCAGCCTAGTCCATGTAACCAAACAGCGAGCAGACTCCGACACAGGGACAGGTAAACTGACGTTTACAACGTCTATGTCCAAAAATCATTCACCCATTCATTAATTACCACATACTATTTACCTATGTAATTCATGTATTAATGCTGATGCCATGCCAGGCATCAGGCGGATCAGTGTGGTGTCAGCAGTAATGTGGCTTTTGTACATGGGTTGTTGTGGTGAAGCCTGGCCTGGTTCTAGACCTCTTGAACCAATGCCCACATCAACTATTTGTTCAACTATTCAGATAGAATGAACTAAAACAACATGTCAGCCTGATTATAAGGCTATGTGGTTTCTCTGGGGGTAAATTATTCCAGAAGCTTGTTAGTTGATGAACATGTACATGGTATGGAGTGTTTGGGAGCAGAACATATACCATGGACTGATCAATGAGAATGTTCTGCTGTTCTCTAAACAGTTCCTGCAGTGGAAGAATAGCTAAACTGTGTGTGGTGATCTCCAGGTGCAGAGACAGAGCTGCTGTTCACCAGGAGGAGGAGGAGGAGGAGCAGGAGGAGGTAACTGGCTCCCTGCTGAGAGAAGGAGGAGATGTAACCTCAAGCCCAGAAGAGGAGGAGGAGGAGGAGACCTGTCCTGCTGACCTGTCTGTCCCTCCTCAGAGCACCCTGCACTGCATCAACCTGAGCATCCAGCAGGTAGACCCACCATCCAGGGTCAGATACAGCATCACCTGTGCCTGAGCTAACTTTACCTGTCTGTCTGCCTGTCTGTCTGCCTGTCTGTCTGTCTGTCTGTCTGTCTGTCTGTCTGCCTGCCTGTCTGTCTGTCTGTCTGTCTGTCTGTCTGCCTGCCTGCCTGCCTGTCTGTCTGTCTGTCTGTCTGTCTGTCTGTCTGTCTGTCTGTCTGTCTGTCTGTCTATCTGTCTGTCTGTCTTTGTCTTTCTACCTGTCTGTCTGACTCTGTCTCTCTGTCTGTCTCTTTACCTGTCTGTCTGATCAGGGGAAGCTGGTTGGTGTCTGTGGCAGTGTGGGCAGTGGGAAAACCTCCCTGATCTCAGCCATCTTAGGACAGGTGACGTTACCTTCATTAACTTCATTTAACCACCACGCACTCTAATGGAATGAGTGGTATTGATCATTGATTATGTATTAACAGATGACTGTGTTGGAGGGCAGTGTGGCTGTCAGAGGAAGGCTGGCCTATGTGGCTCAGCAGGCCTGGATCCTGAACGCAACGCTGAGAGACAACATCCTGTTTGGACAGCAGTACCAGGAGGACAGGTGAGAGGGAGACACCTGGATGACAGGTGTGGACATTGGTTTGGTCTTTGGGCGTGGTCCAGCTTCTAGATCCGGTCTAACTAACTTACCTTTCTGTGTGTGTGTGTGTGTGTGTGTGTGTGTGTGTGTGTGTGCAGGTATCAGTCGGTGCTGAGCGCCTGCTGTCTAAGACCAGACCTCACTCTACTGCCCAACGCTGACCTCACAGAGGTGTCACTTCCTGTTTTTTTACCTTAGTGTAGGCAGTAGGTAGAGGTGTGGTCCTACACACCAGCACAGGCACTGCTAAAGCATGTAGCTCTTGTCTTTGATAGGAGGATCGTTAGTAGAGGTGAGGTGCTGAACTCACTGAATCACTTTTCCACTGCAGGAATATACTGACCTCTGAACTGGGTCTTCCCTCAACATCTCCTGGTTTGAGCTTCTTCTCACATTCCCACTGTATTTTACAATCCTGAACATTTCCCACGTGTCATGTAAACGGTGACAGCAGGATGGTGACAGCATCTAGCTTTTTGAACCAGTTGATAGTTTTTTGTTTTCTCAGCTGCAGCATTGTGATCCTGTATTTTTCTATGATCTTGTTTTATCTTCTTTGTTGCTCGCTCTGTTTTGCCTTTACTGGTGGAGGACAGTGCCTGTGGACAGGAACAGGAGGTTGCTCCTTACCTTCCCTGGAGAAGCTTATGTCATGGTGCTACAGAGGCCAGTTGTTGAGTCTAGGATTCAGGAGATGACATCTTAATACCTCCCTGTGGAAGTGTTCTGGGCAAGTACAACTGGGAGGAGACCCTGGATCTGACCCAGGACATAATGAGGGATTATATATCCCATCTGGTCTGGGAATCCATCAGGATCCCCCAGGAAGAAGTGGAGGATGAGACTGGGGTGACGGACATCTGGACTACCTTGCTTATCCTTCCACTGTATACCCCCACCAGCATATGTGGTGGTCCACCTTCAGGTTTTAACCCCTGATCCCAGTCTGGAGACACTGGTTTGTTATTGTTGTAGTTGTCCTTGTCCTAAACCAATCAAAATTGGCAACACTGAATCCGTTCTCTGAGAGAACCTAAACTGGATTTAATTCGTCCCCAAAGTGAGCGGAGACAAGTGGAAACAAAGCAGAGCCAGAGATACACGATTACGTTGTGTTTCAATACGTTTCTGCAGTGGAATGTGGCTCATGTTTCATAAACACTAACACCTGGTTCTGGTCCAGAGATCAGTCTGTCTCCACCTCCTACACATCTGTAAATCAGATGAGGGGTATCAGGGATAGCAGCACCTAGCTGGTTCATTAACATTTTAATCAGTAACTATACCCTGTTCAGACCTGGTATTAACATGCGTCTTCAGTGATCCGATCACATGGTCGCCCCTCAATGTGGCCATGACACATTTGCGTTCACAGAATTTGGACACATGTGACCCAGACCACCTCTGAATGTGGTCCGAGTGATCAGATCTCAAATGGGTCCTTATTGCGTTCACACCTGAACTTAGAGCTGACCACTTGTGATGGGATCCCCCAAGAGGGATGTTAATACCAGGTCTGAACAGGGCCTTGGAGATCTGAACCAGTTTGGGACTAAAACACTGAGGTCACCACCTGAAACTCTTCAGTGTGAAGTAAAAGCAGAGTCAGTGTTTCATGAGTGGTTGTTTCCAAACCAGGAGAGGTTATCTGACTTCACCCTGGATAAACAGCATGTAGTTTATCAGGATCTAACATGTTGCTATGTGACATGAACATGTCAGCAGCTCAAACACATCACAGCTCTCTGAAGACCTCCATGTTTCCAACCTGTCAGATTGGGGAACGTGGTGCCAACCTGAGTGGCGGACAGCGCCAGCGAATCAGCTTAGCCCGTGCCCTTTACAGCGACCGGGACATTTACATCCTGGATGACCCGCTCAGCGCCCTTGACGCCCATGTGGCCAACCACATCTTCCACAATGCGATCAAGAAGCACCTTCGTCACAACACTGTCATCTTTGTCACCCACCAGCTGCAGGTAAACCTCCTCCTGACAGGGACAGGAACACTCTACTGCAAACAGTTCCCATGGAAATAACCTGTGTGCATTTGTGTCCAGTACCTGGTGGACTGTGATGATATCATCCTGATGAGGGAGGGGAGTATAGTGGAGCAAGGTAACCATGACAACCTGATGAAACTGAATGGAGACTATGCTGCCATGTTCAACCACTTCCAGCTGGGAGACACTCCATACATCGAGGTACCTGTCTGTCTGTCTGTCTATCTACTTGTCTACCTGTCTGTCTGTCTGTCTCTCTTTTTACCTGTCTGTCAACCTGTCTCTCTGTCTACTTGTCTACCTGTCTGTCAATTCAATTTTTCAGTTCAATTCAATTCAACAGGCTTTATTGGCATGACATTTTCAATGTGAGGCCAAAGCCCAATAATCAATGGAATTAAATGGAAAGGAATTGAATATTCAAAAAAAGAAAGAAAGAGAAAAAAGTCAATAACCATATTAATATAATCAAATACAATATAATTATTAATAGAATTAATAGAACAAATACTGTATGTAATGAAATAAAGAAAAGGAAAAAAAAACTAAATAAAGTTATATACATAATAATAATAACTGCTAGTTCATTCATATAAATATTGAAGAGGATGGGGCCGAGGTTGCAGCCTTGCTTCACCCCTGTACCCTGTGGGAAGAAGTCGGTGTATTTATCTCCAATTTTGACAGGCAATTTGTTATTTTCATAATTGAATTAAGTACATTAAAAGATTTCCCCCCTATACCACTTTCTATTAGTCTAAAAAGTTATCCCTCATTCCAGACTGAATCAAAAGCTTTTTAGAAATCAACAAAGCATGCATGAATTCTGTCTTGATTTTAATTTAAATATTTATCAATCAGTGTATGTAATGTGAAAATGTTGTCAGCTGTTCCATAATTTGGAAGGAATCCAATCTGACTTTTGCTTAAGACTTTGACTGGATGAGGAAGTCTATAATTCTTGAATTTAAAATACTTCCCAAGGTTACTACCTACACAGATGCCTCTGTAATTGTTCCAATCAGATTTGTCTCCATTCTTGAAGATGGATGTGATCAGCCCTTCACTCCAGCTTTTAAGCAAATGACCCACACTTAGTGTTAAGTTAAATAGCTCTAGGATGGCCAGTTTGTATTTCGGACTGGTATATTTTAACATCTTATTTAAGATGCCATCAAGCCCACATGCTTTTCTACACTGCAGAACCTTCAGTTATTTTTCCCAGTTCTGATTCTGTAATGGGATAATCCATGGGGTGTGACAATTAGTGTGAATGCTGAGGCATTCACACAATGTGTCTATCTAAGCAGAGAGACAGAATTTGAACAGTGAGCCTCCAAGTGATGGGATTATCCTCCAACTCTCCCATAGACTGCAATGCTATTTTTGCTCATATCTTTATCTTTTATTTTTTTCCTTCCGTACGTTTTTTGATCTCTAACTAGTCCAGCATACTTTGGGCTACAAAAACCGTTCAACTATCAGAACGTTCAGCTTCTTCTGGAGATTATCGGATGTTGTACTATTTACAAATTTTAAAATATTAAGCTTTTTCTGTTATTTTATGCCTATGAATGGAGACAGTGTTCAAATCCTTGAAAACCACAGGCTCTTTGAACTTCAACTATTTCAGCATGATCATTGCTAGAGTAGGAGAAGTTCTCAATCAGTTCTCTTCACGCATCATTTCTTCCCAGGTTGTAGACAAATTTTTCCTGTTTCATATAATGTGTCTACCTTAGCACAGAGACTTACAGAATTTGAACAGTTAGCCTCAAAGTGATGGGAGTCCCCTCCACCTTTCCCATAGACTGCAATACAAATTCAGGAGCTGATTTCCCGAGAAAAGCAGAACTCACCCTTTTTTGTAACTCGCTCCTGTTTCCACATTTTTTACACCAAGAACACCAAAACCACAGATGTGTTCAGGAGAGTGTTGTGGCGCTGACGGTGTGAAGATTTTGCTGATATTATGTACCGTCTTCTATTATTCTATTTCTATTACCTTTTCTCTCACAGATTTGTGTGAGCTCAGCCAGACTCACACACACACACACTCACACACACACTCACACACACACACACACACACACACACACACACACACACACACACACCCTAAGCTTTAACCTTACAAGTTTTGCTTTTACATTTCACCTGTTATTTGAGCCATTTCCAGTATTGATTCAATGTCTTTCAATTTAATACATTTCAGTTTGTTCAGATAATGAAGTTAAGATTTCAGGATTTTCAGCTTTTTCAGGTACTGACTGCAGCTTCTCCAACTCTTTAGCTATTACACCTTAGCTTGCAGCATTTTAACATTTATTTCTGCATTTTCAACAATTCTGCTGCTTTTTAAACAATTTTAGGCCATTCAGCTTTCAACTATAAGTTCTACTTAGCTAGTGCTTCAACTTCCTCAACATTGCTTTAGGTACTTTTGCTACAGTCTGTCCCAACCCTACATACAACAGACATGAATTTACACACATCTCAACAGTTCTCACTGTAAACATGTTTGAATATAGTTTTAGTCAGGAAATATTCAGCAATTAATTTTAGTTTGTCTCTCAAACTGAGTCCACATAGACAGACAGACAGATAGATTGATAGATAGACATGCACAGATAGACACACAGACAGACAAATAGACAAGAAAAGACAGACAGACAGACAGGTTGAAAGCTTTTTTATAAATTATTACTCATAAAGTGAGATCAAAATTCAGACTGGACAGTTGCTTCAGCAATTTTCTTCAGCTATCAGTTTGCAATGTTTTTGAGCTTCCAGTAAGTTTTCTTGTGCAGGACTGCTGTCTATTCAGCAATGTACAGCATTAGCTCAGCAATTTCTTCCATTTTAATAGCCTACATTTCAGTTTGTTCAGATAATGAAGTGAAGATTTCAGGATTTTCAGGTTCTTCATGTACTGACTTCAGCTTTTCCAACTCTTCAACTGTTACACTTGAGCTCGCAGGATTTTCACTTTTTTTTCATTTTTTTTTGTTTCAACAATTCTGCTTTTTAAACCATTTTAGGCCATTGACCTCACAAGTTCTGCTTTTAATCTTCAGCAGTTGCTTCAGCTACTTCAGCATTACTTCAGCAATCTCATTCAGCTCTTAGCATTCACACACATTTTCCTCAGGAAAGCATTTTATTGTTCTTTATAGCTCTTTCAAGATCTTTCAGTTTTCTGAAATCTCCTCTTGGACTTGATTCTTTGTAGGTTTTCTATAGAGATCTTCAATATGATTTTTCCAAGTATCTCCATTTTGAATGAACTGTTCGTTGTGATGTTTCTTGGTAAATAAGTTCCATTTTTCCGAGAATTTATTTGACCCCAGAGACTCTTCAATTAGTTTAATTGGTTTTGTAGATATTGTTCTTTTTTTACTCTCAGTGTGTTTCAAAATTGTTTTAGATTCTCACAGTAACCAAGGCGGCGCTCCTGACTGGCTGGATTTCTCTGTTTTTGGTTTGAGACTTAATGTCTTCCTAATGGTTTTGTGTCTGAATCAAACCACTTCTCCTTGTTCATTTTCCTTGGTTGTTTTGTTTAACATTTTAAGTTTGATAATGAAGCCAAATGATCAAATATGTAGTTAATGTTTACTACACATATCTCTGCACTATCTCCTGTTGTGCCACATCCTAGTCCACCTGTGTGGACTAGGATGTGGCTTTGGGAGCCAAGTTGAGACCCAGATAGAATATCCATGGCTGCCTCTGTGTTCTTTCTTCTTTTCTTCTTTCTCTGTGTTCAACTCTGTCTCTCTCTGTGTCTCCCTGTCTCCCTTAATGTCTTCTGCCTGTTTCTCTCTCTACCTGTCTGACTGTCGCTCTCTCTCTCTCTCTCTACCTGTCTGTCTGCCTCAGGCTCCCAGCAGGAAATCTGGTGGCTCTCAGAGGAAACCAGCAGACAGTAAACCAGGATCAGTGAAGAAGAATCCACCGGTTGTCAAGGACAATGGTAAGACAGAACACTGCTACACCTCTGTTCTGTTCTGTTCTGTTCTGTTCTGTTCTGTTCTATTCTACTGTATTTTACTGTGCTTGATCATGTGACATTAAAGGGGAGGAGCAGCAGTGTGGGGGCGTGGCCTGGCCTGTGTATCGGCTCTACATGGTTGCGTGCGGTGGCTCCACCTCCTGCCTGCTGATCCTGGTCCTGTTCGTCTTTAATGTGGGGAGTTCCGCCTTCTGTCAGTGGTGGCTCAGCTACTGGATCAACCAGGGCAGCGGGGTGAGTCTCTCCCCCCCGATCACTGCCTCCCCCATCTCTTTACTTCCTCCCCCACTCAACCATTAACTCCTTCTCCTCCTGACTCCTCTTCATTTCTTGTTTTTTCCAGAACACCATGGTACCACAGGGAAACAAGTCCATGGTGAGCATCAGCATGAAGGACAATCCCATGATGCAACACTACGCTGCTGTTTATGCCTCCTCCATGGGAGTCATGCTGCTCTTCAAACTGATCAGAGGCATCGCCTTCGTCAAGGTTAGTCCACCACAGTCCAAATCCTCCAGAGACCTGTCAAAGTTTCTGCACATGTCCGAGGAATCTAATGGGAAAGATGGCGTTAGATTTAGATTTACTGGCAACGCTCAGCTTCAGCAGGTACTCAGAGCTGAGCCGAGACAAACTCATTCCATGCATCATCACCTCTGTCTTTGGGCCTGAACCAGGTTTTCAAGTGCTCCTTGTTTCTGCTGAGCTATCTGCCATTAAACGCTCACTATCAGAAGTTCAGTATCAGTTGACACTGTTCCTCACATCACATTAGTGGTGTTTCTGGTCTGCCCTGGTGGTCTCTCTGCAGGGAACTCTGCAAGCCTCCTCCAAGCTGCACGACCAGCTCTTCCACAAGATCCTCCGCTGCCCCATGAAGTTCTTCGACACGATGCCCACAGGACGGATCCTCAGCCACTTCTCCAAGGACATGGATGAAGGTGAAGGACAGGACGAGATGTGGGATGAGTCACAGAGCCTTTAGAAACTTTAGTGATAACCTCTTGTGTTTTCCCCTCCAGTCGACACCCGCCTGCCCTTCCAGGCTGAGATGTTCATCCAGAACGTGATCCTGGTCTTCTTCTGTCTGGGCATCATCAGCTGTGTTTTCCCATGGTTTCTGGTGGCTGTGGGTCCTCTGGTCTTACTCTTTGCAGCCCTTCACAGTGTCTCCAGGGTCTTCATCCGGGAGCTGAAGCGTCTGGACAATGTGACGATGTCCCCCTTTATGTCCCACATCACCTCCAGCATCCAGGGCCTGGCCACGCTGCAGGCCTATGGCATGGATAGGGACTTCCTCCACAGGTCAGTGGTGGAACCACAAAATGTGCAGAGCAGGCACCAGGGTATGATCCATGACCTGAAACCACACCCAGGCTGCATGTGTTGTTGTTTTCAGGTACCAGCTTCTGCTGGACCAGAACCAGGCTCCATTCTACCTGTTCAGCTGTGCAATGCGGTGGCTGGCAGTGCGCCTGGACGTCATCAGTGTGGCTCTGATCAGCATCACCGCCCTGATGATGGTCCTGATGCACGGACAGATCCCTCCCGCCTACGCCGGCCTTGCCATCTCCTACGCAGTGCAGGTAACTTACACCAACACACCTTCTGTTACCTGCTGGAAACACACTATCAACACTGTGACGTGAGCATGTCTGTCCTTCCTTCAGTTAACAGGGTTGTTCCAGTTCACGGTTCGTTTGGCATCTGAGACTGAAGCTCGCTTTACTTCAGTGGAGAGAATCCACCATTACATCCAGGTACAGGAACAGGTTCTTCCTGCTGGTTACATTGATCTCCCTGAGAGAATTAAAGACAGCCCCACTCCCTGTGGAGAAACCATAACGTCTAAACATCGTCCAAGAATCAGGTTTTGGAATCTGGATCAGTTCAGATCCTTGAGGAGAAGTTTGAACCTGTTTCCAGCAGCTGAACATGTGCACACCAGCTGTTTGAGTTTCTCTCTAAACTGGATCAGCTGTACTTTAAAATCAATGCTTCTGTTGAATGTTGATGCCAAACATGCTGACTGTGTGCATGTGATTATACTCTAAATGTTTACATGCTACATGCTAACATGCTGATATTCAGTAGTTTATAATATGTTTCCTAGAAGGTCTAGTTTTACTCAGCTGTAAGTTGACTTCAGCTGACCTGGTCTGAGACCAGTCAGAATCTGGTGTTGGGTTTTTACCCTCTAAACTTAAGGTAAAAATTATCATATGAGCCGTCACAGTGACTCTGTGGTCTAAGGCACGAACCATGTAACCAGAGCATCCTGGACCTGACCTTGGGCCGGGACATGTCCTGCTGTTTCTCCTCTGTGATTGGGACTGAGCTGGACTGACGCTACCTCAGTCCCAGCCTGGGTAAATCACTACACTGTCTGTATATCAGTCCCTGTCCCAGGAGGCCCCTGCCCAGGTCAAAGGTCGTGCCCCTCCGGCTGGCTGGCCCCACCAGGGGGAGCTAGTGTTCAGGGAGGTGGAGATGAGGTACCAGGAGAACCTCCCTCTGGTCCTGAACAGGATCTCCTGCACCATCAGGCCCAAAGAGAAGGTCGGCATAGTGGGCAGGACCGGATCAGGTAGGACGAGGTTCTGGGTCTCCACAGGTCAAAGGTTTAATTAAAAATGACTCTAAGCCCTGTGGACATGTCCCCCTGTCTCTGTGTCTCCCCGCCTGTCTGTGTGCAGGGAAGTCGTCTCTGGGCGTGGTCTTGTTCAGGCTGGTGGAGTGCTGTGGAGGATCCATTCTGATCGATGGCATCGACATCAGTGACATTGGACTGGCCGACCTCCGCAGCAAACTGTCCATCATCCCCCAGGACCCAGTGCTGTTCAGTGGGACGGTCAGGTAGAAACACCCGAGGAGCTCCTAAGAGGGGGGAGGGTGTATGACAAGGATTTGTCTGTTTCCTGAATTTACAGCACATACACGCCAGTCTGTGTGTTCCAGGTCTAATCTGGACCCCTTTAACCAGTACAGTGAGGGGCAGATCTGGGACGCCCTGGAGAGGAGTCACATGAAGGAGTGTGTGAGTACAGACTGCATCCTGCCTGTCTGACTGTCTCTCTGTCTGTCTGACCATCTGTCTGTCTGTCTGTCTGACTGTCTGACTGATTGTCTGCCTGTCTCTCAGGTGTCCCAGCTGTCCCTGAAGCTGGAGGCGGAGGTGGTGGAGAACGGAGAAAACTTCTCTGTTGGAGAGAGACAGCTGCTGTGTGTCGCCAGAGCTCTGCTGAGGCAGTGCAAGGTGAGAGAGAGACAGGTTAACTTAGAGACAGACAGGTAAAGTCAGAGAGAGGTTCTGTGGTGTGATTGGCTGGTTCTGGTTGCAGGTCCTGATCTTGGACGAGGCCACAGCAGCCATGGATGCTGAGACGGACGCTCTGATCCAAGAGACCATCAGGAGCTCGTTTCAGGACTGCACCACCCTGACCATTGCTCACCGCCTCCACACCGTCCTCGCCTCCAACCGCATCATGGTGCTCAACCAAGGACAGGTACTGCACTGGACCTGTTGATGTTATTTTATGTGGGACATGGTTCTCTAGTGTAGATGTTAGTGAGTCTGTGACTCTGAGGAGATGAGTAAGGGATGCTCCTCCTCAGGCCCAAAGGTCCGCTGGGACCTGACTCCACTGAGTCCATGTACTCCAGTCTCACCTACATTCAACTGTTTGGATCCATTCCACAATCTGTACACAGCTCATCAGTTACAACAGTCAGTGATAGGTGATATACAATAACATGTCATCTGCATCTAACATCACATAATGTTTTTAGACTGTTAAAATTCTCTCCTGTTGCCTCAGCACTGATCAGGATAAATATTTGAGTTGACTGTGACTGGCACAGTGTGAGACAGTCTGGGACAGTGTGAGACAGTGTGAGACAGTGTGAGACAGTATTAGACAGTGTGAGACAGTATGAGACAGTGTGAGACAGTGTGAGACAGTATGAGACAGTGTGAGACAGTCTGGGACAATGTGAGATGGTCTGAGACAGTCTAGGACAGTCTGGGACAGTGTGAGACAGTCTGAATCCATGTGAGACAATGAGAGACAGTCTGGGACAGTCTGAAAGAGTGTGATACAGTCTGGGACAGTGTCAGACAGTGTGGGACAGTCTGGGACAGTCTGAGACAGTCTGAAACCGTGTGAGACAGTCTGAGACAGTCTGGGACAGTGTGAGACAATCTGAATCCATGTGAGACAGTGTAGGACAGTGTGAGACAGTGTGGGACAGTGTGGGACGGTCTGGGACAATGTGAGACAGTCTGAATCCATGTGAGACAGTGAGAGACAGTCTGGGACAGTCTGAGACAGTCTGAAACCGTGTGAGACAGTCTGAGACAGTCTGGGACAATGTGAGACCGCCTGAGACAGTGTGGGACAGTCTGAGACAGTCTGTGACAGTGTCAGACAGTGTGGGACAGTGTGGGACAGTCTGGGACAATGTGACAGTCTGAGACAGTCTGGGACAGGGCGGTCCCAGTTAACCTGTCCAGGCTTCTTCAGGTGCACATTAGGGTCAGTCGTTATGATGCTGATGATGTCAGAGGTTTTAATCTCTGATCTGTAGAAAGTGAAATAAATAAAGATAGTTGTTAGCATGACAACAGAGAAATGTGAGTGTATAAGGAGAGGTAAATAAAGTTTCCTTCCATGTGATTGGACCAGGTAGTGGAGTATGACGAGCCCTCCAAGCTGCTGGCCAATGAGAACTCTCGGCTGTGCTCGATGCTGGCTGCTGTGGAAAACAAGATCTCTGTCCGAGGATGAAGAAGGACTGAAGTGGGGTCAGAGGTTACAGCAGGTCAAAGGTCAGTCAGTGATATTAGACCAGCTGTATCCCAGTGATCCCATTAAAACCAGTATAAACTATGAGAAGGTGCTATTCCTGTACAGTACATGCTCTGCTGTAGATTATAGATGTGAATCAGCCTCACTGACTTGTCTCTGTGTAACGGTGTTTAATCAGCTGATGTGAGCCAAATCTGTAGTTCTTCTTATTATTTATAAAGATTTGTTTTGTTGTCATAAACATTCTGAGTTAACATGGTGACCTGGCGCTGTGAGATTGGATGTCTGGAGAAGGTCTACAGGTTAAAGGACCATGACCACGATTCTCTCCTTGTAAAAAGTGTTTAATTTTTCTCCTTTTAACGTCATGCTGTTTAGAATGAAACGTGGTGCAGCTTCAGCTTCAGCTGGACTCTTTATTCATGAAGTAATAATCTGAACTCTCTCCTATAATGATGGTTATATATTATTAATCTGCATCATATATGATCACATCACATATAATTTAGAGGAACCTGAATGCAACATAACTGAAGGAAAAGGTGCCAGTGAAGGTGTTTCTGAGTAGACAGTTGATCTGGACTCCAGAATATTCTTTCCAGGTGATGTGTCTGCACATGTAAACATCAAATCCCGGTCTTCAGAGACCTGGACGTGCTGGGTGTAGTGCTGTAGAAACACCTGATCTCTGCCTCTGTGAACGATTGTGACGAGCTCCAGTTAATGTCCACACATGGACAGGACGGTTAGAGCCCGACAGAGGAAACACAGAGGAGGCTTGATCTGGTCACTGCGATCAAAAACTGGATTCGTCTGACCTGACCTGAGGACCTGAACCAGAACAGAATTGTTGTCTGTGGAGGAGATGAACCGCAGTGAACAGACGGTTTTCATGCTCCATTCAGTCACAGTAAAGATCTTTAAAGTGGAGTGAAGCTTAGGTGTGTTACCTGTGTGTAATGTGATGATCTGTGTCAGTCTGTTGTTATCTCTCTGTAAAGACCTGATGATGTCATGATGCTCTGATCTTCATGTGACTCATCTCAAAGCAGATGGACAGGACATCTCCTGTCTGATGTGCAGTTTGTCCTCATGTCTCAGCAACTCCACAGCAGAGGAAGATGTCATTGTAGATGATGGACAGAACTACCAAAATAAAAGTCTGGTTGTGAAAAATAAACAGAGGCTGAACTCTTAAAGAGCCACAGGAAGTGAGAGATTTTTCAAGTCAGCTCATTTTTTATCAAACAGCCTTGTAGCGAATGCATGTGTGTGTGTGTGTGTGTGTGTGTGTGTGTGTGTGTGTGTGTGTGCTGTGTTTTCTTACAGCCTTATAGCATGATTTGATAACTGCCTTGTCTGAAGAGGGGGGGTCTGCTCTGAGATATTGTAATAAATAAAACAATTTTAAGATGAAAGCTTTGTGGTGTTTCCTGGTTCTGTTCAGTTTATTAAAGTCTATGTTATTTGGCTTTAAATCTTCTGACATGTATTTTTATTCAATGAGAGTTTTATAGTCGTTTTCTTCCTGCTGATCATTTTCAGTTTTCACTTCAGTTCTATAAAACCAGCAGATTGGTCCTGTACAGACAGAGGTCAGTCACTCTCTGCTGATTTACAGGACAACATTAAACCCCACCAAAGTCCTGCATCCAAATCCCACTGCAGTAAGAGTACATTAGTGTTATCAGTAAAACCTTAGGTGTCAAAATGAAAGCACTCCATATACAGGATAGCCTCTATTAGTCAGAGTGTTAATACTATGGGATGTAGAGAGGCCTGTTAGTTAAGATACATATCACTTTATCTTTATAGCACCTGTCATACAGGTAAGTGCAGTTCAGACAAGCTGAGAATAAGACAGTTCAGTAAAACAGTCTGAGAGCAGAGTGAATCACAAATCTGATAATTACCTAATAAAACAGACAAAAGACAATAACAAATACTAAACATTTTATAATATGAATACAGTCATGACACCTTCTCAAAGAAGGTGGATGAAGCTTTGTTGAGGCAGGAACATCTCCATGTCTGCAGTCATCTTCTGTCTCAATCACAGGATTCAACATCACCAGTGAGCAGAACAGGAGGCAGCTGAGGCTCACATCTTCCTCCACTGATCTCAGGGTTGGTGGTTGGATCCCCAGCTCCTCCAGTCTACATGTCCACATATTCTTGAGCAAAACACTGAGCCCTGGGGTGCCTCCTGATGGTTTGACCAGCTCACTGCCATCAGTGTGTGAGGGAATGTTTTAGATAAATGTATAATCCTCACAGTTTGGTCTACAAACATTCTCTAATCTTTTCATTATTAAAAACATCAGACTGCACATTAAACTGTGCTTTCCTTCAGGTCAAACCTCTCTAGCTCTGCAGACACCTCTCTCCCTGACTCCTGGTCTTTTAGACTGTGGTTCACTCCTTGTTCTGTTATATGTTTCAATATGAAGACGCCCTCTTGTTGACCTTTGACCTGGTACTGGTCTACTCAGCTCCACAGCGCCCCCCTCTCCCGCCCCCCGCCCCCCCCGCTCTGCAGAAACTTTTTCCTGCGTTTGTTACTTCCTGTTTGGTTGGGAACAGATCCTCCTCTGTGCTTTGTCTCCTCCGGTGTCTCTCTTTGAGAAACTTGTCTTTGTCTTATCCTCTGTCCTCCACACACCGACACTTACACCACCTCCAGCTAACGTTAAACCCAGCGGGAGGATCTGGATTCAGTGACCGGGACAGAGGGCAGGGAGACGTGCTGAGTGCACAAGGAGGAGCCGGTGTTTGTCTGGTTCTTTTGCTCCGGGACCTGATGGATTTTACTTAAACTGCCTGTCCTTAAAAACCACTAACAATGACCTTTCTGCTGCTAATGCTAATTAGACTGTCTGCTAATTAGCCGACGGTGCTAACCAGGTTAGTTAAATGAGTTAAGTAGTTAACACTGCCGCTGTTTTGAACTCTTAACTCCGACACGTTCTCCGTCTGTTAAAGTGCCTGCTTTTTAAAGCTAAAGGTGCTAATTAACACAGCAGCTAGCCTCGGCTAAGACTGAGATTAAATGTAGTCTTGGTTAAACGGACCGAAACCAGGCTAAATGTGTCGTTTGGAGGGTGAAGCTCAGCCCTCGGTGTGTGTGTCGTTGTTTTGAGTTAGACTTCACAGTCAGATTTTAATTTAGTTTTGAATGTAGTTTGGCCTGGTTTACATAGAGATAGATTCAGTCTGTGGTTTAAAATTGGCTTTAGTGTGGACTACGTTTGGTTTAAATGGGTTTAAACTGGACTTTAACTGTTGAGTTTGTTTTTGTTAAAAGGCGTTAGTTCTGGGTCACTAGTGTTGTTATTGGTGTATTTCCTGTCTGGATGTGGTTTTGAGTTCAGTTGGACTTTTATTTAAGGGAGTTTTGAATGTAGTCTGATCTGGCTCACACAGATTAAATTCAGACAGTTTTTGTCTTAAATTTAGACTGAGTTTGGCTTAAGGTTGTTAAACTGGACTTTAAATGAGGAAGGAGTTGGTGAACTGGGTAGGAAGTGTACTTATTACTGAGTTGATGGTACTGGGTTTAAGCTCATTTGGGTCATAAGTGTCTTTATTAGTGTTTATTTCCAGTTTGAAGTCAAAGTAGACTTTAGGTTAAAGGGGTTTTGAATGCCAGCTGGTTGGGTACATGTCATGTAGATGGGTTAAATTGAGTTTAAATTAAGTCCTGGGCTCAGACCAGGCTGGTGAAACAGTCCTGTGTTAAACTGGGTTATAATTGTATTGTATACAGGGCTTACTGGTCTAGGAACACGTTTAGACACAGTTTTTGGTTTAAGTGTCCTGTTTGGAGTTCACTACTGGTTTTTGGTTCAGTCAGGCTTTTGTTTGATGGGGTTTTGAATGTAGTCAGGGGACATGGACTCAGGTGGAGTTTGGATTTTGGTTAACTTGAGTAAATGGACTAAACTAGTCCTGTCCTAAACTGGGTAGTCGGTGTAGTCTGGCCTGGGTTTAGTGGGGGTCTAGAAGCAGGTAGTCCAGGTTTAAGTTCGGTTCTGGATCACAAGTGTCCTTATTTATTTCTGGTTTACTTAAAGGTTTTGTTAGACTTTGGTTTAATCAGATTTTGAATGTAGTCTGGTCTAGTTTACAGGGACAGACTGTGGTTTAAAACTGGTTTTAAATGTAGTCAGACCTTGTCTTTTCTGTCCTTGTGAAGACAGCCATTGCTGGTTTTGAAGTTTTAAAGAGTCCTTCTGGTTTTCATTGGTCTTTGATGCAGTTAGTCCAGGTCTAAGTGGGGTGTAGTCCCAGGTTTGGCTCATGATGGCAGAGCTCCACCAGACTCCCACCTCTCTATGCTGCTGTCGGAAGTCACTGCCAATCTCTGGGGCACGTTGTGTTGGGTACTCCACATGGCCCTCAGCAGCTCCAGGTCCCGGGTCTCCACGGTGCCCCCTGGTGGATGTGGCCTCAGCGTCTAACTTCAGTTGCTTCCAGCTGCGACACTTCCACTTGGACCTGCGGCTGAACTTTGCTGTGAAGGAGATGAGCGGCTGGCTGGTTCTGGATCTGATCCCAGTACAGGCGGGCATTCACACCCTGGTCCTGGACTCCCACCCCTCTCTGTTAATCCACTCCATAGACTGTAAGGTCCCTGGGGCCGGACAGGAGGAGCCCGTCTCCCTCACATATCGGATCGACCCGTTCACAGATTATGGATCATCGCTCAACATCAGCCTGCCAACAGCAGCCGTGAAACCAGGCCGACTGATCCAGATCACAATCCGCTACATCACCACAGATGGCCCAGCGGTAAGGAGACCACATCACACACTTGTTTATGATAGTTTATGAAGTCACGTGAAATATAAAGACCGTCACAGAGTGACATAAAGAAAACTTGACCAGAGTTCACTTTTTTTTTTAAATTAACCATAAGCACAGCAATATTTAACAACATAAAATAAAAAAAAGGATTTAGGGGTGCCACTAATGACTATCTTTCTATCCATTAATCCATTCATCTATCGACTATTTATAAATTAGTTGAGTAATCTAAATGATTAATTTTCCTTCAGAAAATCTGAATGACACTCTGGCATGGTCAATAATCCCAGATTCTGGGTTAGACATTTTCTCAAACACTTGTTCAGTGTAAATTCTCAGGCAGCAGCGGACAACGTTCTGAAAATATTTAGATATTGAAAAGCTCATCCTGATAATGAATAGACGACAGTTACAAATGAAGTAATCCTTCACTTTTTTGTGAGTGATCTCACTGTGCGGCATAAAAAATATTAATAACAAAATAACACTGGTGAAACAAGACTTCTAGTGAAGGGATTTGAACTGTGATGTGCTCAGACAGTAGCCAGCTGTAGGGATGGGAATTGTTAGGATTTTATTTCATCTTATCCCGGACCTTATTGATCCAGCTCACACTATTACTGGTTCTTTTTTTAAAAGAATAAATTCAGAGGGATTAGAATTGATTGCTCAGCCAGTTGCTCAGTTTACAACAGTCTGCCAAGATTTGTGGTGAACTGAGATTACCAGATGGACATACAAACATACAGCTTTCCTTTAGCTTTTCATAACAATTTGCTATTAGCTGAACCAGCGCCATGTTGTTGTGTAAAGACACACGGACACAGACAGCGGACAGAACAGATGAAAATATCTCTTTTGTGTTTGTGCTTGTTGAACAGTGGTTTGATAAAGTTCTTATTGGCCTTTTACTTTTTGTAAGTTCTGATCTCTACTTCACCTGGTTGTGTGTATATGCTGCTCTGCTGTGTGTGTGTGTGTGTGTGTGTGTGTGTGTGTGTGTGTGTGTGTGTGTGTGTGTGTGTGTGTGTGTGTGCTGTGCTGAGTATGCAGCCGAGCAGAGGACAGAGAAGCAATGTGATCATAAATGATAAATAGAAAATGAATATATGGGGGTTAATAGCGACAATTTGTTGACTTAAAATATTGACGTCGACTTATGGCAATTAATCGCGGTAGCCCTAAAATGATGTAAAAGAAAAGTTCTCAGTGATCCCGAGTTTCATGAGGTGTAGACCAGGACTCCAGGTGAGAACGTGCATCTTTCTGTGTTTCCTGTGTTGGACGTGAAGCAGTTTCCACTGAAGAACAGTAATGACAGATTCTTACAGGCTGTTACAGACAATGGCCAGAGCAAGCGGGGAAATCTACAAAGAAGAGGAATTTCAGTGAGTGTGAGGTGGAGGTTCTGCTGTCAGAGGTAGAGTGCAGAAAAAAATATTTACTTGGTTCTCTGTCCTCTGGCATAAATACTTAAGAAAGATTAGACCTGCAAGCAGGTATGAATGGAGTCCAAGCCCCCCATGCCACTCGCCCCCGGCTGCCCATTGAGAAAGCGCAATTCCGACCCGCAGGTCCGCCAGCACAAAGCAAATCTGAGGAAAACTTTTGACACAATTCTGCGGATGTGCTGAAAAGACTTCAGGTGTGATGGACGTATAAGGGATTTATGTTGAATCTTTGAAGTTCAATAGGTGAAACAGAAGGAATTTCAGTTTTTCTGTGATAGGCCACGCCCACTTTGGTCAATCATTACCAAATTTTATCCATCGACTCAGGTATGTATCTTGAACATGCACACGGAATTTTGTATAAATCCATGCAGCCAATTTTGCGCTATAAACTTTTCACATTTGTGGTGCCCCCTAGTGGCCGAATGGCACCAAATTTTGTAGCTACCCTTGGAGTGATATGGGTAATTTCCTAAGTTTGGTCTCAATAGCTTAAATTTTTCCAAATATATACAACACTTCCCTTATTGACGGGTAACAACAGTAAGTTGTTCCAATTTAACTTGCGGATTTTTTGGAGGAATGCAAATCTTTATACAAGTTTTGGTCATGATCATCTCTAGAGTCTGTGTGTAAAGTTTCGTGCCGATCGGACTCAATGCCTAGGAGGACTTTGAAAAAGTGCATTTAGTGCGATTTTGTGAAAAACATTTATAGGTGTGAATGGGTATGCGTACATATTCCATGCAAGGCTTTTGACTGTACGATGCACTGTGTGGGAGGTAGAGTCCTAAAAGCGTCTTCTTTCATTATAGCAGCGCCTTCTCTTATGGTGTAGGCTGCAGTATGACTTTTACCAGTGGAAGAAGAATAATGATAACTAGACCTGCAAGCAAGTATGAACGGGGTCCAAGCCCCCGGCGCCACTCGCCCCCAGCCGCCCAATTTCGGAATTTCTATTTTCTGTAATATGCCACGCCCACTTTAATCAAACATGCACACCTAATAGCTGATTAGCACCAAATTTGGTACAGACCCTCCCAATGACATCAGAAACTTAAGTCTTTTAGTTTCGTTTTAATATACATATTTTCCCAAAGATAAACAACACTTATGTTTTCACTAGGGATGGGAATTGATAAAACTTTATTAATACCAATGCCCTTATTGATTCTGCTTATCGATCCGATTCTTTATCGATTCCCTTATCGATTCCTTTGGATTTTCTGACTGCCTCTCGCAAAAGCGTGACGTCATTGTTTTGCAAGGCAAATGGAACTAAGTGGAAGGTATTAATAAGGGAATCGTTAAACATAAAGGCAAATGATGTTGATGGATCGAACCGGTTCTCAACTGGAACTGGTTCTCGATTTCCATCCCTAGTTTTCACCGCTAGCCACAGCAAGTTGCTCCATTGTAACTTGCGCATTTTTTGGACGAATGTGAATCCTTTGATACCTTTTCATCAAGAACATCTATAGAATCTCTTTGCAAGGTCTCATGCAAAATGGACTTAATGCCTATGAGGTGTCCTAAAAGGTAAATTTTGCATATTTAGTGATATTGCAAAGAAAGTTATAGGAGAAAATGGGCGTGACCTACATCAGGAGATTCAGCTACTTTCAGTGAACATGGGGATGTTTTTTGAATGGTGCGACATACTATGTGGGAGGTAGAGGTCAAAAATCAAACCATTTAAAAGAAAGCTTGTCATATTCATGTAAAGTGAGTTGAATATTTTGATAAATATGGAGTGATGAATTGACCATAGGTTGCATTTAGGCAAACATTTGTCACAATTCAGTGAATAACCAGAAAAATCAGCCCTGTAGGGCTTTATGAAGGTTGAGCAGTGAAACGTAATAAGCCACGCCCACCTTATTCCATCATTTGAGGGAGGGAATCAGGAATGTATTGGGAACACCAAATTCCATGTAAATCCACACAGCCAATTACGAGATATAAACAAGAGTATTGCTCTAGGAAATCTGAAACGGCTGATATTCCAGTCATCATCATGGGAAAAATAAATCGACGTGGTCTCTAAATGTTCGCTCCCTTCTTATTCTGTCATTGACAAGGTCTTCTAACAGGGCCAAAGCTGCCATTGTTGTTGGAGTATGTATCACATCCTTTTGCGCATGCTTTTATATCCACTTATTTAATTGCATACACCTGTGAATGTGCTATTGTTTTCAATAAGGCCCATGTGTCTGTGCTGTGTAAATCAGTTTGAGGAGTAATTGTTTTCACATGTGAGCCAACAGACTCATAAACCTAGAACTAGTTCCTTATGTTAGTAGTTTCACTTCATCACCTCTAAGTGTCACCAATTGACTGTAACCATTAGAAACGTGCATATGCCAGATATGAAGCTGGCGTGGAGGAACACAGATTCTAGCGTTAATTTCACTCATGTTAAATCCAACTGTGAGCGTGAAAGATGGCCTATGCAACGTTTTTGTGCATACTCAACGTTTGTACATGCGGCCCCTGGTGAGGACAAAGTCCAGGACCTGAACAAGTTCAGTTGCTGGGATGGAAACTGGAGGACACAGAGACTCTTGACTTGTTTCAGACTGAGAGGAGAGAAGACAGGTCCCTCAATAATCTGGCTGCAGGTCCCCCTGGCTGCATGTGTGTGGACTGGGACCAGTTCAAACACTGACTGACTTTTAGAGGCAAAACTCTTCAGTATCTGAAAACATCTAGGATTAAAAAGATGGCGGCTGTGGCTGATGAGGTAGAGCGGGTCATCCACTAATTAGAATGTCGGTGATTCGATCCCCAGCTCCTCCAGGCTGCATGTTAAAGTGCCTTTTTGCAAGATACTGAACCCCACGTTGCCCGTGATGGCTGATCCTGTGTGTATGAATGTGTGAGTGAATGGGTGAATGTGGCAAGTACTGTTAGGGGCTTTGGGTGATCAGTAAGACTACAAAAGCGCTATATAAGTCAATGAGAGTCTGGATCCTGGTTCTCTGGATCTCTAGATGTTTGAAGACATCTGAACTCTGGAGCAGTGTCATCAGATAATGGGTGTAATCAATGCAACAATGATTATTGAATGATTATTTTAATTATTATTATTATTATTATTTTTTTAAATGCATCAAATCTCTTTTTATTGATGGAAATATTCAACATCACTGAAGCTGCTGTGTGTGTGTGTGTGTGTGTGTGTGTGTGTGTGTGTGTGTGTGTGTGTGTGTGTGTGTGTGTGTGGTCAGATTTGGTGGCTGGACTCTGAGCTGACCTGTGGTCAGTCTCGTCCTCTGGTCTTCACTCAGGGTCACTCTGTGTGTAACCGCTCCTTCTTCCCCTGCTTCGACACACCGGCCGTCAAGAGCACATACACCGCTACTGTCAGGGTGAGTCTGACTTCTGTCCTCTGACCTCTGACACCTGGACTGTCACTGCTGTGTGTCTGAGCTGCTGTAGAGCTGGACACATACATAAGTCCACAGACTTCCACACAGTGTTACACAGATACTGATGTACATGGATTTCAAATCACTCCAAGTTAAACTCCATTATCTAAACATGAAAATAAATACAAACAACAAGACAGTGTTCAGTTTTTGACGTAAAGACTAAATATTTACACACATTTAATTATTCAGATCTGATGGGTGTCTTTTATGTGTAAAAAACACATGCAGCTTAGTGTTTTCCACTGACTTCATTAGTATCAGTCAGGAGCTGACTTCACTTCCAGTCTGTAGGATCAAACTGTTCATCCTTAAAACTCAAAACTTTACACTGAAGTTTAATTTAATGAGGTCAGCTCAGACCAGATTCAGTCCTTTAGATCAGGACTCTGGAGAGGATGTGAGACACTGTGGAGGAGAAACAGAATGCGGAAGAGAAACTGAATTTACAGTAGTTTAACTCAAAACATTTGAAAATATCCCCCTCATCCTCCTCTTCCTCTTCAGGTCCCAGATGGAGTGACGGTTCTGATGAGTGCATCTCGGAGTTCCTACTCCAAACAGGACCGGGTCTTCCAGTTCTCCATGGAGTTTCCTGTCCCATCTTACCTGGTGGCGTTGGTGGCCGGAGAGCTGCAGCACGTGGACGTCGGCCCAAGGTCGGTCAGACGACAAACATGAATAACACATAATTTCTCTCAGGCACACACTGTTGAACAACAGCAGTGACCTGCACCAATAACAAGGGTGTCATTGTTACACGTATTGTAAATGTGTCTCAGTACCACAGGATTGAATACAGTACATCCAGGTTCATAGTTTTAACTGTTTGCTCACAGTAGACTCCTCACACTGATCAGTCGAGTGAGTCCCCCTCCTGAGGGCAGCGATAATATCTTGACCAGAGGACACAGACCTCAGGTCAGTGTGTGATCTTTCAGTCCACAGATGTGATCAGTAGATTGACAGTGATTCAACATCATTTTTGACTGAACTTTATATTCACAATTCCAAAATAAATAAAAAAATCGAATTAAAATGATTGAATTAATCCCTCAGCCCCACACTGAAGCTTTTACAATCTTCCTCAGCTTTACAGTGAGTGTTTCAGCTTCTGTTCTGGTTCAGTCTCTCCATTCAGTCTCATCCAGCTGTTCTCAGAGAAACATCTGTTTTCAGCCTCTGTCCTCTACCTCTTGAGCAGCAAACAGCAGACAGACTCAGTCAGAGAGCAGCTGGTGAACATAGTGGAGCATTTAGCAGCTAAAGAGGAGCTGGTGGAGACCAAACAGCTAAAAGAAAGAGAGGGAACACTGGACTGAGATTAATCAGGTCACACAGACACCACCACAGATAGATCGCCATGTTGATCTGTAACAGCTGGATGTGGAGATAAGCAGCTGATTGTTATTAAACTCAACATGTCAACTTAAAAGGTGATGAGATGTGTGTGTTTATGACTTGTTTGTGCTTAAAAGACAGAAATCAGTCGACAAATACTGTGTCAACCTGTAAACTATCCACCATGTGTAAATCTGTAAATCTTAGTATGTATGACCATCAGGATTAAAATGACAGATTTGCTGAGTTTTGATGAAGATCACATGTAACAGGACTGATGTGACCTTTGACCCCCGCCTGTCCTCCTCTAATTAGAAGTCGTGTGTGGGCGGAGCCATGTCTGTTGTCCTGTGCAGTGAAGAAGTTGGGAGGCAGTGTGGAGCGCTGGCTGGGCGTGGCCGAGGAGCTTTTTGGGCCTTACCTGTGGGGCAGGTGAGTTCACAGTTTTATGAGACATGGTTTTACCTTGCAATGACTGAAAATACAAGTATAACAACCTCCACCGTCCCTCAGGTGTGACATCGTGTTCCTCCCCCCCTCCTTCCCGATCGTTGCCATGGAGAACCCGTGTCTCACCTTTATCATCGCCTCCATCCTGGAGAGCAGCGAGTTTCTGCTGATCGACGTCATCCACGAGATCGCCCACGGCTGGTTTGGAAACGCCGTCACCAACGCCACGTGGGAGGAGATGTGGCTGAGTGAAGGGCTGGCAACATATGCCCAAAGGAGGATAACTACTGAGGCCTACGGTAGGAGTACTGCTGACTGTACTGATGAAAATACTACTACTACTGATACTATCACTACTGAGGCTTACGGTAGGAGTACTGCTGAAAATACTGTGAAAATACTGCCAAAAATACTGATGGAAATACTACTACTGATACTGTCACTACTGAGGCCTATGGTATGAGTACTGCAGAAAATACTGCGAAAATACAGCTGAAAATACTGCAGAAAAATACTACAGTTCTGAGGCCCATGTTAGTTTTAGTATTCAGTATTTTTTAAAGTAAAATGTTCTCAAAGAGCAAAATAAACCTCCTTAAAGATCAAGTAAATTTGAAGCAGTTTGAATTTGCTCCTGCTAACAGACTCAGATATGATGTCATCTGAAATATAATGTATTGGGTTTCATGGATTTTATTTATTTGTATGTATTTAAGTTTCAGTACTAATAGTAATATTATGCCTGCTCACTACAGAATACTGTACATAACCCCTTAAAGATAATTGTTGGGTCTGAGATCTGCCTCACGAGCAGGATACCATAAATGTTGAGTCTGTAGACACGGGGCACCATATGGTGGACCTTCAGTTGTCTATCAATTTATTGGCTATCATACATTAAGAAAATATTAATATTAAAAATATTAATATTAAATAGTAACTTTAAAATGAATTAAAGTCCAAAGACAAAAAGGGAAGAGGAAGAGCAAAGGAGATCTGGTTTTGTTTGGTGACACCCTGGGGGGTCACATGTCACACACTGACCAACACTGACTGGTCAGTGAAGTCCCTGGGGGAGGGTCGTCCCCTGGTGTGAACAGTGAGAAAAGTGAGTTCTATTGTCTGTAGAACAAATAGCATGTGTTCTCTTGTATGAGTCCCAAAATAATTAATTGATAATCAATATTTCACTGTCCATTCATTTAACCATAAATTATTCTTTTAATATCCAATCAAAAATATCTTAATTAAAGCCTTAAGTCTTTGTTATTAACCAACTGTTAAGGTAAAAATGAAGGTTTAGTGTTGTTTCAGAGGTGTTTCACAGTGTAGTACAGGAGCACGTTGTCCACATACTTTTGGCCATATACTGTATCACTACAAAGGCCAAGCAACCAGCTGCTGTTACTACAACATCTGCAGTAGTACTGGATGAAACGGAGTAACTCTTCCCTCCTCATCTTCAGGTGAGGCGTTCACCTGTCTGGAAACTGTCGTGCGATTGGATGCCCTCCACAGACAGTTGCGTCTCCTTGGAGACAACAACCCTATGAGTAAACTACAGGTCAAGTTTGAGCCAGGTAACCAGACACACACAGAAACACACACACACACACATTTGTGAGTGACACTGACACAGGTGAGTTGACATTATTGTCCCCTCCTCCCTCCTCCAGGTGTTAACCCCAGCACTCTGATGAACCTGTTCACCTACGAGAAAGGTTTCTGTTTTGTGTCGTACCTGTCTCAGCTCTGTGGTGATGTCCGCCGCTTCGACTGTTTCCTCAGGGTCAGTACACACATGCACACCATTCCAGTGAGGACGCTCTCTGACATCACGCATTCCGTAGACCACTGGCAACCCATGAGCCAAAACTGGCCCGCCAGCAACAATATCTGGCCCGCCAAATTATTTTGGTATGATTTTTTTTTTTTTTTATCTAAAAAAAAAATGGATGTCCGTCTCAGTAGCAAGTCACCCACAGAATCACTTCCCTTTACCAATTTTGCCTAGAAAATAAAGGACAAAGAAAGTCAGCTTTTTGTTTTGTTTAGTTTTTTGTTTTTTTTGCAGCAATGCTTTATTTTTTATTTCAAGGTATTGTGAGCTTTTATACTGAAAAGTTCTGAAAGGAAGTTCCAAAGGTTCTATTGCTTACTTGACAAACCTCTGACAGAGCAGATATACGATGTGTGATATGAAATAAATAACATGAGTTCAGTAAATCAGTCAGTCTCACATATAATATGAAACTGTGGGTGAACGAGCTTACAAACAAGCGTCAAAGCAGCGGAAAGATAGGAACCACAACTTCTGGTCAGGACTTTCAGAATAAAATCAGAGTGAAAACAGAATGCCGATGATGAGCAAGATCGTGGATTGTGATTCTACCCTAAAAAGAAAAAAACAGTTGTCCACACAACCACAGGAAGACATGTACACGAACACAGTCAAACACAAAACAAAGACAGACTCAGATGAGCTCAGACCTCCTCTGTCAGTGTACAAGGCAGATATATTTGAATGTCACATGATTGTTTACAAAAAGACAGGGACACACTGACTAAAGCTCCTGGTGTGATGACTGATGGGACCAGGCTCTGTTCCAGTCTGCCTCAGGTGGTCTGTTCCAGTCTGGGCCAGGGGACCTATTCCGGTTTTGGGTCTGCTGATTGTCAAAAACATTTAAAAGAAACAAATGAAAGTCAGAGTGTAATGTTAATCATTGAGTCTCTGTCACACTCAACTGTCAGATGCTTCTATCAAAAGAGACTTAAGTGAGGGACATCACTTAAGCTTCAGTGCAGTAGGAGACCTTGGTCTAAGGACTAAGTACAACATCTATTTAATAAGTGAAGGAGCTCAGGTAAAGAAGTACAGGTAAAGTTCAAAGTTAGAGCTAGTTATACATGTTAGGATGTTAAAAGTGTAAGGAGAGGAGGTGCTCTCTGAAGAGAGAAGTCTTCAACAGATTCTTGAAGATAGAGAGGGATGCTCCTGCTCTGATAGACTTTAGTAGCTTGTTCCACTATTGAGGAACCACAGACTAGAACATTCTGGACTTAGACTGTCCAGGTGTCCAGGTGAGAGATGACCATGGTCTGGACTAAGAGCTGGGTGGAGTACTGAGTCAGGTAAGACCTGATTCTTCTGATGTTGTATAGAGCAAAGAGACATGACCAGGAGATATAATGATATGATATAAGAAGCCATGTGAGCAGATAATTGGACCTAAGGAGGTGGTGTATATTATGAGGAGGGGTCCCAGTACTGATCCCTAGGGAACTCCAGTGGTGAGGGGATGGGATAAGGACATACTGTATGTCTTTGCCATGACGCACTGAAGGAGCGACCAGTAAGATAAGATTCAAGCCAAGAAAGGGTTTTGCCGTCCTGCTGTCTGTCAGAGAGCACAGACAGCAGGATGGTTCAATTTATCAAAGGCTGCTGAGAGGTCCAGCAAGATAAGAACTGAGGACAGACCTGCAGCTCTAGCTGCTCTTAGAGTTTCTATCACAGACCAGGGCTGTTTCAGTGGAGTGGTCGCTCTTAAAGTCTGACTTTTTTGGATCAAGGGGGTCATTCCATGAGAGCAATTCTGAGACCTTCTTAAAAACTGCCCTCTGTATATACTTAGATAAGAATGGAAGTAGAGAGACTAGTTGATAGTTCTCCACTTGAGCAGAATCCAGTGGGGGTTTTTTGAGCTACCTGACTCCGGATTTCCACTGGGGCCGTCAGCGCCGCGGAACGTCAGCGTTGCGGTTTTGCTCCATCCTCTGCCCGGCGTCAATCCCCACTTATATCCATTGAGTCTGTTTGAATGTGATTGGAAATGTTCCTGAAGCCAGTGAAGTATTTATCTCGCATGATTGCTGGTACAATGGAGGGATGTATAGCCTGGAGGAGGTGTGCACCTCAGTGGTCTGACTGCTGGATAAAGACTACACAGGGGACTCAGCTGTTTCCTTCATGTATTGCAGTGATATGTTGTCTTGAACCTTTAGAGGGGTCACAGGAGCCAGGTCAGAGGTCAGTATAAACAGCTCTGTCTGCTGTTTGTGTTTTCAGGATTACATCTCACAGTTTAAGTTTAAAAGCGTTGTGGCTCAGGACCTCATCGACTACTTCCTGGGTTATTTCCCCGAGCTGCAGGGCGCGGCTGTGGCTCAGAAAGAAGGTGAGGAGGCAGTGGGGGGTCTTGGTTGGGAGGGGGTGTTAACTGGACTGAGCACCTGAATATTTAATTTACCGACTTCCACCATAACAGAAATCTGTGTGTGTTTTTGGAGAAGTTAAAGTGTGAACCCCCCTCCTTCCCCCGTCCTGCTGCTGGTCCTCAGGTCTGGAGTTTGAGCGCTGGCTCAGCGGCTGTGGGCCTCCTCTGTATGAACCGGATCTGTCAGCAGGGGGCACTCTGATCCAGCCGGTCCAGGATCTGTGTGATCTGTGGAGGAGCATCGAGTCCCCAGACCTGCAGACCCTGACCACCTTTGACCTCTCAGCCTGGAGCACCTTTCAGATCGTCCTTTTCCTGGACCGCATGCTGGACCACTCACCGCTGCCACACGGTAATACTACTAGTACTACTACTACCAATACTACTAATACTACTAGTACTAATACTATGCTAATACTACTACTGCTAGTACTGCTAATAATACCACTACCACTACTACCTTTACTAATACTACTACTACTGCCACACTAGTACTATTCGTTCTAGTACTACAACCTGCTCTCATTTAGGACTGAATGACTGGTTATGTTGGAGTAAAGCTGCTGTGAGACAGAAAGGCGTAACAAGGCTGAGAATATTGGCTCCCTCTGATCCTGGACCATCCTGGACCACCCACCACAGACCCCTACTGTTAACCTACCATAATCTCATCATGAAGCCAGGCAGAGTGAGGTGTAGCTTGTACGCATGGTTTATTGATCCAGACCTGATGATGATTTGCTGAATGATCAGTTCCCTGCCAATGCCTGGCTGCAGCAGGATCACTCAGTCCTCAGAGACTCCCCCGAGTCCAGACCACATCTGTACTCGGTCTCAGATCTCATGTTGGACTCTTGAGTCCTTTAAGGTCCTGACTGTGAGTCACTGACAGCAGTGATGAATCTGTGTTTGGTCAGTGTCAGCAAAACCCTGAAGACAGAGGATACGAGTCAGTAACTGACCAGTCTGACCAGTCTGTTACTGAAGAGTCTGTTACTGACTGTTACTGACTGGTCTTTTACTGAGCGGTCCATTACTTACCAGTCTGTTACTGACTGCTCTGTTACTGATTGTTACTGACTGGTCTCTTGCTGACTGTTACTGACTGGTCTGTTACTGCCCGGTCTGTTACTGCCTGGTCTTTTACTGACCAGTCGTAGGGTGGTGTTCTCCACCTCGAGCTCACGTACAGCCTGTGTCAGCTGTCTGAGTCTCCTCTGGGTCTCTGTCAGCTCTCTGGTGGTGTCCTGGTTGATCCTACTCAGCTCTGCGATGACCTCCTGGCTGTCTTGCTTTAGCTGTTGGGTAGTATCAGACTCAGCTAGCTTGGCCAAAGTGAGCTCTCTGAACTCAGTGAAGTCCAGCTCCAGGAGGGAGAAGCTCTCTCTTAGTTGTTGGAGGAGTGGGACCAGACTGACTGGTTGTTAGTTTCAGGTCTGCTTCTGTGACTTCTGTTATTCTCCTCTTCCTATTTTTTTTCAGTTAACCATTTTTTTATATTTTAGTAGATGAATCTTTTAAAAGTATGTGTGTCTCACTTCTTTCAGTGTTGTAGATATAGTGTCTTCGTTTTCAGCCTCTTGCGTGTTTTTTTTTCAGCCTCTTGTCTGACCTCATCTTCAGGTTTGGTGTCAGGGAGCAGGATAGTTGATTCGCTCCTTGCTGTCTGTTAGATTTAGATGTGCTGAGATCTTCTCTTGTTGGTGATATAAAAGGTACTTTTGTTGCTGTTTTTCTTCTTTTTTCGATCTTTGTACCTTTATGTTGCTTTTCATTGATTTTCGGTTTTCTCTGTTTTGTTTTTTAATCCAAAAGTTGAGGAAATTTCAGGAGTTAATTTTGTCTGACTTCTCTCTCACCATGGAAATCTCTCATGCCCAAATCGGACCCAGCTGGAGTTGAGCTCCATCTCCCTCAAAATCATATCATCATATCACACGCCTTTTTAAATCCTCCAGTACTGCTAACAACATATGGGTCTCGATGAGTAATTCAGAAGACTACAAAGAGAGATGTTTGAGGTGATTTCTTTCTCTCTGTCTCTCTCTCTCTGTCTCTTTGTGTCTCTGTCTCTCTCTCTCTGTCTCTCTGTCTCTGCAGATGTGATGGTGAGTCTGTCTGGTTGTTACTCGACTCTGTTTGATGGTCTGAATGCTGAGGTTCAGATCCGCTGGCTGCAGATGGTGGTGAGGAACACATTCTACCCAGACCTGCCCCGTGTCCGGGCCTTCCTCCACAAACACGTGAGAACATGAGAACATACATTGTGGTACTACTGCTGAGACTACGCGAAGACTTCATTTAGTATAGTTCCCATAATGCTTTGTAAGGGTCTCTGTTCAACATGAACTCTGTCCACAGACGTCCAGGATGTATACGTTGCCACTGTACGAGGACCTAGTTGCCGGGGTGATGAAGTGCGTTGCTGTGGAGATTTTCTACCAGACTCAGCGTCGCCTACATCCAAACCTGAGACGGACGTTACAGCAGATCCTGTTCCAGACGAGCTCCGCCCCAGCCAATCAGAATGGTCCAGCTCTGTCCACGTTACCCCCTTCCCCCTCCCCCTCCACACAGCCACCACAGCCTGCTGCCACAGCAACAGCCTCTGCTGCCGCCGCTGGAACAACAACCGCTATCGCTCTGAGGGACGTCAACGTGTCAGCGTGAAGTACACCTTTACAGTGGTGACGGAGTGATGGAGGGTCAATGCTCTTACTTGGTCTGTTGTTCCCATGGTGACAAAATGTTGTCATTATCAGATGTGTGATGTAAGGTGTTGCTGTGGCAACAGCAGCCGCTAACTGAGGGCTACAGACATGAAAGTTTAAGCACTGTGATATCACGACATGAAGTTCACTCCAGAGCTTTTAAAGTCTGGGTCGTGGGTGGTTAAACTGGGGGGTGGGGGGTCAGATATCATGGTGTGGGGCTGCTGCTTCATCATGTGACAGTTTTTAAGCTCAACTCAAAACTCTCCATGTTCCTGAGGGTCTGCAGACGCACCTGGGTATACTCCACACCTGTACCCTGAGTTCATCAGGACCTTTAACCTTTGAGCTTTTGTGTTGGTCAAACTGTGACCAGAGTGTGGTGAAGATTGAAACTTTTAGATTTTTGCTCTTGGTGCAATTTAACTGATGACTTGAAAAGAGACGTGACTTTTGTTCTGTGCTTCAGTCTCAGCAGAATCAGTTTGATGCGATCGGTTTGCTTTTGAGTCCAGCTCAGGTGAGGCTCCAGCAAGGTGACCTCACTGCTGAATCATTCTTCATTTTTAAGTTCAGTGATCTTGGCATTATTAACCAATCCTTTGCAGAAAACCTGGTTAGTGAACAGAACCTGTGTGAGGGTTGTCTATGATCAGATAAGCTGCAGGTGCTCATGGATGTTCATGGTCTGTCCTGCAGCATGTGGAGGTTCCTCAGAGGCACACTTGGCTGATGAGGACATCCTGACACCCAGACACTGACACTCACTCTCACTCTCTCTCACACACACACACACACACACACACACACACACACACACACACACACACACACAACCACACATCACGAGAGTTTACAGAGGACACAGTGAATATATATATATATATATATATATATATATATATATAAAATCAAAGATTTTATTTTGAAAGATTCCTCACTGGTAACGCCCTGTATTTCTCAGTGTGTGATAACAGGATGTAAACTGTTCTTCATGAAGAGCAGATTGTTGGATGATCTGTTAGACCGTCAGTGAATCAAACAGGTCACAAAGTCCTTCAGTCTCCATTCCAGATCCCACAGGAACACTTGTGGACCAGGTGACTTTTTAGCCCTCCTTGGCTATGATTGGTGCATTGAGGCAAAGAGACGGTGCTTAAGATTGATCAATAACTGTGTGATCATGAGTAAACCAAGTGTGTCATGCTGAAACCAGAGTAGTGGAGTGTCATTCGATTACGACTGCCAGGGTGCATTTCACTGACAAACATCCAGTCACAGTAAACAGTGTTAAAACCTGCAAGACCTGCAGTAGTGCGTTCCCCCTTTATGATCTGGACCAGACTGTGTCGGTCTGTCTGGAAACATCCTGGTGATTCACTACAGGAAGTGATGAGGAAGGTTTCCAGCTGCTTCCTCATTCTCCAGGGAGCTCAGATGGAAACTCCCTCAGAGTGCAGTGTCATGATTTCTGAGTAAGAGGCACTTGATGTAGATGTAGCTGTGATCTTGTAGACCTGAGACCTTCACTGTTCTGTTAACTGTCTCTGTGTCGGTTCCTTTAACTAACTGCTGCTTTTAACCGCAGTAACAGCTCGATAACCAAACATGTAGCTGATACCTGACCCCTCAGGTACCTCCATCTGACTGATCCTGCAGAACAGGACCAGGACTCTGAGCTCCTCGCTCACACTCTGATCCATCCGTCTGAAAGTTGAACTGGACATTTATCAGGGAGGCAGAGTCTTTGTATGACAGGACTCGGTGGGAAAACCCTAACCAGCAGACTTCACCTGAGTGGCCTTAACGCTGCCTTCACTGCAGCTGGGAACTGAGCTGTTTCAGTGAGAGTTCAGACACAAGTTCTGCTCTTCTGGTCCTGTTTGTTCTTCGTCTCTTTAATGATGATCCTGACTGTTTGTACCTGAAATCACCAGCAGAAAAAATGCAGGCTTTAATGTAGCTTCCTGGGTTAGGGTTAGCTGACCCTGAGCGCCTCCACAGACAGAATTATAATCAACATGTGATTCAGAATAAACACTTGAAATTACCAAAGGTGTTTTCTTAATTTACTGACACCATGTGACTCCAGGGTTGGTGGGGCGGGACAGTGGGGGTGATCCAGAAATCTATGAAATCTTATTTAAAATGTTTTTGTTTTGTTTTTTGGCTTGTCTTTCTTTTAGTTCATAACATGTATTAAAACTACATTTATATTATTCTTTTATGTCATCACGTTTACATCTTTAATACATACTTAAATATTTATCGACATGTTCAGTTTTTTTCTCGTCTCTTCATCATAAAACAGCAGCGTCATGTTTTATAATTAATTTTATGCTTTTATTTTCAGTTAAACCGGAAATGTAAAGTCGAACATGTTTTTCATAATGTCAGCAGTTTCCGGAAAGTATCGGAAGTGTGGTGAGCGTGCCTTCAAATTAAAAGCTTTAGAATGCAACTGAGATGAGTGAGGCGAAACGGGATCAGTTTCACACTGTATGTCTCTGTTTTCAGCTGCTCTTTCTCACCTGAACACTCGACTCTAAAATCATCAATTCAGAGCAGATCGAGTGTTTTAGCTGTCTGGTTTCTGTCTCGGAAGGTCTACACAGCACTGTCACTGTTTAACTGCCACTGTACGTCACTGCGTCATTCTTCTGTTGCTGTGAACAAATCTACTCGGTCCATTCATATAAAATAACTTATGTAAAAGTCACATGCAGGTCAAGTTTCCTAATCACATGTAAACATTAGATTAATAAACAGAAATCCTCTGATGTCAAAGTAAATCAAAACAGATTCTATTGACTCTAGTTTAAAACAGATAAAACCATCTGGAAGGGAAGTTGTACTTATTTATATATAGATTCATTGTGGGGCCTGGTGGTTCATTGTAAAGAATCCGTTCCAGACCTACTCTGTATGAAACCCCTATTGTGACTTGGTGCCATATAAAAACAGGCAAAATTATTCACACACAGCCTAAAAAATGTCTGCCGCTGTTCTTAAATGCTCTTATTTTGAAGGGCGGTACCGAAAGTAATGTATCATATTGTGTTGGTCTTGACGGCGGTGTGGCATCCGGAGGAGACTGGGAGCATCACAGACCTGCAACAGCTGGACCGACACATCTGGACCGGAACTGAGGAGGCCTGAGAGAGAGGGAGAAAACAGGCGGACAGACAGGTGGACAGACAGTCTGTGGTCTCTCCCTCCCACCACCTCCCCCTCGCCCCCATCTATCCGTTTGTCTCTCCTCCAGGCCGGTGTGGCATTCCGGGCCGTGCCGGTCTTGTGGAACATTCCGGGCTCCATGGGAGACAGCATGGCGGAGGGGACCCGGGTCATCTACCACTTGGAGGACCAGGAGACCCCCTACCTGATCCGGATCAACGTGCCCTCGCAGCGCGTCACCCTGGCAGACTTCAAACAGGTCCTGAACAAACCCAACGCCAAATTCTTCTTTAAGTCCGTGGACGATGACTTCGGGTGAGTCACGTGATCGATAACCGATACCAGTGATTATCAGTTGCCTATCGATATCTCTGATCCTATCAGTGATCAATAGCATCCATATCAGTAATCAAGACAAATATTTCCAATCATCGGTCGGATTATTGATATGTAAGTGACAATATGTGTCATTGCTAACTGATAAATGTCATTGATTACTGAAAAATGTCATTCATTATTGATTGATGTCAGTTATTATTAATATGTGTCATTGATTATTGACAGATGTCATTGATTACTGATAGGTATCAGTAATAAAGTTTTGATTTAATCTTAAAGTGAATTTCATGTTGTTTGAAATATTCATACAGTTGAATATTAAAGTCAATAATAACTGAAATAATAATAATATTGACTGTACGTGGAATGACCTCATGATGTTAATATGATGAGTTATGCATGATTCAGACCAAACTGCTGTTAAAAACTGAGTGATTTGACCACATAAGCAGAGATTTCTTATTTAACACAGTGAAACATGTTATTACTCTGAACATCAGTTTGATTATTTTAGGTCATGACACATGATTTGTCATATTGTCTCATGTATATTACTATTAGAAATGTTTGATATTACACAGTATCACATCAGTATGTCAGACTAATTCAATATGAAAAATTCTGTATGGGCAGAAATATGAACATGTGCAGTTCAAAGATGACGATGGTTAAAGTTTATTTTATTTGTTGACCAACATGTGATACAAACATATAGAAAGATCTACGTATATAGATAGCTGTATATGTGTCAATATGTTTCCACATCTAAATATAAACCACTTATAATTGGAAATATATGAAAATAACAGATATAGAAAAACCTTTTTATTTGTTTCCAATACTTAAAGGAGCTATAGGTAAGTTGTGCTATTGCTACATAGCTAATGTTAGCATCAACAGCTATTTACTGACCAGTCCTAGAGGATGGAATAGAGGTTAGAATACATCCTCTGAGCAGCTTCAGGACAGACTGGGCGCAACAGTGATGAGTCAGGCCAACAGGAGCTACCTGGTTAGCATGCTAACTTCATTAGAAGAGCAGAAGTGATACAGACAAGAGTTAACATTGGTGTTTGTTTCCACCTCTGTGGACATGTTGGTAAGTAAAGGTTAACACTAGCTATGTAACATTAGCAAAACATACCTATTGCTCCTTTAAAATGTCCTTCTACAGCTAAAGTGAAATGTGTGAATGCTAATGTGAAACATTCATTAGTTGCTCTGCTTATAAGTGCTAAATAATGTATTAACAGGTTAATAAACAGGTAAGCACATATTAAATATATATACATACTGTAATGTAGATGAAATGTGTTCTATATTATTCCTCACTGAAGACTCAAACCAGCAGTGTCTGTGTAGTGAGACCAAGGTTATATAATTAAAGACTTTATATGTGAGGAAACATATCTGCATATAAATCAGTTTATTATCTGACAGGTATCTGACAGGCTAATCAGTTACTTAGCAGACAAAAGGTTACAGGCTGAACCAGCTACAGCAGCAACACTCATAAAACTTTTAATAAGTAAACTTAGAATCAGGACATGTATGTTTTGCTGATAATATTTATTGACTGATGTGATTTTAAATCAATAATCAATAAAACAAGATGAACACAGAGATAACCGTGAACAGTTGTACATATATGACATTAATTAAAGACATGTCATAATGGACATCATAAGCTGTACCTTAATCATCACACAGTATATTCAGATATACAGTAAATGTTGTTACATGTCCAGACCTGATGTGTTCACTGTTGATGTTCATGTGACTCTGATCCACTTTCCCTTTTTATTCTCATTCTATTTTTATTCTATTTTCATCATTTATAAAACCTGCAGATATTTTTACAACCAGCTCTGTGTTTACATAACAAACACACACACACACACACACACACACACACACACACACACACACACACACACACACAATGTAGTTATATAACAGACGTATCTGTTAAAACCAAAAGCTCTTTAATATTCACTCTGATGAGAGCTCTGCCTGCTGTGTGTGTGTGTGTGTGTCATCACAGTCATTGATTCTCCTCAGGTTTCAGTGAGAAGCAGAAACGCATCATCCTGAAAGGAACAGTCCAACATTTTAGTTAAACCCTCTGTTTGTTTGTTCACCATTAGATTGTGTTGCTCTGTGTTGTTGCTGTATAATTGTTTTCCTGTTTGTCTGCAGGTGTTGTGTTAAAGTCCTAATGTTGTTGTTGTTGTTGTTGTTGTTGTTTTCTGAAGCTGAAGATGATCCAGCTGATTCATGTTATTGTCCTTTGACATAAAGACAGGAAGTGAAACCTGAGACCTGCAGTATCATCCAGTGTCCGCAGGTGTACATTATTAGAAACACGCAGAGGCCCTGCAGCATCTGAGGTCAACACAGGCTGAACTGATCCAGAGCTTTTCAACAGATTTAAACTCCATCATTCTAATCAGAGAGAATTTCATGTTGTATTTTATACATACTGTAAGGAGTTGTTGTTCTGATCACTACAGTAGAATTAGTGAAGACAACTGAGTAATCTACCAGAGATTTACAGGCTTACTAACAGACCATCTCTCTCTCTAGTCACCACTGTATCTATGTTTACTCAGGATTATTGTTGTCCTGTTATTCTGTCTGTGGGGGAGGGGCACAGCCTGCCTGATGTCACATCATACAGTCCTACCTTATTGGAGTGGGGGCTGTTGGGTCGGTATGCAGCCTGAGAGGAACCTCAGGCTGACAGACAGTTGAGGACCGAGTCTCAGTCATGCTGATTTGCTCAGAGACCTGACAACTTCTTTTTCCACCCTTTCCAGGATCAACATCGCTGAACGCCATGCACAGTTCCCAAGCGCCCCAGCTCATTTTAGTTCCTGAACACCCCACACTCATTTTCTGTGAACTTGATGTGAACCTGACAATTAAAAAGTTTAAAATCCACCAGGGGGCAGATCAGGACTGAGTCATCAAACATCTGATTTACATGAACAACATGAACACAATAACACTGAGACTGTACACTAGTCCATGTGTTTCCACGGTGACAGCAGAGATCTCTGACATGATGATGATGATGTGTTTTAACAGGGTGGTGAAAGAGGAGATCAGTGATGATGATGCCAGGTTGCCCTGTGTGAACGGACGAGTCGTCTGCTGGGTCAGCAACACACACACACACATACACACACACACACACACACACACACACACACACACACACACACACACACACACACACACTAATGTTAACTCTTGAACCAGGTGTCATCCTGTTCTGTCTCTCTTCAGGTGGTGTCCTCAGATACCTGTCAGTCAGATTTCAGGGGGTCAGATATCCAGTCAGTGGTCACATCCACCAGCCTGGCCCCGCCCCGCACTGAGAGGACAGGTGGGATTGGAGACTCTAGACCTCCGTCCTTCCAGTGAGTACCTGACAGACAGTGTGTTTGACTGAACTCACCTGTCATTAAAACAGCTGATGATCAATGAACAGATCACATGTACTGATCTTCACTCAAAGATCAACAAGATTACAGCTAACAGTTTCTCTGTCTACCTCTCAGTGCTGCAGCTATCAGCAGCCACGATGAACCTCAGGGGTCAGAGGTCAAACCTGTTGCGTCACTAACAGACAGGAGAGAGAGAGACGCCAGTGAGCAAGGTAAGACAACACAGAGACACACCTGGTCTGTGACATGACGGAGACAAACACGTGAAGATGTTTTCCTGTCTCTGAATCGTCTACTGTATGAACGACGTATTTCAGGAGTGTTTTCTACATCTGCAGAGGGAGACCTTCACTGCACCACATTCATCTGACTCATTAAACTAACCAACAGTAAATAAGAGCAGAGATCAATCAGAGGATTTATTGAAATTAATTTTATAAACAAACTTCATGTTTCCAGATTAAATTATTTTAATAATTTCAATTCATTTTTAATCCTTTTGACCTTTTGACAAAACTGAGACATTTCTCACTATTTTCTCAAGTCTTTCAATCAATCAATCAATCAATCAATAAATCAATCAATCAATCAATCGAGTAAATAATCAGCAGATTTATCCAGAATTAAAATCATCAGTACTTCTGTTCTTCCTCTACCACTGCACTTTCATAACTTCTCAGCACAGATAAAAGTTTTTCAGTCTATATATCTGACCAGGGGCCTGTGGGGCCCCCGGGGGTTGTATTCATGGTTCTGACCTTTAAACCCACCTGCAGTGTGATGTCACAGTGTCTAAACTCCTGCCAATCATCCTGCTATCTGTGTCTCTGCAGGTGAGCGTCTGAATGGCAACGCCCACCAACCAGCTGATCAGAATGGGGCGAGGCCAACAGGTGCAGGTGACAGCTCGTCAACCCAACAGAGTAGTGAGTTAGAGACGACCAGTTTCTGCTCGTCTGAGGAAGACTCAGGAGGAAGGTCAGATCTCACTCTGTGAGGACCCTCAGTGACATAAGACCATCCCTGACCCCTGACCTGCCTGATCAGAACCTGAACCTAATTCCCAGACTTAACCCTCTTTAAACCTTCTAGGACGCAGACATGTCAGTGAGTAACGAGACACTGGGTAAACATGAGAGTTTTATTACAGTGGAGACGAGTGTGGAGGTGGACATCATCAGGCAGAGGAATAAACATCAGAGTGACACTCAAACACTCAGACTCTAAAATATATATATATTAATATACTGTAATAACTACAGAAGTGTGGTGGCAGCTCCCTGACTGTGACCACAGAACCTGGATTTATTTTTATTTTTTATGTTTAATGAACAGAAAAACATTTTACAAACACATTACACTCATATAAACATGAAAACAATATTTAACACCATTTGAAAAATACAGTTTTACATCATTCACACCCTCTGCTTCCTTTGTTTCTGCTATGCTAGGCTAACACTTTCCCTCTGCTACCTGTGTTTCTGCTAAGCTAGGCGAACACTTTCCCTTTGCTCTCTGTGTGTCTACTAAGCTAGGCGAATACTTTCCCTCTGCTACATGTGTTTCTACTAAGCTAGGCTAACACTTTCCCTCTGCTTCCAGCCTTTGTGCTAAGCTAAGCTAAAACTTTCCCTCTGCTTCCAGTCTTTGTGCTAAGCTAGGCTAACAATGATGCTAAAAAATAAAATGTTGACCCGCTCCTTTACACAGAAACACAGAAACCCTCAGTCATGTGGCTCAGTGACATCATCAACAACCCTTTGTCTGTGATTTGTGGGTTTGTTGTAACACACTCACCTGCCCTCAGGTCGTCTTCTTCTGCCCCAGTAAACCTGTTCACATGCTGCTCTCTTCCTCCGGGTCTCATTGGCTGCTGCAGGTCATGGGACCGGCGGTTCAGTTTGTATTGTCCCGCAGATAAAAGAGTCCCTGCTGATCTGAGAGCAGAAATAATCTGTTCCTGTCTCAGAGAGAAAAACACTGAGCTGCTGCACAACCTGGATTTATCACACTTTATTCATCATCTCTGCTTTTAAAAGGTTCTTTATGTTCTGGACTTTTATTTTTTATGGTTTTGTCTTTGACACTTTCACAAATATTTGTAGGATTTTTGTTTAAAGGTTTGTTTTTTTACTCTTGTATTATATAGAGGTGCCTATATATGATGTTCTAATGTTAATTCAGATTTTGAGCTTTTAAATATCATTTTTCAAAAAGATGTTAACTGTTATATTGTTTGTATTTTGTGACATTTTATAGTTTAATCAAGTTTATTTTAGTTTGCATTTTTACAAATATCATCTATTTTATACAGTTTTATTGTTTTATATTTTTGCTCAAACAGTTTTTATTTCATGTAAATTCCATTTTTAGATTTAAAAACTAAATGAAGTCGATCTTTCAACTATTTCCTATTATTGTTTTTGATGGTTTTTGATTATCATTTCATTTTGGATTTTCTTCAGGTTACTTTTTTAATTGACTTTTAAAAAAATGTTTAATTTGAATTTTAGTTCACTAATATTTAATATTTAATTCTGTTGTAAAACTGACAATATAAAAACTTAACTTTGTTTTTATGTAGACTGAATTTTAGTTTTGTATTTTTACATTTTGTTTTATGTGGAGGAAACTATTGAACTCAGGGATTTTTTAACAAAATATTTAATTATATTTTGATTTTAGTTTTTTCATTTTTATATTTTTTAGATCTTCAGTTAATTTAGTTTTTGTAATTTATGTTTATATGTTTAAATATAAAAACATAGATACATGTAACAACATTTACTGGCTGAGCAGGGTGACAAATACCTTGTTGCTTCATAACAACACAGCTGTCAATCAGCTGCGAGGTGATGTAACAGCAGAGTCACTCCCGTTTCACCTGAGTCAGGTGTGCTTCCCTCTGTGATGTCACACCAGGTTCAGCCAATCAACAGAGCAGAGCAGCTCCTCGCCACGACTCGTCAGGCGACAGCGCCGCCGCCACCGGAAACCCAAAACCCAGCGGATGGAGAGGGTACACACACACACACACACACACACACACACACACACACACACACACACACACACACACACACATACACACACACACACACACACAGGTGTTTGTACAGTCACATGAGGAGGTTTATTAGTGAAGAAGAGAATAAAAAGGGATGAAGATTCTCTCTGATAATGAATTAGTTGTAAAAGAAACAAACTTAACTGTCTATTGTTCAGCCAGGAAACACACCATGAGCTGACTCATTACATCTCACAATACTGAGGGAATTTATTCACATTTGACATATATGTCCACATTAGAATTTGGTGGTCAAAGGTCACTGTGACCATACAGAAGATGTTTTTAGGCCACACTAAGTAACTATTACTGGACATAGGCTGAGTTTTCATTCTGACAGTTAACTGTCAGAGTCCAGGTCCAGGTCTTTGTCCTGTAACTCCAGGAAACGTCTTCAGTCTGAACTGATCCACTTCACTGAGATATGAACGGTGTCTGTATGATGACTGAACTGAATAATGAGGGGGACTGACTGAAGACAACTTTACAGGTCTAGTCATACTGGTCTAACAGTGAACGTGATTCAGGATCAGTCAAACAGTTTCTTTCTTCTGTCTTGTACCTGTCACTGATCTGCCCCTCTCTGTCCTTTCTGTCCTCTCTTCTATCTGTGTCTGTCGACATGTCTCTATACCTGTCTGTCCTCCTGTCTGTCTGTCTCTCCTCCCGTCTGCCTGTTCTCCTGTTCTCCTGTCTTTCTGTCTGTCTGTCTGTCTGTCCTCCTGTTTTTCTGTCTCTGTCCTCCTGTTTTTCTGTTTCTCTGTTTGTCTGTCTGTTCTCCTGTCTTTCTGTCTGCCTGTCTGTCTGTCTGTCTGTCCTCCTGTTTTTCTGTTTCTCTGTTCTCCTGTCTGTCTGTCTGTCTGTCTGTCTGTCTGTTAGTCTGCGTCTTTCAGCAGTGTCACTGACTCCACCATGTCGCTCAACATCATCACTGTAACTCTGAACATGGGTGAGTACAGAGCTGCACTCAACACGTTTGACAGTCACATGACCGCAGTCACTAATCTCTGACTGTGTTCCTGTGACTGCCAGCTGATGTTCTCTATGATCAGCTGTTTCCTGAATGTAAGACATCCTCAAATCAATCAGCTGTTGGATGATGCTTTTCCACATTGGTCAAACCCTTTTGTCAGAATAAAACACAGAAACATAAACACAATACAAACACTGCAGACATTAAAGAGCTGCTGTGAGGAGCAGGAGTCACAATGACCTGACCTGATTGATCCTGAACCTAAACCTGGTCCCTGGTCTCTGACCGCAGTGTGAAGCTGCTCAGCTCAGGTCGACACAGGTCTGAAATAAAAACATATATGTCTTTTTTTCTTTACATGTTGATGACTCTGTCTGCTGGTGGTGTCTGTTTATACTGTAACCATGGAAACAGACAACAGCCATTAGATTAATATTTTACTGAAAAACATAATTATCTGTTCCTATCTGTGTTTCACATGATTATAGATTATCTGAGAGTAGCTGCTTGTGTTGATGCACCTGAGGTTATCTGCACAGCTCTTATTAACACTGTCTCTCTCTCTTTCTCCCTGTCTGTCTATCTGTCTCTCTACCTGTCTCTCTCTCTGTGTTTCTTTCTCCCTGTCTCTTTAACTGTCTGTCTCTCTCCCTGTCTCTCTCTCTCTCAGAGAAATATAACTTCCTGGGGATCAGTATAGTAGGTCAGAGTAATGACAGAGGAGATGGAGGGATTTATATCGGCTCCATCATGAAGGGAGGAGCTGTGGCAGCAGACGGACGCATCGAGCCTGGAGACATGTTACTGCAGGTACCACTGCAATACTTCAAACACTACTGCCATACTGCTATTACTACTCCAATGCTACTACTAGTACTACTGCAATACTACTGTAATACCACTACTACTGCTATTACTGCAATACTACTGCTACTTCAATAGTATTATTACCACTGCAATACTATTGCAATACTACTGCTGCTACAATACTACTACTACAATACTACAGCTACTACTACATTACTACTACTACAGTACTACAATACTACTGCAATACCACTTCCTCTCTGAGAATCACCACCTTAACGTGGTGGAGGGGTTTGTGTGTGGAGCGCCGCTGTGTTGGAGTTCTCCCTCAGGGTACGAGAGGGTCACAAGGGAAAGGCTCAGACTGTTGTGTGTGCTTCTGCATTGAGCAACAGCTCAGAGTATCAGGCGTTCTTGGAGTCTCTGGGTGGGGTCCTGGAAAAGGTTCGGCCTGGGGATTTTATAGTTCTGCTAGGGGACTTATGTGAATGCTCATGTGGGTAACGATGGAGATACCTGAAATGGCATGATTGAGAGGAACGGCCTCCCTGATCTGAACCTGAGTGGTTCTTTCTTATTGGACTTCTGTGCTACCAGAGCACCTTAGGCCAAACATCGATGATTGATTTTGCGGTTGTATCATAAGATCTGCAGCTGTATGTCTTGGACACTCAGGTGAAGAGAGGGGCAGAGCTGTGAACTGATCAGCACCTGGTGGTGAGTTGCATCAGATGGCGGGGAAGGCTGCCGGACAGACCTGGCAAACCCAAACACTCTCTGAAACAAAAACTGGGTATGGGAGGAGTTCAGGGAGGCTGTGGAGGAGGGCGTTTGTGTGGTCTCAAGAAAGTTCTGCCAAACTATTTGGCGACCCAGGAAGGAGAAGCAGGGCTTGACTCAGGCTGTGTTCAGTTCAGCACTGTGGAGTGACAGATCGAGGTGGTGGTTCCCATTTTTTTGAAAAAGGGGACTGGAAGATGTGCTCCAATTATTGAAGTATAACATTGCTCAGCCTCCCTGGGAAAGTTTGCTCCAGGGTGCTGGAAAGGAGGCTCCGACTGATTGTCGGACCTCAGATCCAGGAGGAGCAATGTGGATTCTGGCCTGGCTGTGGAACAGTGGACCAGCTCTTTACCCTTGCAAAAGTGCTGAGGGGGGTCATGTGGGTTTGACCAGTCAGTTTATGTTTGTTTTGTGGACTTGGAGAATGCTTATGACCTTGTTCCCTGGGGGGCTCTGTGGCGGGTACTGCGGGAATGTGGGGTACCAGGATAGAAGTGGATGAAATGGGTTTCCTCTGCAGGCTGTCTGGGCTCAGCTTTGACAGGGGTGAGGAGCTCAGACATCCAGGAGGGAGCTCGGAGTAGACCTGCTGCTCCTTCAAGTCGAAAGGAGCCAGTTAAAGTGGTTCGGGCATCTGATTAGGATGGTTCCTGGGTGCCTTCCTTTGGAGGTTCTCTGGGCACGTCCAACTGGGACGAGACCCTGGAGTAGACCCAGAACTTGCTAGAGGGATATCCCATCTAGCCTGGGAATACCTTGAGACCCCCTAGGAGGAGCTGTAAACTGCAATACTATTACTACTACAATATTACTGCAATACTACTGCTGATAATGCTACCATGCTTGTTTCAGTTGCAGCACTAACACTAACATCAGTACTTTCTTCTGTTTCAGGTGAACGACATCAACTTTGAAAACATGAGTAACGATGACGCTGTTCGAGTCCTGAGAGAGGTCGTCCACAAACCAGGGTCAGACCAGTTCTCTATATCTGATACTACTACTGCTATTGCTACTGTTACTGCTACTGTCACGGTTACTACTACTACTGCTACTGTCACGGTTACTACTACTACTGCTACTGCTACTGTTACTACTACTACTGCTACTGCTACTGTTACTACTTCTACTGCTACCTTTGATTCTCTCTATAAGCTGACGAACAGCAGCATCTGGACAACACATCCAGATATGCTGCCGTCCTGTTGTCCCAGCATCACAGCACTGCACCACTCTGCAGAAAAGAGCTACATCATCACATTTACTCTCAGTCAGGCGACTGCAGACTGCTGCACTATCACTTCTTCTTTTGTTTTGTGACTCTTCTGATGTACAACCAGTGAAGTCACTCTGTGTCAAGTAGCAACATGAGTTCCTCATTGGTGTTACTGTGTTGAAGCTGGTTTATCTGTGCAGGGAGTGATTAGGTCAGAGTGTTGGCACCAAATATCAACACATGATCTTTTCACTTAATAATCTGTTACAGATGAATTGACTGAGCTGCTTTTCTTGTCTGTCTGTTATCCTGTCTGTTTGTTAACCTGTCAGTCTGTTTACTTTACTTACTGCAGTCCGGTGACATTAACGGTGGCAAAGTGTTGGGATCCAAACCCACGAGGCTGCTTCACGTTGCCGAGAAGTGAGTCAACTCTCACTGAGACAACACCTGAGCACTAACCTTAACCTCACTCTGACATTCAGTTTGAAACCTGGCCTGCAGTCGAAAAGTCTTTTCCATTTAGGTTCCAACTGAGGGAAATGACCCAGAAGTATCTAAGCAGCAGCCATGATAAGGGCTGGTCGAATTCTCTAAATGATGAGGAAAGGAGCTTCAGTGCTTCCTATCTTATCTCCTTTAGCCTTCCTTTATGCCTTCCCATAATTCCTTGCTGACCAACCCACACACATGTAGAAACAACAGAGCAGCTGTTTTATGTTTGTGACACGATCCAGAACTGATGGAACTCCTTGTCTGATCGACTGAGTCTCTTTAAATCCAGTCAGGAGTCATCATGAAGAACAAGCAGATTGAATTTATAGTTAACAGTAACATCATCAAAAATCATTGTCAAAAGCGTCTATGCCAGGAAACTATACACTTATGTCTGAATTTCTTCTGATCTCTTGCTCAATTCCTCGCTCCTATTTAATTATTATTTTACCGGCTCAGCTTTCTCTGTTTGTATTTTCCTTTCATTACATCTTATTTCAACATTTCAATCCTGTTTGTTTTGTTTTTGTGGTTAGGAAAGGAGGATTTATCCTCCATGTGTTATTGATAAAGTTAATTAAAAAAAACTGCAGTGACTTAGTGTAAGTGCAGTCTGATTCTCTCTGCACTATGATTGTCTTTTCCTAAGTCCTTATGAATTCTCCTTCACATCTTTCCTTGACCTTGTGACGTTTTCCATCGAGGTCGAGGAGAAGTGGTTAGGAAAGGAAATTATTCTGACTTTTTGACCACAGCCCCGGTCTTTAATTACTAGAGAAATCTGTTCAGTCTCCAGACATGTCTCTACAGCATCATCAGCAGAACTTCATGAAATGATCTGCTGCTTATTAATAGTGAATGGTGACATTCTGTCTCATTGTCAGTGACGGTTATTTATTCAGTGAAGCCTCTAAAAAGTATTTAGTTGTTCTAAAAATAGCATCATATAAGTAAAGATTATTTTCTGAATAAGAAAAACTAATATCTGTGCATTGATATGCAGCTCCCACTGATGTATTTACACAACATTTAGTTCATATTCTCCAAAACCTTGTATTTCTGCATTTTATAGTCCTGACTCCAGTGTTACAGTTTTAAAGGTTAAAGGTTAAATGTCAGCTGAGAGCAGGACCTATCAGCATCATTGGACTCTGTTTTATCTACAGGATTTACTACTGATGCTGATGCTGATATGTGTAAACACAGCAGTAACACTAATATATTGTTGTTATGTATAAAGTTCAGTCTAATCCAGTAAAGTCACATTAATGCTCATTTTCGTTCTCTCTCCTCCGTCTTTCCTGAAACCCCTGAAGGTGAACCGGTCCGTCCCATCGACCCTGCTGCCTGGGTGTCTCACACTGCCGCCATGACTGGGAGGCTCCTCCCACACTATGGTAAGACTCCCATCAGCCCCTGCAGCATCCATCAATGCGTCCTTTATCTGTCCATCCATGACTCAGACAGTAACCTGCTGCTGTTGTTTATCAGGTGTCCATGAAGAAAACCATCTCACCATTCACAGCAACATCACAGCTGTTGTCAAGGCAATGGCCAATCCGGAGTCAGGCCTGGAGGTTCGGGACAGGATGTGGCTGAAGATAACCATCCCCAACGCCTTCATCGGTAAGAAGTCCAACTCACATTCTAGTCTGCATCATCCAGCAGGCTTGACCTGAGGCTCTCTGCACTGGAACAGTGGTACACAGTGCTCATAGTGAGGTGCACTTTAGAGACTTCTAAGACCGAGAAGGTGGTCTAGCAACACCAACTACTGCTTTGATGATATTTACAGAAACCTCAAAGACTCCTCTGTACACCAGGGTTAAATTACTCTGTTGCTGATCCATGAAAAAGATCAATTAAGGCATTTATGATTTTATGAAACAAAGGTCGCTGGATGTGAACTGGAAACACTGCAGCTCATGATCATGGTTATTCTTCATGTTCAAACTCAACGAGCTGAGATGAGATAGAAAATGATATGAATATAGAGAAATATAACAGGAAGTTTTAATTTCACTTCACATCATATAAATTGAGATGAGGGTTGCCTCACATTGAAAACAGTGGGTGTGCTGGTGTTTAGAGAGGCAGACAGGTTTATAAACCTTTCAAACAGGAGAGGAAATTCAAGAGCTTCAAGTTCTCCTGATCAGATGGAGATTCAGGATTTTGGTCTCCGTCCTGACAAGTCAAGGCCTGTCCCTCAATCTCTAAATACCACAATACTACTACCATCAGTTTGTGGTCTGTCTTTCCAGGTTCAGATGTGGTGGACTGGCTCCACCGTAATGTGGAAGGTTTCACGGACCGTCGTGAAGCCAGGAAGTATGCAGGAAACCTGCTGAAGGCCGGATACATCCGCCACACCGTCAACAAGGTCACCTTCTCTGAGCAGTGCTACTACGTGTTCGGAGACCTCTGTGGAGGTGAGGACAGTCTCACGGTCATCAGTCTACAGCATGTACAACACACTGTTCTGATCAATCAAACATCTGATGATCAGCCATTTATTGGACCAGATTTTAAATAAGTGCCTGAAGCTGCAGTTCCACCAATCACCACAAGATGGTGACAAAATGTCCTGAAAACTCAGCTGCTATGAAGAGTCATTCAAGAAGTAAATGGTAAATCATTATACTTCAGTCACTCAGCTAGTTTAAAACAACATGGTTTCATTAACCAGATGTTAAAACATAAAGACTTCAGCTTCTTTCACCTCACTCTGATGGTTTTGTTTGTTTTGTTTCAACACTTAAAAACTATCACTTCAATTAAGAATATATCTTTTCCTGGGAATCCTGGGATTTTTCTCCATTAATTAAATTAGATTAGATAAACAGATGATAATTAGTCCTAAAATGTTAATTGTAATTTTTGTGATGTTATTCAGTTATATTAATGTGGTTATATAGTAATATTATTAGTAAATCAGCATTTCTTCTCAATAATACATCGTCTCTGAGCTGAACTAAAAGTAACCACATACTGTATAAATGTTCTATGTATATATATATATATATATTATAATATATATGTATTTAAATCAAGGTCCTCACAAGAGGTGAGGTCGTCACAGAGGTCGTCCGTGACCTGCTGCAGCTCACACTGTGTGTCTGTAAACACTGAGTTTGTCTTTGATAAGGATCAATAAGGGAAATATTTGATTCTGTTTCATCACGTGGCACCAGAAACCTTCTGTTCTTATTAATTTATCAACATCCTATCATTACAGTCTACTGGTGTTTCTGCTGTGACTGTCCACTTCACATGTAGCCTCTACTTGCTCCTGTAATAACAGGACAAATTTTTTTCATGCTCAGTCCCAGATGTTTGTATTTTATAATCTGGATCAGTTTCCTCTCAGATGGACAAAGTGGACAAACTCTGGTACAACTAGTCTGGTTCCTGTTACATCATCAGTCCACAACAGTCTGCAACAATAGCGGTCTGGTGGTCTAGTCTGTGTGAATAGGGTGGAATGGACTACAGTCAGGTTTCAGTGGTGGACAGGTGGAGGTCAGGTGACATGGCCCACATGAGTTCAGCCCTCTGATTAATCTTCTTCATGAGGTTTTATTTATCTGCTGTTTACATTCATTTAAATTTAATGTCCCTTGTTAACATTTCACATTTGAGTCACTCAGTGTAGGTCCAGGTCTAGTCCTCAGGGTCTGGCTGGAGTACTGAGTTACGGCAGCTGTGTGCAGTGTGGAGGTAGAATTCACACCTTCCAAGTGAAAGTATTCATGCAACAGGAACACTCCATTACTTTGTGTAGTTAGAGCATCACAGTAAAAATACTTCCTGTAGTTAGAGGATCACCTGCAACCTGTCCCAGTAATTTGGTTCCTCCTGTCTGTCAGATCTGGGTGTGATGTCTCTGCTGGATCACGAAGGAGGCTCCAGTCAAGGAGGAGGACCAGACAGTGACCCGTTGGCTCCGGCTTCAGGTGCTCAGTGGCCCCCAGCCTTCCCCTATCAGTACCCCGTCCCTCACCCCTACAGCTCTCCCCACCCCCTCCACAAGCTGCCGGCCTGGGTAGGAGGAGGAGAAGGAAGTCAGCAAAGTGAAGGTGACACAACTGTTTCCTGTTTGCTTTATATATGTGTATATATTTATTATATATTTATGTAGGATTCTGAAATATGATGTGTATCAGATGTTTAAAGAATAGACTTCTAATATTTCCTGTAGCCTTGAACTAACCTCATGTGTTAATGTGTCTAAACAGGAAGTCACAGCAGTGGCTCAAACTGCAGTGACAGTCCGAAGGAGGAAGGAGGAGGGAGCCAATCAGAGCCCACCAAACAACCGGGGACAGAGTCCCCTTGCGACAACAGCAACCAGCAACCCCCGACCTCCATCTCTGGTCTCCAGGGTAATAATGACTCAAAGGATCCCCCACTTGCTCCCTTGCCATCTCCAGGTCAGCGTCAAGACCTTTCCTCCGTCCCCCCTGAAATCTCTGCCTCTAGACAGTCCTTCCACCTGGCCATGGGAAACCCCAGTGATTTCTTCGTGGATGTCATGTGACCCTCAAGGTCGTGACAATGTCATGTCAGGTGATGTCAGGGTGTGATGTAGACCTGGAAACAGGATCTGCTGATGGTGAATCCAGGACTGAGGAGACTGTGAGAGGAAAGGAAGAGGACAGACATGGAGGAAGACTTAGATTTGATTCTGAGTGTCTGAACAGATTCAGGAAAGTTTCTTTTTCATGTCAGTAGAAACTGAAACATCAGAGGTTGATTTAGTTGTGTAAATCCACTGTGAACAACCTCACCAGTGCTTGAACCTGGTGTTCATGATGCACCAGTAACACACCTCCGACTGGGGTCAGACCTCCTGGTCCCCCCACTCCACGTCTCTCCATCAGTCCCTATGTGAGTGTTGACGTTCCTCAGCAGAAACTAGACTCCAGGTGGCGCTCTCTTCAGGACCACATCCAGAGACTCTGAGGCCGGATACAACAGGTAGAACCTTCCTCCCAGCAACATGTGGTCATGTCTGGGGGCGGGGCCTGACAGGTTTTATCTAATCCCTTATCAGATCTTTTTTTATTTCATTCAGTATCAAACCTGAACCCTGGAGGTTGGTCTCTGCTTGGTGACGGTCATTAACCCTGTCACTGGGGGGTGGGGTAGGGGTAGGGGGTGGGGGTGCTGCAGCTGCAGAAGCTTTACAAGTTAAAGCAAAAACAACACACTAATAATATGAATTTATCATTCAGCCAATATCAACCCAAATCACTGATGTTTTGGACTCGTTTCAAGTTAACAGGGACTCCTGCTCCCCCGTGGTCGTGACTACCCTCCACACTGTGCAACATGTCATTAGAGGCTGTCGGCTATGTTTAGTTCTTTTAAGAACTGTGTCATTGATTTTTGCATGTCTGGACACATCCACAGTTTCTTTTTTGCAGATGTCTTGTAGTGTGATCTAAGATTCAGGAAGGCAGAGATGAATGAATCCAGGTGTTTTACCAACTTAGAAATGGATCTATAATAGAAGCAGGTATGAAAACCCATTTCTAGTCAGAAGAAGAAAACTGTCTGAGCATCCTCACACCTGCCCTCTCACCAGGGAGGGACTTCAGAAAAGGAGTCCAGACTCCCTCCAGGGGTTTGGTTCCAGACCCAGAACAGTGCATAGAGTATAAAACTAGTCCTGCTCCTGAAGCTGAGACTCATTTCCTACCAGAGACGTGAGTCCATGTCTGTAAAACTAGTTTCTGCAGTCAGGATCCAGGAGACCCACAACATGCTGAGGTCTGCACACCTGCTTTTCATCTTCATCCCCCCCTGTGTAGAGTGCTGATCAGGTTTGTGGTGTAATCATCAGGTCTCTTGGGTAAAGACAGTTTTCCATGTTGTTGCTTCCAGCAGAGCATTCTGCTCTGGGTTCTGGTCAGAGGGTTATTAGTGCCTGTTTTGATGGTACTCTGAGAAACCAGTGGTGAAGGAGTGTCTCTTGAATCAACAGACAGGTATCAGGAGGCTAGAGGGACTGCAGCCTCTGTGGTCAATGAAGCAAAACCTGGGGTTCAGGAGGAATGTGGGGGACCATGGAAAGGGATCTTTTGATGCCTCAAAGACAGACAGTGCAGAAAATCTTGGCAGTTTTAGTTCGGGCAGTTTTCAGTGAAGGAAAGAACTGGTGACGTTGAGTGGAAGTAGTGTTGGGTGGGTGAAGGAACAGTTTTGAGTAAACTGAGTTGCCTAGACCCAGCTGACACAGTCACCATAGTGAGGGCAGAGCTGGAAGACTCAGGAAACCTGAGTCTCTGTCAGAGGTCACTGAGGCGGGTAAAAAGCTGCACAGCTGCACCACGTACCATGGCTGGATGAGGTTCACTCTGAAGGTTCTGGATGGCGGTCTTGTTGACTGGCAGACCAGTTCTCTGTGTTAAAAAGGAGGACTGAAGGTAGTGCTCCAGTTATGGGGGTATCACACTGCTCAGCCCCCTTAGCTGATGTCATGATGCTAGAGAGACTCCATCTGATGGTTGAACCTCAAATCCAGGAGGAGCAGTGCAGGGGTGGTGGGGGTTTGTCCACTCAATCTGGATGTGTTTTCTGGACCTGGAGAAGTTGGTATTTTGGGAATATACGGTGCGATGGCTGCTGTGCCAAGTTGTGTCTGGATTCTCAAAAGGGAGTCAAACACATTCCCAGTCAAGGTTTGCCTTGTTTGTAATACTGCTTGTGATTTTCATGGACATTCATTCATTAATTTTCAAGGTCTCAGGACTGGTGTTGCTCTGCTGGTTTCATCAGACCTTGATCTCCGGTGAGGGACGATCTGCAGCTGAGTGTGAAGCAGAGGGGTTAGCACCTCCAGGTCTGAGGCCGTGGTCACTCTGGTAGAACAAGTCACTGCCCCAAGTTAAAGAAAGCCAGTGTCTTGGAGTCTTTGCAGACTGTTTCTTAATCTTGAAACTCTCGATTCACTGGTTGATCCAAATTACAAACTAAACCTCATGAGGTTTGGGTAGTGACAAATTAATGAGACTGGATACAACCAACCAAAATGAGGTTTCTCCACAGGGTGACTGTCCTAACCCTCAGAGACAGGGTGAGGACCTTGGACATCTGGAAGAAGGTTGGAGGAGAACCACTAATCCTTCATGTTAGGAGGAGTCAGTTTAGGTTGGGTGGACGTCTGATTGGGATGTTTCCCTTTAGAAGGCTTTTTGGGCATCTCAAACTGGTAGAAGATCCCAGGCTAGACCTGAGAGCTGACATATCCAGGCCTGGGAATGTCTTGAAATCCTCCAAGACAAGCTGAAGGACACTTGGACTACCTTACATAGGGTGCTGACCTGAACCCAGATTCAGATAATCATCAAAAAAACTGATGGATGGGCTTTCACTGAAACGAGGTGGAACATGATTATTGGTTGTTCTGGGAGTTAAAGACCAGTTTGAACAGTCTCTGCTGTACCCAGCAGGTTTCAGGTCTCAGTGAAGCCAAAAACCTCTGTACCTCATTTCCACTGACTTCACTGTTTATTTATTCTGTGTAGCACCTAATGTTCTAATATCCTGAGCACATCTTACCCACAGAGCACACATTCAATAATGTATATGAATATATTTATTATTATTTATGAGATGTTTGCCCGTGATGGATAAACAGATTGTTTTTGTTTTGTCTCTGCTGTCTTCACTCTGAAACTTGAGGAAAACAATTAAAAAATGTCAACAAACATTTTGTGTTGAGTTTGTTTTATTAATATTTTCAGACAAAAGATCAGAGAAAATATATTCTGTATAAACATGTTACAGGACAAACACAAACATTTCTATCAAATCTGTTGAAAAGTGACAGCTCTGTCCTGTCAGATAATCACGTTCTTGTTTTTGCAGGTGTTAGCTCATTTTTAAAGGTTTAGTTTAAAAGTTTAAAGTTTAAATTCCCCACATGTTCCAGTAAAAACCAGACTCCACTCCTGCACAGTGTGGACATGTGAGTCAAAGGCTCAGGGTTTCGTGTTGTCTCTGATTCGTTTAGGGTTATGCAGCATAAAAGCAAAAAAAAAGGTTTTAAAACTGCAAGACTGGGGCCACAGGATGGAGGACCTGCACCCGGGGCTTCTAGGGCCCCTGAGGCAGTGGGTGGTTGTCCAGCCTTGGTCCCTGTGACAGACTTTATGAAGTAGATCTTTGTTTAATATTTATTGTGGAAAATGTCCTGCACCCCCACCCCCATCCCTCCCGCGCCTAAAACGGCCCTTTGCTGCATTTTCCCTAACACATTTCTCACACAGAGTCTGGAGGTTTTCAGGCCCCTGCTATTCTGGAGCCCCAGAATTTCAGATATGTCCTTCAGGGTCCCACCTAGACTACACCCAACCCTGGAAACATGGATTATGGATCCTATGGGTCCTGTTTCCAGAGATCTTAGGCCTGCTGAGTGATGATCAGTCCTAAGGAGGGAGGGACGCGTCCCAATCCACACACCCACCACCTCGGTCTCAGCGCGCGGCTAGAGCAGAGACCACAGGCCCGGTTCCTGTTGGTGAGAGGACCACACCAAGACTTCGGTATTGACCTGGTAAAAATAAGATCTGTACTGAGTTAAAATAGAGTCTGATCTAGCGGGAGGAGTCTGGGTGGAGGAGGGTGGTGGTTCTGAACGGGACGCAGCCGGACCGGGCTCCGTCAGCTGACAGTCTGCTCCGCCGCCGACATCTTGCCTCCGATCGGAGGAGGCTGGAGAGTCCGGTTTTCACGGTCAAATGTCCGGATGGAGGGACGACGGGGCCTGAGCGGCTCTGTGTGAGGTAGCCCGAGGACACGGTGGCCTCTCTGTGGACCGGGTCAGGACACGGAGACAGACAGATCCACTGATTGTCTCTCCGTCCGTCTGTCTGTCCGCACTGCAGCAGTGGCGCATGGACTGCAGGGGAGTCGTCACCGTCTCTGCTGCGGTAACGTTAGCAGGTGTTGCTAGTGTGATGCTTTTCAGTTATTTATTGATAATCAATACCAGAGCTTTCTGAGTAAGTCGTGATTTATTGTCAGTTCTGAGTTAGTAGGAGCCGCCCTTTAATTCGACACACACAGACAACAACTGTGTTAAATGATACTGGAGCTGTTTGTCTTTTTAATCACCGTTTATCGATAAACAACGTTATCTTCAGCTACATCTTAACGTCAGTGACTGGGCGGCAACTCCAGCCAGTGTGTCAGCGTGAGTCGATCCGAACGTTAAAGGTGAAATATTACCGTAATACAGGCCGCATTTTGGTTTTCCTGAATGCCGAATGTACCGTAAGAGTCCACTGTCACCGACTGCCAACATGACCAGATATAGTGTGAGTGCAGATGTGTCAAATTAACTTTCAAATTTTTAAATGGAGTTCGGATTGTGCTCCGTCGAACAGACAGTGCAGGGACCTGCGAGCTACCTACGTCACCACCGTGAAGAGTAACGTTACTTTATATTTATTATCTGTTGACTGTGGTTAATTTTTATCGACTGGGACACAGAAGAACCAGCCAAGCTAACATGCTAACTAGCAGCTGTAA